CCTTGATAGCAATAAGAGAGAATTCACGTAGTATATTCAACAGAGCATGAAAAATGGCAGAGGTACAGTATATACCCATTTCCCCATTACACATCATGACCCAATTCTCTCTCCTATAACTAACTTCCCAAGAGTTACCGGAATACCCTTTTCGCAAGATAATAACAGAATCGAAATAATGACAGCAAGGATATCAGTATATAACATAACGACATGTATCAAAAAGCATACTCTAGTTATTCCCCTCCTGAAACTACTCTGTAATGGAGGAAGAAGGTCGTCAAACGTGCGGGTATAATCTTGGAATGTGAGATGATATGATCTTTCGTCTACAAGTCATGTGGGCAGCCATGTATTTCACTGGGTATATGTTTGTAGAGGTCTAGGCACGTTTCATTCTTGTATCAAATGTCCCTCTCTTGCATTAATTCGAGGTTATCCTGCCAAAAGCCAAGAGTTTGCTGATTAAATAACAATATTTTTGCGGGAAAAATTTTAATTTTTGTCTTGAAAGAATGCACTTAGGCCACTTACGCAGCGCGATAATCCAACGACGTTGATCTGCCAAAAAGAAGATGCAAATATCACCGACGAGCCAATGTGAAGGGAAGAGAATGAGTCATGCGCAACATTCATTCATTTTCTACTACTTCTTGTCCTTTTTATACAAAAAATACGATTATCATTTTGTTCTTAAATATAACAAAGTGATCAGGTCAACAAAAAAAAGAAATCAGACAATTTGAAATTTCGTCGAATATTTTCCCTATGGTGGTTGCCGGTGGAAGACTTCTCTATTTCAGTATTTCTTAAATTTTGATTTATATTTGTTGCTGAGACGTGGGTGATCTGAAAATTTCTCATATGATGTTCTATATTTTATATTTTAAATTTTTTTTTTCAAAAAAAAAAATCCTTTTTGACCTCATATTTTCTCCTCGATTCCCTTCCTTTCTCTACCTTGCCTTTCCGGTAAAATAGTCTGTCTTTTAAACGGGCCTGGCCCCTGAAGCGGGAAATTGCCGCGGCACTACCTGCCTGGCCAAGCGAAATTGCTACTGCCAGCTTCTGTGTTCTTCTACGATGTCGAAGAAGAATCTCTTCACGCCACTTTCTATTTTCATGAGAAAACGCCTAACTTCGATTCCCCCTGATTTCCCCTTCAACTCTTCTCAATTTAAATGCTCCACTTCTCTCTTATCGCCAGCACCTTCGATTACACCATATGATCGCCTTTTACACGAACCCTCGCGCTATTTTGGAAATGTTAGGGTTTCTATCAGAAGTGTTTGCTCGGCATCTTCCCAGAAAATCGAAAGTAGGTGCTGGAACTGTCATGCTATCCCCGAATCAGCACCGTTTTTGGTTTGCCAGTCTTGTAGGAGCATTCAGCCCGTGGATAAATCCATAGACTATTTTGACATATTCGGACTGTAAGTTCCTGGGCTTTTGTGATTCTGGATAGTAAATTTGTTGACATAGTTCAACATTCTTTCTTTTCTATTGCTAGTATTCATTTATCAAGGGTACGAAAAGAAATGTGGAATAAAATTTTTGCATCTAGGCTGGTTGCTGAGTTAGTAAACATATCAACAAAGGAGATTTCTATTTCCGTTGATAATTTTGAGAAGTGACGAGAAGCAATAATTATGGGGAGATTGCTGTCCTTTTTTCACTGCGTAAGATAGTTTAACTTTTTATTTTTAATGGTATTGCCATGTATATTCGTTCGTGCTACTTTTCTTCGTGTACAAGAGAAAATTGTAGGTTATTGCAATCTTCTGAGTCCTGTACGTAGTTAATGGATCATTTTTTTCCCTTAAAATGATGCATAATTTGGTTCCTGCTCATAACATCCTTTCAGATCTTACAATAAAGAGGGAAAATTTATTGCCTGATAATTTTGCTAGATAATGTGGGAAATCCGCGAGTGAATTTTCTTTTTCCCAATCTGCAACAGGGAGAAGAACTATGATATTGAGGTTAAGAACTTGGAAGGCGAGTACAAAAACTGGCAAAAGAAAATACACCCGGATTTAGTGCATTCAAAATCTGAGGTTGGTCTAACGGATTTCCTTTCTTCTTGTTATTTACAAATCTAATTTTAACGAGATGGGCAAACTGAATACATTTCTCTTTTTTCTTCCCCTTAACTTTATGCCTAGAAAGAAAGAGATTTTGCTGCTGAACAATCTGCCAAGGTGATTGATGCATATCGGACACTTACTAGACCTTTGTCAAGAGCAATTTACTTGGTAAGCATATTTTCATCCTTATGTCACTAAAATGGTCATTCTTCATTGCAGTGGTAGAAGTCTCTCTATGACTTGAAAGTGCTAAAAAGAAGTGGGTCAATGATAATAATATATTTGTGAAGAACATTCTATATCTATGTACCCAAAAAAAGAAAGAAAGAATATTCTATACCTGATGGTAGATGTTCATGAATCTGCTGTGGGTATCTTAGAACTTCTTTCTTTGTAAAAGTGTAAATTTTATGCGATGAAGTCTATGATACGAATGTCATGAATGAGTCATCCACCAAAACTTTTGGCTTTGATTGTTCGGCTCTTCCTTCCGTCATGTTATTAAGTAATGTTGTGCCAATGTTTTCCAGTTGAAGCTTGAGGGAATAGAAGTTGATGATGAACAGACTGTTTCAGACCCTGAACTACTAGCTGAGGTACTTAAATAGCCTGTGATATGCATTTATTGTGTTTTTTTAAGCTTCTTTTATAGATATGGATGACTAGTTACTGCATTTGAAAACAACTCCAAAATGGGAACAAATATTGTATTTATCTATTCAAATAATTAATTGATTGAAAACATGATGGGATAAGTGAAGTTTTTGGAATGCTGGATTAATCCATGGATTTCATTTATTGAATATATGCTCCAACAATTTATATGTGGAATCATGATGAAAGTGGCAGTAGTGGAGAGGAATTCAAAAGTTGGGTTGTTTGGGTGCTGGGAAAATTTTTTCTTCCTTTTCTCTTCATGCCCCCTAGCCTTTTTCTTCCTTCTCTTGAGTAATCAGGCTTCCTTTTCAGATTTTTAACAGTAACACTGGATTTTCTTGATAAAAATTATTATGTTCTATCTCCTATTCATATGTGCCCTTTTTGACCATAGGACGACCTGATTTTCTGTCTGTTGTCTATATGTTTGGCCAGAGATGAGAAAAAGAGCCTATTATCTATCATTTTGTTAAATTTTACTGCAGATTTTGGAAATCAGGGAAGCAGTTGAAGACGCTGCTGACTCTGAGGCTTTAAATCACATTCGCTCTGAGGTAACTATTATTGCTCTAATTTGCCAGTCAGAAATCCACTGAAAAGATTGCTTCCATAATCTTCCATTTTGTTATTGCTTATACATGGATTATTATTATTTGCTATTACTGCTTTGCATCACCATGATGTCAAACCTTTCATTTCATGCAGATGCAGGAAAAGTTGAAGCACTGGTCTAATGTCTTTGCTGATGCATTTCAAAGCCGTAACTTTGAAGAAGCTAAATCATCGATTCAAAGAATGACATACTATGAGCGTGTAACTGACGAAGTAGCAAAGAAACTTTGATATAGGCTCTAGGTCAAAAGTGATTTACACTTGTTAGAAGGTCAAATTCAGGAAATAAGAGCGAAGTGGTTTCCATTTGTATTCCATTTCATTGCTAACATTTGTCGCTAATTGAGGTGAGCATGAGAGGAGAATGGAGGATAAAAGCAAACAATTACTCGTTCCTTTATTATAGAAGTTGGTGGCATGAGACGACAGTGGTGGTAGTTCTGGAGGGGTGCCATGTCTGAGCTTTCTACTTCCACTCTTATTGAGCAACAGGAAGTGCAGTCAGTACACAGCTCCCACCTTTTCTCTCTGTAGTTTATTACGTCGTGAACGCGATACAAGGGGCCCCTTTTTGGTTTTTGCTTGTGTGATTTTTAAATCATTCTAGTGCAGACCTGGAGGATTGGGACATTCCTTTTGTGGCACCTGATGGACCTGTCTGAGGAATTTGAACGTGAGTCGTCCAATTTGTGACATGGTACCTTAATGCTGCTGATGATTGAGAGTTCTTTTTTTTTTTTGCCATGACATCATTATACTTCCCTAGCTTTGGGGAGCTTGTGTAATGCAATTTGGGTTTACACGCACAACTATTAAATCGACTACAATCCACGCTCGTGTTGATTGATGTTTTCTCAATGCCTCCCCCCCCCCTTCCGGGAGCATCATTTTGGTGAATGATTACTATGGGGATGTCAAGTTTCAGAAGTGTACCAAGAGTCAGGTAAAAAAAAAACAAGAAGAAGAAGTGTACCCAGAGCACCCTATCAGAGAAGAAACTTGTAAATTTTAATCCTGACTTTTGCTGCAATACAACACAGGCTAAATCTGGCTTGCCTTCCCTGTTTAACCTATAAAATACGGTTCGAAAATTGATGGCATAGCAAGTGCTGGTTTATGACTTGACGGCTTGACCGTCCTGTTTCTCAAAAAAAATTTTGGTAAATTTCTTAAAATTTTATATAGCTTTTCCTGAGGCCACAATCACTCATGCACCATCTATTATACCTACATCCGTATATAAAGAGGAGGGAAGCAGGAGCACTTTTACTTCCTTCATTTCATGTCTATGCTCAAGGCATCTCTTTTTTCCGCTAATAGTCGTGTTGTTGTTGGGCGTCAAGAAAGCGCGATTTGTATTGATAAGAAAAATAATCTCCGTCGCAGTTCCCAAGCAGCGCCTATGGCCTAATGGATAAGGCGTCTGACTTCTAATCAGACGATTGTGGGTTCGAGTCCCACTAGGCGTGCATTTCCCATTTTAAATCTAAAAAATTGGATGACTTCAGTGTTTTTTTTTTTTTTTTAATCACAAGAAATAATTTTAGAAGTACTACATTGATATGGGATTATGTTATATGGACCCTTGGTTGGACTTGCCGAGAAAGGAAAGTGCCGCCTATAGCCGACCCGGGGAGGGAGGGGGGGGGTAAAGTACAGCCTATATATAACGGCATCAACGAAACGCACCGCTTTTAACCTCACAGGGGCGGTGATCCTTTTTGCGAGCCAGCTATGGGATGGGTTTGGAGGGAGGACGACGACGATCAGCAGCCTGCATCATCTCGTGAAAATCGCGAAGTCGGGAGCTCTGACGCTCACTCCTGGGGACCATGCTCTACCCGGAAGGTCATGAAATCGCGGTGCAGAACGGAGGAGGTTGAGCCTGGCAAGTTTCTCAGGAAATGCGAGAAATCCCAAGAGATTTTCAGGGATTGTATCGGAAAGTTAGTATTTTTACCGACTTCCTCCATTTCGTTTTTTGGATATCCTCCTTTTTATTTATCTAGGTAAATGGATTCCTCTTTTATTGTCCGTTGATTTGGATTTTTTGGCCGAAACATTGATTCAGACTTCAGATTTTACACTCAACATTATTCCCCTGCTTTCCTGTGTCCTACTGTGGGTTTTGTTTCTTCAGTTTTTCTTTCTTAGTAGCTTATGCCCTTTTATTTTGTACTCGTTACTTAGCAATTTATCAGCTCTGGTTGTGCATCCATATTACTGTGAACCCTTGGTGAATCAAGTTTAAAGTCTAGTTGTTTGGAGGACCTGGCAGAAGGAAAATTCTTGTGAAGGAGGATCTGGCACTAACGGTTGCACTCTTAGTTTTTTTTTTTTTTTGAGGGGGGGGGGGGTTTCCTTGCGATACGGGGTGGGTATAGCTTCTCTTTACTGATTTCATGATTTTCTGTCACAGAATCATAGCAAAACTCTGGTTATTTGTTCACAAATGCACTTAGAGGCCTATGCCCAGTTAGAACAAGGAAATCAAGATTTTAGAGGCAACTGACGTGGTGTCTTACTGAAAGCCCCGAACTCCTACCCTATACTTCATTTTCCATTCCTCCTCTCTCATTCTTGTTCCTTTGGTGTATTATATGATTGCTTAATTATGGATTTCCCATGTTTCAGGCCTGTTGAAGTGGTGGAATCCAACAAAGAGTATACTGAAGATGACGTTACAGAGGAGGTTCTTCAAAGAAGGCCCTCAAAGCTTGGTTCACCAGATGCTGGAGTGTTTGACTTCCCTGGGCTACGAGGTGATTTGGAAGCCATGGAAAAGAACGTCATCGATGGTCTGTCTCGATTCTTTGATGCAGCTGAAGAAATGAAGAATGGCTTCGTTGACGTTCTTGCAAAAGCTCAGCGCATATTTGATGAGCCCTCGGGAAAGCAAGAGCGAGAAGCCTCCGCGAAGCCAAATGAGGATCAAAATGGAGCCATCGATGCTGACTTATCAGCATTGGCTAAGGATGTTTAAATTGAGCTGCTTAATGATCATTGTATCTTGAACTATTATTAACCACTGAATGGATATTCGGATATCAACAAAGTAAGTCATCATGAATACTACGAATCTTGACGATGACTTTTAAGATCACCAAAAACTGTAAAACTCTCTGGACTTGCCCTCAATTCGATTGCATGTCATCTCTCATTCTTCCCTTTGTTTAACTCAACCTATTACTTATACCACAACCTTGAAGGTAACCGTTGGTAATGAATAAAAAGAAAATCGATCATTTGCGATAACGAACAAACCAACAATGTTCAGTAGTAAACTCAAGTTTAAATTGAGCGATTAAAATGATGTTCTTAAAAATTTGGCGAAAATGCATGCCCTTGGAACTTGTGCCAACAATGGGGGGTTGGTTCATCCAACAATTTGGGCGTGGGCATATTTTTGTTGGTGAAGCAACACGACTAAGGGCCGTCCTGGACTTGCATGTCATAGATTCTTGCATATATGTGTGTTAACGATCGAAATTCCAGTGTTTTCTCAAATAGTTATGGTTGTTAAAGTCAGTTATATTTTAATCATATACCCTGGTAGTACTGTTAACACCTTGTCAAATGGCAATTATGTATTTTGTTGTGATCTTTATTATTTATAGATTAATATTATTAATAATAAAAATAAATAAGAAATTGAATTACCAGCGGAGCCCCCTGCGGCCGTGCGGCCTGCCAGAACACTTGAAAGTTCCATAAAAATCTGGACCGTCCAATAAGGCAGGCCAATCTTTCCAAGCCATCCGATTAGTTCATGCCTCGATGTGATACGCGTTTCCTCTCGGATTTTTGACTCAGCTTTGTAACAGAAATACCGGTAACACCCTATGCCTTGGTTCTTTCGCCATCTATCGTTTCAATCCTTCATTTTCTCACCTAATTCGTGCCTGTATGCTTCGCGAGAGAAAGATTAAGGATTGTAGAGTTGTTCGTTCCTAAAATCCAGAGATTTCCCAAGATTTCTCCTGTCAGTTTGCTTTTTCGTTTTTCCCTTGGGTTTCATCTTCCTTATCCCCTCCTTCATTTCGTTATAGTAACATTCAGCTCTAATCATCGGAAAGTTTCTTCCTTTAAACCTTCAAATCCTGCATTTGTGCGTGTTTTGGCGGAGTCATAACCCGAATAGATTGGGCATTTGGGGGATCACCTTCCCGTGTTTCCCTGGCCCACGAAATATTCGCCTTGTAATGTTCGATTATTCACCGGAAACATCAAAATGTGCAGGAAACATGATTTGAAACACATAAGAGGTGAGTAGCGTGACATGGGAAACAACTGTGTCTGTTTTGGATCGAGAACTTCAAAGAATAAAGAAGTTCCCGAGGTTTCGAATTCAGCTGGGTGTTGTACTCAATTCACAAATTGTATACTTTGCCATAAACGCGAAGCAAATGCGAATGCAGCACCAAGTAATAACGAGCCAAATTCCTCAAACACTGTCGCCGACAAGCCTCCAGTGGTAGCTAGAATGGAAAAGGAGGGACCAAAATCAGTACTTGAGGATGGCACCAAAAAAGACCATGTCCCAGAGACTAAAAAATCTTCAGAACCCGGAAGGCAGGTAGAGGATAGGAGGGTAGCAGAAGCGTCAACTTCAAGAACAACAAAGAAAGCAGGTTCTGCTGAACAAAAGAAGCCCTACAATGTGAAGAGGCAAGCAGCGGTAGGGCTTAAAGCAGAGTCTGTGTTGCAAACAAAAACAGGAAATCTGAAGGAGTTCTACACTTTGGGAAGGAAGCTTGGGAATGGGCAATTTGGGACTACATTTCATTGTGTGGAGAAGGACACAGGGAAAGGGTATGCTTGCAAGTCAATAGCCAAGAGGAAATTGGTAACAGAGGAAGATGTGGAGGATGTGAGGAGGGAGATTCGGATAATGCATCACTTGGCAGGCTGTCCTGATGTGATATCCATAAAAGGAGCTTATGAGGATGCCCTGGCTGTTCATGTTGTGATGGAGCTATGTGCAGGTGGTGAGTTGTTTGACAGGATTGTACAGAGAGGGCATTACACTGAGAGAAAAGCAGCTCAAATAGCCAGGACTGTAGTTGGTGTCATTGAAGCTTGTCACTCACTGGGAGTAATGCATCGCGATCTTAAGCCCGAAAATTTTCTCTTCACTAATGATCAGGAGGATTCTCCCCTTAAGGCTATCGATTTTGGCTTGTCTGCTTTCTTCAAACCAGGTTTGCTCCTGAGTCTCCTCTTTCACTTAACATTTCTCGCTGAATGTTTGCTGCTTAATGAGGAAAAAGTGAGCTTGAACAATGAATCCTCTTTCGGCATCATTGATTCTGCTAGTGACATTGGTGTGAATGTTTGGTTAATGCAGGGGATATATTTAATGACGTGGTGGGTAGCCCATACTACGTTGCACCAGAAGTCCTAAAGAAGCGTTATGGTCCAGAAGCTGATGTGTGGAGTGCTGGTGTAATCATATTCATTCTGTTAAGTGGGGTGCCTCCGTTTTGGGCTGGTAAGACGTCATGTAACATGTCCAGCGCATGATGATCCAATCTTTTTTATTTGTTATCATTTGAATTTGTCAATTTGATTCTCAAAAATTGTAATTTGCAGAAACGGAGAAAGAGATATTTAGCGAAGTATTGCACGGTGAACTTGATTTCAAGTCAGATCCCTGGCCTAAGATTTCTGAGAGTGCAAAGGACTTGGTCAGGAAGATGCTCGATAGAGATCCTAGCAAGAGATTAACAGCCCACGAAGTTCTCTGTAAGTTTCTGTACTCAGTTTCTCATGATTTTGTTTATAATTTACATGATAGACATGACCTTCTGGAGATAATGAATATTACTTGCCAAAAAAACAAAAAAACGATTAACCATTGAATTCTCAGAATCATCATAATTTCAAACAAAACTACAGAAATGGTACAATCTTATAGTAAATAACAATGCTGTGATTTGATCCAGGTCATCCTTGGATTCGAGTTGATGGAGCAGCTCCTGATAAGCCTCTTGACCCTGCAGTTCTGACTCGCCTGAAGCAGTTTTCTGCAATGAACAAGCTCAAAAAAATGGCTCTTAGAGTAAGTTATTTTTGAAATTGAATCATACAACTCAGGTGATATTGTTCTGTAAACAGAGTGTGAATGTGGCTCATTATTGTTGGGTGGCCGCAGATTATTGCCCAGAACCTATCCGAGGAAGAAATTGCAGGGTTGAAAGAAATGTTTAAAATGATAGATACAGACAATAGTGGTCAAATTACTTTTGAAGAACTCAAGGCTGGATTGAAAGCCTTCGGAGCTAACATCGATGAATCTGAGATTCACAATCTAATGCAAGCGGTAAGTAACTGGAAAAATCTTGCCTTGAAACAAAAAACACCATATCTCTAGCAGCACATTAATGTAACAATCCCTGTATAACTAGGAATGACCATTATAAATTCCTGTGTTGTCAAATAATATTACAGGCAGACGTTGACAATAGTGGCACAATAGACTACGCAGAATTCATAGCAGCAACCTTGAATCTCAACAAAGCTGAGAAAGAAGACAACTTAGTCGCTGCCTTCCGTTATTTTGACAAAGACGGAAGTGGCTACATCACCCAAGACGAGCTTCAACAAGTTTGTGAAGAAATTGGTCTGGAGAATGTTCGCTGGGAGGAGATCATGCGTGAGGCTGATCAAGATAATGTGAGTGTAACCACATATTCACAAATTATATAACCCTCATACTCCAATAGTTCATTGCAATGAAACTCACCTGTCTCTTACTTTTACGGTTTCAGGATGGCCGAATAGACTACAATGAATTTGTGGCAATGATGCAGATAGACAATGCAGATATGGTAAAGAAGGGCATAAGGCGGAAATAAGAATAGTATTAGCGTTGCAGGTAGAGAGAGGCATTGTCATCAGTCTGCTAAGACATACAGTGGATGATTCTCTTCTTTTTCTTCTTCTCCTTTCATGGGGTTTGCCCTTGAATGTAAATTATGGAAGGGAAAGATAGCTCTTTTACTGTAGGTTTTGATTACCTGGAATCGCATTAGAGCTAGAAATTTAATGCAGAGAAGTGCAAGTGCATGCATATTCATACAGCAGGATGAGGGCTATGACTTGACGACGAGAGAGGTTTCTGAGTAGTATCTGTCATATGCTTGTTTGCCAGGGTTCAAAGGTTTAGAATAGCTTCCCTATCATCAGAACACATCCCTATGTCCATTATTGCCGGAGAAACCTTGGACCACCGACTTACAGTGCACCCTCTACTTAATACCCACCCATTTCCACACATAATTAAACATTTAATTATGTTCAACATGAAACTATTATAGGCATCCATCTTCAAACTTAATACCCACACATTCATAACTTTTTAAACTAGTTACCTGACCAACCTCATTTAATTCCCATCATTCCCAAACAATCCATTTCTTTTGTAATAAGTAATTGGGTACCTTTACACAACCTTTCACTATTTTGGTTAAGTTTATTATTTGTGCGCATTACTCATGGTGGTGAATTATTGGCTGCATGCACCATCTACTTTAGGTGGGGAAAAACTACATTCTGTCTTGCAGTCTTGTTTTGACATTCTTTTAATTATTCTGTGAAGCCGTGGGAAGGTGATGCGTGGCAAAAAGCACTGCCCGGTCAGTGTCTTCGATTTGGCATATCTAATTCCATGTGTGTATATCCATACGCTTCTCTGTTTTTGTCACTCTCTAGATTTCTTCCATCCCCCTGCCTTCTACTTTACGATTTTCTTAAATATATAAATGTTTTCCCCTTTTTATTATTCTGTCTTTAACCTCTTTTCTAAATGGGAATGTATAGAGGTTTGGATAGATATTGAAAACACACGCACACATATATATACACACGATGACAATGCAGAGGAATTAGTCTCATGAAACTGAAGAGATAATGCAAATACACTTTTGTGATGAGGCGGATGAGTTGGGTCCCTTGTCAAGGGGGTTCGGCGGTCTGGTTAATGAAGTTAAGATTAGGAGTGGGATAATTAATGCTGTTTATGTAGCATTGATTAGGGCTTAATCAAAGTTTATGTTGAGGGAGATTTAAAGGATTTGGTGGGATTCATGCGTCAGCTAGTCAAATCCCAGCTTCTGGCCGACAACCCGAAGACTCCAACAACGATGCTATAGTTGAAAGTTGCAAAATTATTGAGAAAGATCGAGGTTAATTTACCTAATTAGTTAGTTAATCGTTGTAAGTAAGACTGGATGCCCCAACAGTTGCATCGAAGAATACTTCTCAAAGGTTGCGATAATCATCAGTCACTTTGAAAGAACGGAGATTCTTTTTGAAAGGGCATGGAAGGAGGTTTTGCTGTAAATTAATTAATTTATCCTTCATATTTACTTTTCCCCTCTTCTTTCACCACAGTAACGCAGTACTTTATTCTGGGTTAAACGGTTTCAAGACACTATCGAGTACTAAATGTAAACACTTCTCTCAGCAAGGGAATTAAACATTGATTCGTCACGTTGTGAGGGACTAGCCTGTTCCGTTAGACCCAACTCCCGTTGGTAAAAAGAAGATAATTAAATTGGCGTACATGATCCCAAAAAAATATTAGAATAATCATGGATTTTTTTTTTAAAAAAAAAGAGTAATTTCTTTCTTTCTTTGTTGAACCGCGATTAGAGTCACTTAGAGTCACGATACATTATTTTTCATAAGAAGAATGGATAAATGATAATTAAGTTGACAAAAATGCACTGTGATTGGCAAGGCGTTCTTAAGCAAGCATCATAATATCTATAACCTCTTGTTGAACTGTAAGGTGAGGGCATTGTGGGGGGAAATGAAAATTAAAGGCCCCGGGGGGGGGGGACCGGGGGTTTAGCTAGCATGTGAGGCGACGTTGAAGAATGGATGAAGCTACGAAAATCACGGCACAGCCGTAACTTGATGTTTGGAGTAGACATATTAATGCTGTCACTTTTGACATTAATTACTTGTAACTTAATTCTTCACCCTTTTGAGATTATCATCCTTAATTAGTCTCCTCCCCTCCAATCATCTTCCTTCTTAATTATAATCCTTCACCCTTCATCCTTCATCCATTCGTCTCTCTCTCTATCTCTATTTCTATCTTAATCAGATGTAGCATGCACGATACACTCACCTACCTTAAAATATTGCAGGCCACACACACACATTTACATATGACACCATGCGCACATCACGTATGCCTTGTTATTTAATTTATTCATTTATTTATGTTTTAGGTGATTTGATGCTGTCCTCTTTAAAAATTAAAATGATTCGACCCCCCTCAAAGAATATTACCTTTGAAGATGCAACCTCGTAGCCTGTCTGTAGACATAACAAGTTGTAACCTTCAAACGAGTATTCAAGGTAGCTTGCTGTGCTGGCCTGTAGACACAATTGTATTGGCTTCTACACGTTCATGATAAATTTCTCAATCTTTCTTATGCAATCTTGTGATGTCATATGTATAGGTGACACTTACTTAAGATAAGCTGTATTTTGTTTTTTTGTTTTTAATATTACCTCCCATTCTAAGTATAAAAACTAATTTATGATACAATGTGACTACAAATTAGCTTTTCTATTTAAAATCAAAGGTGGAACTTTTGGAAGAAAATAATCTCCGAAATTTGTTGGATTGTAATTAATTAGAGGAGCAAGTCAGCAGAACATCAGATGCATTAACAAATGAACAGATGTACTACCAAATTAGCATGATATTTATTATGTTATTTGCGGGGGATGGGGTCCAACTTTTATATTAATGTAACAGGGGAAGGAATAGAGTGGGCATATGTGATGTCGGGAGAATGACATTGAAAGGGATCCGAGGAAGAAGGGCGGTCATTCTTATCCGGGTTGAGGCACGCCGCATGGCTGGCGCGTGCAAATTACGAGACCAAGGCGCTGCGAGTATGACAGAATAATGCGTGACGCTGAATGAAGCGCCACTCCACACAAGATCCCAACGCCGAAACGCATCCAAAAAGCAGATTAAACTCTCTCTCTCTCTCTCTCTCTCGTGTCCTCTATCGCTGAATATGATATTTCTGTTCGCAACGGGGGCTCTCGTATGCACGGCCCCGATTTTGTTCCCGATCCTCACAACCGTCCGATCATCGCACGTTCTGACAGCTCACGTTCCGTTGGTGGGGCTCGTCTCAGGGTTGGCCTAACGTGCGACCAATCATGTTGTTGGGTGGCGCCACGTCACCCCTCCTGAGACACTCCCCTCTCCCCACTCCAAGCCCCCTTGCCCTCCCTCCCTCCTTACATTCCCATGTTCTCCCACAGCGCCTCTTGTTCCTCCTTCAATCATTGCTCCTTCCCCTCATCCTTTTACCATTTTGTCCCCCTCCCTTCCCTTTAACTCTATTCAAATGCTTCGGCTTCATAACAGAACATGCCATTTTGTATTTAGTTTAATGCTGGAGTCGGTGAATATAAGGCTGCATTTCCAAATTTGGATTTGAGCGCATGATAAAGCGGAGAGAAAAGTATGGTGATTTGGCTTTGATCAGAGGGTACATGTCCAGCCAAAAATAATTCAGTACTTGTGGACAAACGTCTCTTCTTCAATCTTTTTGCTCTCCAGATATAAATATTCTTCTCTTCTCGTCACCTTTCGTCCGCACCAGAAATCCCACCCCCCCTAACTCCGTTTCATTAACACCAAATCATAACAACGCAATGATTGATCACTTGCAACTTTTCCGATCATGAATGATAATAATTGATTTATGAATTTCCTAAATGAAATGTCTGACCCGTAATTAGGCCCCATTAATCATCATTCCTCACCAATCACTGGACACAGCAACAGGGTAAATGTCACCCTTTTGATCCTGCCTCCTCAAAGCGCTTGGGGTGACAGTTAAACAAGAAAAAAAAGAAAAGAGGAACCCAGACTGTTTCTAAATTCTTCTGTGTGTGTGTGTGTGTGTGTGTGTGTTTTTTTTTTTTTTGGCCCTGGAAAATATAATAATAACTGCTTACGTTGACGGTTAGAGTTACAAGTGGCAAAAAAGTCATTGTGGGAAGTTCCTATTAATCTATCTATTCCAGTTCATTGAAAGTTCGTCTCACTTGGAGCTTTCTTCCCACGAATCTGTCTTCTCCATATCTCCAACGAAAACTTCAGTTTCACCAACTCCTCCTTTCATCTTCGTCTTTCTATCCCATTCGATTACCGCTTAAAAGACATCCCACCCAGTGCTTCTAATCCATCGCCACTTTCATCAACTCCCCTCTCCGTACTTCCAACCTTACCCCATAATTCGGTCTTTGAATTTCTCAACTCACGCCTCGATCTCCATTCCCTCCTGATACTTATTAATAAATCAAGATTCGAGACTATATATTCAAGAACCCCAGTTTCTGAGGTATGATAAATCATTAATGATTTTCAGGAGTTTATTTGTTATCCCAGACAATATTGTTCGTTTTCCAGATGTAATCTGTTTTTCTGTTACCCTGATTTGGATTCTGCTGACATGCTATTATTAGATTCTGTGTGTTTCTTTCCTTCAAGAATCCTGCTAGTCTCGTCTGGTTCTGCGTTAAGCTTTTGAAAAGTTCGCAGGATTCATTCTTCTTCGTGTTTGTTTTCTTACTGAATGGCTGCCTCATGGCAATCTGAGGACTGAAACAGGAAGTAGTGAACAGAACGAAATACATGTAGGTGTCGTTCATAATATATTATATCCATTCCCAATGTCTTCTTCTTTGAATATTTTCATTTCAAAAGATCACGATCATCTGGTGGACGCTAGAATGATGAGGATAATCAATGAGAATAAGAAATTGTGTAAAGAATGAGTCTTGAAAAGGTTCACTCATAGACGGTCTACATTGTAATTCAAATCTTCAACACTGTGTTCTGACCTGGTAACATTAGGATTCGATAAAACGTTCTGCAGAGTATGCCATTTATGGCGAAGCAGAGAACTCTGTTCCTTTGAATGTTTTTCATTTTCTTAACAACTTGTGAAATATTCAGAAAGCCATTTCATTAAAAAGATACAGATATTATTAGCACATGGAAGAGTTCCCAATTGTGAGACACTGCAATAATATCGTTTGGTTCTTGTGTTCATGAGCCTAGGTCTTCGTTCTCTGGACTATAACTCTTTGTCTGGTAGCCATTTATTGTCTAGTTCTCATAATTTTTTGTTTATGTCCCTTGATCCGCATCACTAGTAGATGTGCTCATATATGTGTCTGCTCTTTTGCCAGCTGATCGTGCCCCAACATTCTATCTTCCCTGAGTTTTTGGAACGGAATGGAGTCTGAAAACGGGGTTGCTGTGGAGGAAGAGAAGCGTGTCATTGAGGAAACAAGGGATGAGAATCTAAACAATGAAGAGAACAAGGATTGTAATGGTACCGAAGGACAGAGCCAAAATGAAGCGGCTAAGCCCACAGTTGAAGCTGAAGGCTCCAAATCTGTAGCTGCTGGAGTTGCAGGCGAAGCCCCTCTAACTTCTTCTGCAAGTAAAACCTCAAAACGTGCTACCAAGGTACCACATATAACGAATCAGAATTGTTGTCCGCGTCTACTTCTGTAATGATTATTCACAATTACATCGCATGATGTGGGAAAGTTTGCTAATTCCCAATTGCTATGCTTAGGAAACTGGTGTTGCTTCAAAGAACAGCAAATCTGCAAGAGACAAACCCAATTTGAAAGGCTCGACTTCGATGCCTCAAAAACAAAGGCCAACCCAGTCTCAGAGCCTGTCATTCCCAACCAAAACAACTAGTGGGGCAGCCGTGAAGAAAAGCGTTGAAGATAATGAGATTAGAGCTGAGGCTTCTGTTCGTCCATCAATCAAATCTACAACCCCTGAATCGAGCTCAAAGGAAGTAAAGACAGAGACTGAAAGTGTTAGCAGGAGAGCTTCTTTGACATCCAAGCCCAGCTTTAAACGCTCTGTGGTAAATTCTGTGTTTTTTTACTCGGTGCTTTCTGTTTGTGTAGCTTCATAGCTTCTTTGCTTTGGCGTCCTTGTATCTGAGATCTGTGTTGTGTAACAGTTTGGAAGGACTACTGAGGTGAATGCGGTAGCTAAAAGCCATACCTCTGAGACATCCCTGTAAGCCACACCTCAATCTTCCAGTTTATAATTTTCATTAAAATTTGTCTTTCCTACAAGTCGCTGCAGCTTCAGAAGTGTGGCCCATGCCTGTATGCCAGAATATATTATACTGACTCTTTGACATTGTGGCAGCATCGTGGGTCAGAATTCAAACGCAGCAAAAACAACTGCAAAGCCAAATAAAGAGGAGGATGATACTAACTCAACAACTTCGTATGATTTATAATAACTTGTCTTTCTTTGTCGGGTTTTTATGGCTAGAATTGTTGACAATTTTCTTCTGTATTTACGCTATCAGAAGTGCTACTCCTGGACGGAAAAGCAATGGGGTTGGATTTTCCTTCAGGCTGGAAGAACGAGCTGAAAAGCGAAAGGAGGTTATTGCTGCAGCCTTGCACTCTTTCTAACAGTTGTTATTTCAAAATTCCGCCTACTAAATCTCTTTGGTTGGCCAGTTTTTTTCCAAGTTGGAAGAGAAAATCCAGGCGCAAGAAGCAGAGAAAACCGACTTGCAAGCGAAATCAAAGGTACCAACACGAGGAGGTTTCGCAAGATTTTCTGTCGTGAGTGCTTTTGGTTTTTATTAAACGGGATGTGTTGCAGGAAAACCAGGAGGCGGAGATCAAGCAGCTAAGGAAGACCATGACTTTCAAAGCCACTCCAATGCCAAGTTTCTACAAGGAACCCCCTCCAAAAGTCGAACTCAAGAAGGTAACCATTCTATTTCTTATTCTGCTATCGCCACCTTTATTTCTCACTTCCATTAAATGTAACATTCTTTGTGACATCATTTGGTGCTTTAGATTCCAACGACCCGAGCAAGATCTCCAAAGCTGGGACGGCACAAAACTTCTGGGGTGACTAATCACAATAACCCAGATGAAAAATCTTGTTCCAGCCCACGGGTGAAACACCAGCAGAATGAGCCAACCAGGCCAAGATAAAGGTTGATAACGATGTTAATCCCAGGAAACCAAACAGGAAGATCAAAGCTAAGACGCAGCCTCAGGGATCTGCAAGCAGTAGGAGTAATGCGAAAATCAGCCAAAATGGCAATGGGGAATGCCGAGAAGCCGTTGAATCAGAGGAAAATATCGCCCCAACCAGTGCACAGATCACAGCGACCACGCCAGAGAATTAACGGTATGAGGTTACTGTTGGAGTGTAGATTCGTATGCCGAACGTATATTTTACACACACACTTAGGATTCTGTGTTCTTTTCCGATTATTTTATTTCATTATCATCATTGTAGATATAAAGATTGCCTCGTCCTGAATCTGCTTTGCATATATATATATATATATATATATATATATATATATTTGTCTCTCGCTTTGATCTGTTGACCTCTGGTGTGTTCTATTACAAATTCCTGCTTAATCCATCTTCTTAAATTCCCTTTTTATCTCTGGCTTTTAATTTGAGTGAGCAACTCAATTTCTTTATATGTTTGCTTCTTAAAAAAAATCCTGATCAATCAATTAAATATAGAAAAAAAATTATAACAAAAAGTATTATTTAAGTCGCAAATAATATAATTTATTTTTAATTTCGTACAAATACATGGCTAGTTAAGGTGGGATTGACTTTTAAAGTTACTCCTTGCGCGGAAAATTTTAGAACCTCGTAACATAATGCAAACTGCACATAAGATGCGATTCATAACAATGCACAAACAGCCATGTGCCCCTTAGATTTGGCCGCTCGTCTTTCTTTCTACCCCGCAATAGATCACATTTTACGATATCATCTACCATATGAGGCATCAAGGTAAAAAAAATATCCTTCCCGTCTTAAATGTAAAATCTTTTTTGTAGTGTAAATTACACTATAAAATATGGCTTATATTTAGAATTGGAGGAATATATCACATAAAACATGAATCAAGATTTTCCTCTCCATCTCAAGATATGCCTATAGGGATGGGGAAGCGAGGAACGTCGCAATTTAAGTATCAAAATTGATGCCCCAGTTTCACTAAAAAAAAAAAAATTGATGTCCGATCTTTTGACCTAGAAATTTAGAATCGAATATATATGCGACACCTTCTATAAGATATAGATAGTTTTTGTTATAAACCTTAATGGGTTATTAATTACTTTTTTCCCAGTATCACTTATATTTAGAGCCATTAGCTCTGAGAGAGAACATAATACAAATCTGAAAATTTTCTGTTCCAGTGTGCGTAAAATCATAAAATAATAATACGGAGTATAAAGCTGAACCCTCCCAGTTCGAGACATATTGGCCGGTCGATGAGGACGACGCTATGAACCCGCACTATATAAATGCGTGTGGGCTGTGGCGGTTTTTTTTTTTTTTTGCTTGTATAGATATTATTTTATTGGAGACAATCCTATTCGAGATACTGTCAAACACTAAATGTGAGTACCTTTACCACTAGAGATTCGAATCTTAGTTTGTCACGAGGAACTAACCCCTTCTATTAGATCTAATCTCTGCTGGTCTGTGGCGGCTATTTTTCATTTGTAATATCTAAGTGTTCCTTTTTCTGCGGAAAATAAATGCAAGAAACAGAGCTTTCAAGTTTACAAAGGGACATGCTTGGGCCTTTGACAGCAATAGTTGTCATGCTGGATGGGCCCGTTTTGCACTTCGCTTATTTTGTGTCTGTATCTGGAGCTCTCCTCCACATGCTATAATTTCAACCAGAGTCAGGGTCTAATAGAAAAAACTTTTGAATTCCTGTTGAAAAAAGGTTCACATTTAGTGTTTAGTAATGTCTTAAAACAACATTGTCGGAGAATACATGTGCTTAGTAAAAAAAAAAAACATTTTAAGAAAAACCCGTGATTTTTGTCCGGGTTCCCCGAAAAGATAATAAAATCAAAAGCCATATCCACAGAAAACTGATGATGCATCAAGAATTATACATTTGGACCGCTTATGATTCTGATCTTCATACCTTTTTTTTAACGGGAAAATTCTGATCTTCATACAGCATTGGTTAACCTAAAAAGAGACCGAGTACGTTGGCCTTCTGACATTGCTCGATTGAGTGCAGCTCATGTTGATTTTTCTGTTTGGGCCTATAAGAAATGTTGAGTGATTAGTCCGTAAGAGCGAATTGGCCTGTAACAATGGACTCGCGAAGAATCATTTACATTGAAATTTTTGGTAAAACATTAAACTTCTATTTGGTGAGAGAAAAATGAAGGAAAGGAGAGGGGAGAAAAAAATTTTAGTTGGCTTACTTTAAAAAAAGAATGCGGTTAAAAATTTTTAATTAATTTTTATTACTCTTTTATCTTATATCTTCTTTTTATTAAAACTTTAAAACTCCACTTTTTCAGTCAAGCTCATTAAAATTTTCTCCCCCCCCCCCCACCATCCCCCGGGAATGTAACGAAGTGGTAGAGATTTGAACATTCATTAAAAGCAGGAATGAACCTTGAGTGGGAGAATCATTAGCCATCACTTCAATCTGAAGCCTTGTGATTTTTGCCCTTTGTCTCATCCATTGCTCTGTAGAATTTAACACAAGTTGCGATATTTTTAACTTATAAATGATGCAGCTTCTTTTATATTTTATGCAGATACATTGATAGATGATATTATTTTTATTATATTTCAATTTTAGTTTCATATTTAAATATAAGGTCTTATATCATTCAATCCTTTGAAAAACATTTTTATCCTAATTTAATCCTTCAATATAAATTCTTTTGTTTTAGTTTTCTTTTTTTTTTGAATTTCTTCATCCGGTATCTTAGGCCAACCCCTAACACTAGGACTTTAAGGGCTCAGACTAATCCGGATTCGGTCGTTGCAGGACCCCAAGTGTGGTTCTGTTTTGGATTTTTTGATATTTCATCATAGCATTCATAGGCTTTCTTTCAGCAAGAGAGAATGAGTGTTTTTTTTTTCCCCAGTTAGAGGGTATTTTAGTATTTTTAACTAAAAATTATATTCCATTTCCACCCATCTACCAAACATGTTTTAAAATTAAAACTCACTTCCACCCTTTTTAGGAACACTTCCTTGTACCGAACAAAGCATAAGTGCCAGCAGTCGTGGGAAGCCTTTTTCCCACTTAGTAAATTAGGAATTGTTTACCCATAAAAAGAAAAAAAAAACACTTAAATTAACCATGGAAAAAATCCAGAGATGGGTTAGTAATTATTATTAATTAACTCCATTTTGTGAACACATTTTCCTTTTGTTTCCGAGAGAAAAAGCACGTGAAGGTGGGGACAGTTTGTCGGGAAATAAAGGATAATGAATAAATATGCATTATGCAGGAAGATTTTGGGGAGTACCATCAAATACTAACCGACACTGGCAGGCCCAGCCTAGCAAAACCACTGGCTACGCGGCCTCTTGCCCATAGAGACAATCAAATCCAGGCAAAACTCCGTCTGACTTCCCTTTTTACCCCCCCAACCCTTTATATGTTTTTCTCCGCTGAAAGGTTCTTTTCATCATTAGCTGTAAACAGAAAGAACAATGCGATGCTGCTTACCAACCTAATAATAACTCCTAAAGAAAAAGTGCTTCATATCTTAAGCAAGAAGTAGATTATGTATTTGTTTGATTCACGCACAGACTAAGAAAAAAATATGGACCCGTGAAGGGTGTCGTATTCAAATATTTGTTTATTGCATCCAGACCACAGATACACAGAATCGACACACAAAAATAATTAAAAAATTGATATCTAATTACAATATGTGAAACAAAATGACAAAAAATATTATCCTGTGCGAGTTTCCAGAAAATCCTCCAACTCAATCGCTCTCTCCGGTGTTAAATTCACGATACATCCTTCGTATTCAACTGATTACCCCAGCCGCTGCACCGTGCATATTAAAAATAAAGACGGTTAATTCTTTATCCGTGGAAATGAACAAGGCTAAACACTAAATAGAAACCAGGCTATAAAGGGTGAGTCAACTTACCATTTACCGATCTGTTTACATAAATTTACTCCTCTTTTTCCCCACGTTTAGTTGAGAAAGCGATTTCATTAGCAGATTTGTCCAAAAGCTCCAAACATACTACAGGCTGCCTCCAGCAGCTTTCCTGCAGCATCCATCCAGTTAGATAACATAAAATGTTAAGTCAACTAATAACAACGTGATTGGACCACTTTCATTTCATTTATTGCTACTATGCGTTAAAAGAGATAATTGAAGCAAAGGAATTTAGCTACCCTAAATGTGGATCATATAACCAATTCTATATTAGTTGAAGGAATCAAAATATATGCTAATTGTGCATAAAAGATATGATACAACCAAGTGGAGGGCGTAAAATGGTCAGACAGACTGCTGCGGAACCGAATTGATGGCAGGTGGGTTCGTGGGATGTGAATCACAGCCTGGCGTCGTGAGTACTTTATGGTTTATTGATTATCACATGGGCAAGTTGGGAAGGGGGAACCGACTCTTTGGAATAAGAAAACCATTTATGTAGTCAAGTACTATATTTTCCCCCACTGAACCTTAATCTTGGCAAATTCCTCGCGGCTTCCCCAATCAAGGACCTCCAACCATGAGCGATGCTCACTCTAAGGCACACATGTTACTGCAGAAGGAATCTCTCTCACTCAACCTCTCCAGAAACTATACACTAGGTCAAAACCAAAGCTTAAATCTCCGGGCACCCAAAAAAAAAAAAAATGAAAGCTCCGTGATCATCAATTATGTATTACAATCACTACTACTTCCTAACTCAAATTCATTCGTACAATCTAAACCTCAGCAAATGATTATACTTTCCTAGAACTCAATCCTCAATTATTCCCTTTGGGTAACGTCAGGAACGCATAAGCAATTGATAATACAAACAATGGAAGCAAGCAATCAGAACAAATAATAAGAAGCGAAGGAAAATCATTCATACAGAAGAACCACCATACCTCTTCTAGGTTTGGCCGCAACTTTAACGAGAGGAGATGCTTTACGCTGTGTCTTGGGCTCCTCCTCTTGGGGGAAAAGAACTCCATCGATCCCCTGCACCGAAATTCGCCCGTCCGTGTATATATCAGGATCGAACAGATACGCTGACCCTTCACCCTGCCCGAATTTCACAGACCCATCAGCCTCCTGAGCCACGACCTTATGCGGCAACCGCAGGGTATCGTACCGGACCTTCCCAAACCTCCTGACGGCATTATACATGCTCTCTTCCGTTTGATATTCCGGAATGATATGATAGTATATTATCTGCTCCGGTGCGCCCGGTTCACTCAATTGGTCCGTGGTTAACTTGGCCATGGCCTCGTCGTTGGGAGCCAACACGGTCAAGACGTAACCCTCTGAGACTAACCTTCCCATTTCAGCGGCCAAAGATGTCAAGTTCACCAGAATATCGGCCATTTCATTGTACCCGCCGTAATGCAAGAGGGTATGGATGAAGTCCTTAACCTGGCGTTCACCATTGAAGTGGTGGTGAGGACCACCGGGTCCGGGTGCCGGCGCCGGAGCCAGCGAAGGACCTGGTGCCATGGCGTCGTATATTGGCAATAGCGGTGGAGCCCCCACGGGTACAGGCGCGGGTTTCTTCAAACGATGAGTCCTGGGATCGACCTCCGGTGCACCCTCCGGCAGCATCGCCGAGATATCCCGTAGATTCCTCCTCCTGTTAAAATCCTCCTGGACTGATCGAGGAATCAACAAACGCTCAATGCCGTGAATGACACCGTCGGGACGAACAACGTCATCGGGACAAACAATCTCGGCCAAGTCAACGACCTTCTTCCCGGAACCCTTGCTCATCAAATGCACGTGGTCGTCGCTCAGCGTCCGATGCCGAGCGGAGACGGATTTCCCAGAGGGCCATTCATGGGATCCGATTCGTCTGGGAACAATGTGAAACATCAAAAGGGTCTGCAGCGATCTCAAATTACGGGGCTCGAGCAAGAAGCGCTTAAACTCGGGGTCAAGCAGGCGCTCAAGAGCATCGTTTCGGGGGGCGAAAATGGTAATATTGTGGGAGGCGACGGCATCCTCGAGCTTGTGCAAGAGAAGCGCCTTCTCTACAAGCTCAGCGAGCTCTGTGTAATGGGAATCAAGAAGCGCGACGAGAACGGAATTGGAGTTGATCTGAGAGGCGGATGAAGGAGGGGGAGGGTTGGAAGTGGGAGAGTGAGGCAATGCAAAAAAGAGGGGCAGAAGAGTGAGGAAGTAGAGGATGAAGAGGGTGGAGACACCATAGACAGGAGAATCCATGGTGCTCAGGGAGAGGAAGGGAGAGGGATTACTGGTGGAGACAGAGACCTGACTGACACAGAGAGCCGAGGCTGAAAAAGCGATGGAAATGGAAGACAGGCACAGAGAGAGAGAGTAGAAATTGGACAGCCTGGATGATGGGACCCACGCGGAAAGGTGAAGTGAAGAGAGGAGAAGAGAAGCTATCATCAGCCGCCACCGTTTTCCGTTTGTGCCCCATCTTCAAGCCACGCCACCACCGCAAAACCCCGTCTTTTACCGACCCCAATTTATCACCAGCACTTTTCCCTGCTCTGGTGCTCCGTGCCTACAGCTGCTATTTTAATCGGGTCATTATTTATTATTTTATTCTTCACTTTGCTAAAAGCCTAAAATATTTTTGGGTGTCCTTGACGCTAAACAAATTGTAATCGTCCGTTGTCACCCAGAAAAAAAAATTGTAATCACCACCAATTAATCATTAATCAGACTATTTATTAAAAAAAGAAAAATAAACGGTTAATAAGCTATTCTCATTCCTTGCAAATATATAGAACTCACTCCCGTTAATTAAAACTATGCAGAAATTATTTTTTTCATGCACATATTTGTACCTCAACCCCTAGAGTCTATTTTTGTGTATATAATATAAAAAGTTGAAATTACGTTCCATCCATTTCATCAGAAGATAATAGGTGAACATTCTTGTTTAACAATTCCTCCAATATGCTTGTACTCAAGAGGTTTGACAAGTGAATAAATAAATAATACTACTTCCTGTCCTTAATATAAGACCCCATTTGATTTTTAGTTTGGTCCTAATTATAAGACCCCAATCCATTTTGTCTCTCATATTTATGCATTTTTTCCCAAGATAGTCCTTCTAATAATGATAGTTCTAGCCAACACACTTAATTAGCAAGGATATTTTAGGAATGACAATACTTATTTTTTACAAATAACTAACTTAACTTACTTCCTTAATCTCCTCAAATTAGTCAACTGGGTCTTATAATTAGGACCGGAGGTAGTAAGAATTAATTGATGTGAATAGTGTTTTTTTCATATGTTTACTGAAAAAATAAGGATCACAATTTTTGTTTGAAAAATTTTTTTTCCAAGTGCTGACCGTATTGGCTTGGTAATCACACTTTTTGCAATGAGAGAGGCGTTTGTGCGCACGGGGTATCAGTGTTGCGAGGAATTGGCGATGAGGATAAGCTAGTGCGCCCGCGGGAGGACAAGTGTAGTCAGTTTGCGAATGACGGAAATATTAAAGCCCACGCAATGAGTGGTTGTGCTTGTGCATATGATTGTGAATTACTGAATTTGGAGAGCTGAACTCGCGGCAATTTCAGGAAACTTCTTTTCTTTTCTTTTTTTAAGTAAAGGCAAAGTGACATTAGGCAAATATAAATAGGTGCAAAATTAAAGAGTTATAATGCTGAAAGGACAACAGGCATAATTAAAAAGAGAACTCTTCTGTAAGGTACCTACAAGAGTCTTCCAAGCGCTGATGAAGGTTTTGGAATTTTCTTCCCAGTAAACATAACCTAAGTTTCAGATTTTCCTCCTATGTCTGGCAATAATATCTTGTCCACATTAAAGTTAGCCAAAGACAAATGAATAAAAAGAGTCTTGGGGTACCAACGACGGTTGGATTTAGCAGAAGAGACTGATCCCTCATAACATGGCGAACTAATGTTCGAATCGTCGCTGGTAGAGGTGTCCACATTTAATGCCCGACAGTGTCACGAATAGAATTACCTCCAATAAAAGTATACCTATACTTTAGTAAAAAAAAAAAAAAAAGTCTTGGGTTGGAGCATTTCCTTGGGCAAATAATTTCAGGGAGCTAACAGCAACCCTGCCCGCATGTTTTATAACCAAGCCAGTGCGACCCACGCTTCTACATACATCCCCAACTATTAAATTTGAATAAGGGCAAGGAAAAAAAGAAGAAGAAGAAGAAATGCGGGAATAATAATATTACCCAAGGGGACCTAACACAAGCAATTCTTACTAAAAATATTAACACGTCACAATGAACACGGTGGGGATAAATACTTTAGCAAAAAAGAAAAAAAAGAAAGGAAAACAGGCAGAACATTTATTTTATTTATTTAGCATAAAGTGACAGAACTGGGGGTTGGACGAAGATTATAAATAAATGGGTAAAACGAGGGACGAGATGGGAGCCCGAATTCATCAAAAATCAGATATTAAGATTAAGAATATGTTTATATTTAACAACCTGTCCAAATATTTAATCATTAATAAAATTTAGCAGTGCTGTGCAATTTATATAAATGAGCCCATCTAGTAAGATAACACTCTGTTATTGTTGTTTCAAGCCAAACAACGTTGCTACGCTCCACTGTAAATCTGACCTCGTATTCTATTGATATAACTGATTAATTGACGTGGCCTCTCGAACTAAATATTCATCCATGCTGGGAAAACAGCGTGTTGGACTCTGGAAGAAAGAAGGCCGCTGGCTGCATGGAGGGATGCTCAAATGCAGTGTCCGTTAGCAATACGGATCATTCAATATCTGGAAAAGACCAAAGCGGCCCAATCAGTGCCCTCGCGACTTACTAGTCTCGGGCATTAACTGGGCCACGTGTTAACAGATAAATAGAATACAGTATTTTGACAACGGGCCACGTTTGCAGGCTATTGGCTGCTGAAAAGGAAATCAGTTCATTCGCCCGACGCAGCATCCCAATGAAAATACTCTAACCCATTGATTGAATGAAGAATCATGCAAATGGCCAAAAAAAAAAAATGAAGAATCATGCATATGTATTCATGGAGAAGGACGGCTGCCTTCATTTAATTGAAAATAAGCATTTAGATTCCGTGTAATACGAAATATTAAAAATAAAAAATAAAAATTGAGATTGAGAATGAAAAAAACTTATTTAAAAAATATCTAATATAAAAGATTACTTATTACATGAAATTAGACAAAGTCATATATGTGAGATAGAAAATATCAAAAGAGGGAGCGGTACTCCAATTTTACAACCACAAGTTTATCTAATTTTATATAACAAGTAATTACTCATGTTAAGAAACCAGTTTTGATGCTTGTTGCGGTACTCATCAAATCTCAATTGTATGGCTTTGTCGAAGCATTTTTTTCTCATTTGTCCTTTGGCTATCGGCTGTAGTCGCCAACAACCGCCCGGCTCTATTTGTCATCTGTTGCGGCCCGAGGGGCATCTTAATATTTTTGTAAATTATATGTTTGTTTAGCTCCAAAATAAAAATAAATCCTGCCAGGCAAAATTAGGGAATAGCCGTTACTGTATTATATTTATGCAAGCAACCAAACAAATCGTGACATTTTTTGTATGGCGCACAAAGTCCGAATAAAATAGCCCTAGACGAGTGATGTGATCGGGAAGTTACGCGTCTCTATCCGCAATGAGCCCACTGGCTTGTTGCCTGTGAGTATATATAAAAGAGAATCAGCTTTTGAAAAGGGCAGAAGATAATAAATATATACCGCTTCCGCTCCTATTTATAAATTCTATAAACGAAATCTTATAAATAAAATAGAAGAAAATACATGTAAATAAATCGTGTCTGGCCAAGGAGCTAAAATCATCAAAGGCCTCACAGATGTCAGCCCCAGCGCATGAAGCCGGTGAGAGAGAGATATATGGACCCCTAACCAGATTTCGCATGCATACTCGCGTGTTCATAAATGAGTACTACGGACACCATATTTTTTTTTCTCTGGTTTTTTATTCGCCAAAGCAAATGCCATTAGTTATCCATCATAGATTTCATAAAGTTCCTGTAGCGTAACGCAAAATTAATTTATTTATAACAAATGAGTTAGTTTTCTAAAATACCTTATTTAAATTTTAGAAACAGAATGAATTACTTATTAACATCAGAACTAGAGCAAGATAGCATTTTGTGTTTATATTTCCTTTCATATTAGCTGTGTAAAATACTGCAATATAAAACCATGCTATGCAGTCCTAGTTAGTTTTGAGACGAAATACTACTGTGGCGGCACAAGTGGGTGGCTGCTGTAGAAAGACAGCAATTGAATACAATCGGCAAGAGACAAAATGGCAGGTAACATAGTCATAGTAACCCATCACCCCCCAGCGGGTAGGAACATCTCTATTTCCCTATTTCATGGGGCCCCACTAGGCCGCCAACAAAAGAAAACAAGATCATCAAATGCGACGCCGCCCTTCCCCTCCTTCCCCTGCCACGCTCCCGACTCCCAGGTCCCAGAACATTCATGAATTTTCAGATTAACCAACTTCCCTTGCATGATTATCCACGTTCTTTCTACGGAAACAGGGCCAGAAACTCATAATCAAATCTCCCAGGCTGAAACATATATACATCCCGACGGAAAAAATTTGATCACTGCTATTCCATATTTCTACTGAATTGTCAATTCTCCACAAACATATATGACAAGTCAATGATCTATCCGCCGCAGCTCATTACTGCGAAACAAAAAAAAAAAAAACAAAACAAAACTTTGGCAGCGTGCGTGTCCCATGATGGAGGCGGTGTCTCCCAGTGTTCTTACAATTTCACGGGGGAAAATTTTGTGCATAACATACAAATCGAAATTCAATGGCATCACACTCATCAATAAGTTGGAGGAACCTCTGTTTCTTAATAAAAGACAGGGATTCAGCTTTAGCCTTGCTCGCCCTACACAAGCCCTCAATTCAATATTAGCACCAAAAACATCAACTTCAGATTTCTTCCCCCGTTTGATCGCAACCGCCTTTTAAAAATCAAAAGAGACATTATAGTTTCGTAGTGTATTTCTTAATGTTGAGGATGTGACTTTAGAGGTAGGGAACCTTGGAGATTTCCCACTTGGCAGAACTCGGGATTCTGGGTTTGGCGCTGGTGATCGTGTCGGATGATTCTCTCTGGGACGGACTTCTCCAGAACCCAGTACCGTAAAACCTTTCCCACATCTCCTTCTCCAGCTGCTGCAACTCCTTATCTAGCTCCGGCGACGCCTGCAGATCGGACATGTCTAGGATGCCGTTGGGGTGAATCTGGTTCTCCGTATCGTCGCAGCCGCACGAGCAGCGACGCCGCCTCGGCGGCAGCATCCGCTTCCGGTTCTTCCTCAGGGCGCGGCGGCACAGGCCCGCGGGGACCTTATAGATGGCGAGCACGAGCAGATTGGCAACGGCGCAGGGGAAGCAACAGCATATGACAGCGCACTCCGCCGTGGTCTCCCCGATGACCTCGCCGACGAAGCTTCCACTGCTCTTGAGGAGGGGTTCCTGGCGGGCGGAGGCGGCCTGCCGAAGACGGACGTTCCTGGACATGATCGGAAAACAGGAGAGGAGCCAAGTCTGAGAAGCTCAGAGGAGGGAAGACCAAGAACCGCGCTCTGAGGGGGGAAAAAAATCACAGAGCAGGGATCTTGGCTTCCATGACGGAAGAAGGAGACAATGGGTTGGGAAATGAATAAGAGAATGGGGAAGAAGATGAGCGGTGAGGAAGCGATTTGTAGATGTGGCCTGAGGCACTTCCCAAATATAGTTTGCTATGTTTCTGTGATTTATACGAGAGACTCTCTCTGGCTTCTTCCTGCCTTCTTTTTTTTTTTTTTAATTTCTCATTTCCTCTTTTCATGTGCACTCCCCGCGATTCAAATCTGAAATTTAGAAAATGACATCTAAAATTTAATGACACAAATAAAAATTATGATTAACTGTTTTTCTAAAAAAAATTTTTTTGGGAAAACTAACACACAGGACTTTGTAGTTTTGTCTCATTTTGAATCAGGTCTTTAAAGTTTTTTTTTAATCAAATCCTTAATGTTTTAACTGTTATAGCCGCTCATCCTTCTGTTTAAAATGGAGCTAAACACTGATAAAGAAGACCACTGCTATTGATCTCCAAGAACCTTCATCCTGTAAGGTCGCTTGTATGGTGACAGTGATTTTTCAAGTTTCAGTGGCGTTGGCCTTCTTTAACAATGTAAACTTAAATCTAACATTGTTTAAATAGAATGATCTATAGCTGTAGCAATTAAAACATTAAAGATTTGATAAAAACAGAAAATAAATTTGAGAACCTAACTCAAAATGGGACAAAACTACAAGGATCTGGGTATTAATTTTCCCTTCTTTTTTTTATCACGTGTTTTGTTCCATATATTATTTACAACTAGTATGCCTGATTATATTTCTGTTAGGGGTGAGCAACAAACCCATTACCCGCTAGCCCGCCCATAACCCATGAAATTTTTACCCATTTAAGCCCGCCCAATTAGCCCAAATAAGAGATTATAAACGGGCGGGTTTAAATGGGTGGGGTAGCCCATTAAACGGGTTGGGCTATGGGTAAGGTATTGGGCTGCCCATACCCGCCCATTTAAATTTTAAGTTTTTAAAAATATTTTTATTCTTCATTTAATTGATGATATTGTTTCTCATTCATATTTTATCAAACCTTCATACTTGTCTAAGTTTTTATTTTATCCTTTAGGTAAAAGTTGGAACTTTCAAAGTTTATGAGACTTTATAATTGGTGACTATTTTTATGATTTTATCAGACTTTAATTGTTTGTGAATCTAAGTGAGGTTGTGTGATTGAATATGGTTGATGTTATTTCATATTTGATTTGCTATTTGGCATGCAAAATTTATTGACAGCTTCATAAGGTTACATATATAAAATAATTATACTGAAAAAAAATTTAAAAAATAAATGGGTTACCCCATAACCCGGTCAGCCCAAACGGGCTGCCCCGTAGCCCATTTAATATGGGCTAAATGGGCTACTACCGAGTTATGGGTTAGCCCATGCCCATTTATGAATAAATGGGCGGGCTATGGGCTAACCTTCGGGTTAGCCCACCCCGCCCATTGCTCAGCCCTAATTTCTGTGCATGTTAATGTGTAAATTAGCATTCAGCCAAATGTTAAAACAGTCATTTTACTCTTGCTGTTGTTAATAAAACAACCGTACCCGAGGCTCGCTCATCATCTCTTGCTTCACGTAATGCATGAGATTTAATTTTTGGGGATTGATATTTGATATCAATCTTGGATGCTTCCGGCGAAAAGTACTTGGTCCAACAGCTGATCAAACGCTCGAGCCGTCCTGGATGACTCGGTCAAACGATCACGCCGCAGTCCCGCACACCCGGACAACAACCAGCTCATGATTGGACCTTATCGGAAGATTTAGCCTTACCTTCTTCGTTATCAAGTCCTTCAATAACGTGCCACGTGCGTGTCGAAACATGTAACTCTTTAAAATTAATAAAGCCTCCTCGTCTTTAAATTCTGAGCCACCATCCACATACCTAATGCTTCGCTCATATCATTTGAAAGCACTATGCCAAATCCCATGTATGCATTTTTATTAAGGAAAAATTGGAGACAAATTCCCCGTTACAAATTTAATCTGCAAATAATCCACATGGTGATTGATCGTACAAGAAAAGATTAATTACACTCATAAAAAGCTAAGTTGCATAAAGAGAAGATGTTTGCACCGAACTATTTGAATATAAGAGATTAGTTTACACACAAAAAATATGATCTGCACGTAAGAGAATTTCATCTATATAAAAGGAAATTGAGTTACACATTACGCAAAGGAGGATTATCAAGGAAAGATAAATTGCCTACAAAAAAAAAGTTAAGATGCACACAATAGAAGTTAAATTGCACAAAGTCCTTAGGTCTTATTTGCCAATTAAATTTTTAATGAGAAATTTATCCCGAATTTTCTCTTTTATTAGTGTATTGCAAATAATATATAAATATATATTTGTTAAGCGAGAATGAGAGAATTGGATCGGATGGTCTAAAATGCGACGCTTATTATAAAACCTTTCTGAAAATTAATTTGCACTCTGTGGCTCTGATATTCATGGAGAAAATTGAGCCATATGCATAAGTTATTAGGCCAAAATATATCAGCGACGTGTAGGGTTTGGAACAACAATAACAATCACTGTCCTTTTCAACTCGAAGCAGGGCAAAGAAAATGAGAAGTAAACAGAAAAGAAGTTATTTCAAATAGAAACTCCCTCTATGAGACGAACACAGCATTGATCGATCGAACGGGAGTTTCACAACACCTCGCAGCTAATATGAACGCATATTTTAAACTCTCATAATTTGAATAATTCTTTTGATTTCCTTTTAATCGTGGATTGTATTATCAAATGTATATACAGATAAACAAATAAAAAATTTCGATGTGTTCATTAGAAACAGGATAGACTAGTTAAAATATTACAGTGTTTGAAGTGAAACTGCAGAGGTGTTCGTAAGTTTCCTGCATATGTATAAAATACGTAGTAGGGAGAATACACCATAGAGATATTTTATTTATTCCACATTGCGGGGGAGTGAATAATACACGTGACGAATAATGTTCAGAAAGGAATCTAAAATAGAGAGGATAAACGGGGATGGGTCTGAGACGTGTCCCTTTATAGGCTACTTAGATACACATAACAGTTTTTTCTGGAACACGTAACTGATATCTGTAACCTCATCATATTTGAGGCAGCCGCCAACGTTTCTTTTCTTTTTTATATCTCCCCCCTCCTCTCTGTTCCACTCGTTTCAACGGTGAGAGTTTATTTTCTTCCACAACATGAGAGTGGAAGAGAAGGCGGTCAATCAGTGGAGTTTATTTTCTTTCATGTGTTTCACAATTAAACCTATAAGATTAAAATAAGGATATATCTCTCTCTTTAACATTCAAATTTAATATATTCCTCTTATTCTTAATATAAGATTTATTTAACTAATTTGATTAGATTAAGAAAGTTAAGTAAGTTAGTTAATTATAAGAAATATGACATGTTTTTTTTTCTGAAACACTATAATTATTTTTTCTTAATAGCCTTCCGTCCTTTTCTACTTTGATTATGATTGAGGGAGTATTTATAGAGATAATTTATGAAAAATTGATAAATATGAGAAATAGATCTTATATTTAGAACTAAAATCAACTCAATGATGAGGTTTTATATTAAGGATTGGAGGAGTATTTATTTCAAAAATATTGTTCAGCTTTGTGAAACTAGACCTTTTGAATGGAAAAACTCTTGATCAAAAAAAAAAAAAGGAGCATGATTATTCTAACTATGTTGTATGCTAGTTAATAATCACCAGTTATATTATGCAGATTGTAAAGCCTGCTAATATTCCCGGCTGTCTGGAATTTTAATTTCACTCTCGAATTAGACTGATGTTTTTAATTATTCAACAAAACAATCATGAACTTGTGTAATGAATTTTTTTGTTTTTTGTTTCATGCGAAGGCGATTAAGTAGCGATTAACTATTGAATAATAATAATAATAATTTAAAAAAGGATAACTAGTAAAACATGTTGAGCCCAAATGCCAATCTCTTTGTCAAAAACTCCTTCGATGAAAGATTCGATGGCGTGTTTAATAATAAAATTAAAATTGCTGAATATAATAAATAATTAGAAAACAGAGAAAGAAAGCAATAGAGCTGAACTGTGATTACTTATTATTAATATTATTTTTGAAAACATTGCCCGTGGAAGTCCCCGCGCCGTGTGGGCGCGCGGTTGAGTTAAAATCTGTGGCCTTGCACACGCGCGCGCGCGCGCGCACACACTTGTTTGGTGTAAATTTAAATTTTTTTAAAATCATTTTAAACTTAAACTTTTTTGTTTGTTAGGAATATTAAGATTATAAGGTCTTTTCAACAACTGCGTTTTTTGAGTGTTTAAATTTATGTTTTGACATTTATGAAGATGAGATTGTTTAGCATTTTAACCAACAGTTTGTTAATTGCAGGATGATATTTTTAAGGACACAAGGAAAGGACAAAATAAATAGTCCATGATTAACTTTTAGGGCCATAAGGCCTCATATTAGCTGGCCCATTCGGGATTCAGGCCCATATCATATGTCTTAGTCTGCCAAGGAAAAATGGTTTTTAATTACATAGGATGGAAAACCTGTAATAGCCGGCCTTCATCAGTATTCCTAAATGCTTAAGACAGCCTTTGCCCAGAAACTACGAAAAAAAATATTTACCCCTCACGTCAGAGAACAATCTGAGAGTTCTTTCATGTCATGGCAATCCACTAATCACCGCAACCAAATCACCCATTAAAAAAAACAAACACACATACACACACAAGAAAGAAAAGAAGACATCAATATACAGGGACACAATTGGGCAGGACAAATATGTACACAAAAAACGCAAAACGAATAGCGCACACTTTGGGCGCAAGGCGAAGGCAAGAAAACGAGAGAAATGGCGAAGAAGAAAAGTCAAAACCCAAATTTGCCCAGGCGAGTCCTGTATTTCATAATGCCCTTATAAAGAACTGCCCTATTAGGAGGCATGATGTCCTCTAATCTGGGCCCACTCCTCCATGTGGGACCACCCTCCCTCACCAGCACCATTCTCCCCATATCCATGGCCTCCCAGCTCGTCCCTGTCCTTGTCGCCTTTCTGCGATCATTCCTGCTCTTGGATGATGCACCTTCACAGAATCGCAGCTTCTTTTCGTGTCTGTGCTCCGAAACTAATCAAAAAATCAAAAAAAGGACGCTCTAAAGTCTCAATCATTAATATTGATGGAAGTAATCACCATATGAGAGATCAGAAAAGGGGGTTGTGCGTAGGTACCGCTGAGATTATGCTTGGGGTGGGCATTATGAGGGCGCAACAATCCGCCCATCTCGAACTCAAACTTCTTCATGAAGTTAGAGAAGAGATGCTTGTGAACATGATGAACCAGCAACACCATGCTTCCTGATACGGCACATACCGCCATGAATCCTAATCCCAATGACTCCTCCATCCTTCTCTCTCCCTCTCAATTATTTATTCACTAACGATATTTAATCTTGGGCTTCATTTGCTTCTAAAACAATTGAATGGATGCTCACTTCTTATATCCCATGGATGCAGACGGCAATTACAGGGGGACGAAATCACGATTTGCATAGGCAAACAACTTCACTAAAATGGACAAAGCTTAAATATGGACGCCCTTAATTTAACTACTCGGCTCGCTTTTCATCGCCCATTTATTATCGGACGATTATATTTGACGAGTAATAGAGGTAACGGCCTTATTTAGTGAAGCCTTTTAATTACTCTTCCGTCTTTTCTTTTTCACTCCCTCGGTAACGCCGCTTTTCATCCCCAGAAATCCCTATCCATATTCAACGCTTTATTTAAAAATGGATAGCGCTGCTTTCTTTGGCCAGGGAAATTAATATGGGTAGCATTTTCGAATCACTCAAAAAAGAGAAGAGGAAAGAAGTCTTAGTCGATTAAATTGATTTTCTTTTTTTGGTCTTACTTAATACCCTATATTTGTCTCCATGGCAAAGCGCTATGAGATAATCCTTATTTAATGTAAAATGATCAAGAAGTGAAGTAGAAGACGGGGCGAAGCATGAGATCCAGGAACACGATGCAGGTGCACGACATGGAAAGGAAGAACAGCCCGTACACGATCCTGATTCCCATTGCCGTTTGATCTCGCTCCAGTCTTCTCTCAAAGCTAGCTCAAGGCCTGGATGCTTCAGAACACAGGAGTCTCGCTCGGATTTGGATAAGACGCAGTTCTCCAAAGTTTAGAGATTTTCAAATCATATATCATCCACACGTGTCCTTGCCCGCCACGCACACTTCGCACGTGGCGACTCATACTCCATCACTTTCTAATTTTATATTATATCCGTTTAATTCAAAACTAACTAAATGGCCTTTTTTCTCTCACCTTCCGGTAGAGCATTTTCTGGGCAACGAGATCTTGCGAGTTGCGACTACAATTATTCGGCGACGACCAAGTACATGGGCCTGAAGTCTTACGAGTACAATTATTCGGCAACGACCAAGTGCATGGCGCAGGCCCAACTATTCTGTTTCACTTTCACTGTCTTTTGCGCGGCTTTGTCTTCTTTAAACACAGACTCGGCTCTACCATACCATGTGCTTTCCTGCTCACCTTTCCCTATTGTGGGTTTAGGGGGTGTTTGGTAAAACCAAAACCTAGGTTTCAGGATCACTTTTCTTCAAAACGAGGTAACATCCTCCACATATTTACTTCGTAATCCGTAAAAACACTTCTGAAACCATGGTTTGGTTTCTATCCAAACACCCCCTTAATCTCAATTAACCACCTAATATAAGATTGTAAATATTTACTTAAATTTTCTTAATAATCAATTGAGTTCACATCTGAAAAATTGTTTTGGAATCAGGTTGAAGTCGCGGTAATTTAATCATAATTGTAAAGCTTTAAATAGCAAATAGTGTCATTTAGATTTGACGAAAGCTGCAGACAAATTTGATTTAAAGTCGCGTAGCTTCTACAATTGCTACGAGGCTACGACCTGAGGATGAATGAACAACATTTTCTCAAGCATTTATCGTCTTCAAGCGAGTTTCGGAGAAGAAAATTTTTTGTCTTCTCCGGGAGGAATCTTTTTTTTTTTTCCAGAGAGTGGAATCCACTAATAAGCCGCCAAATATTAAACCACTAAGCCACTATGCTATCCCCACTACATAAGCAGAAAACAATTCCACGTCCGCCTCTATTTTCTGTGAAACCGACCCACTCACCATGATCAATTCTCCTTTCATCTCCGTTCCCGAGCATGGGTTTTCTTTTAAGCCTCCCAGCTGCACTTTCCAAATTCATAGTTACCATCCTATAATTCAATCTCCGAACTTCAATTCTTACAAGCTTCCGTTCTTTTTTAAATGCAAGACCCAATCAAATTTGGCGGGTGATTCTCTAAAAGCTTCTCGCTCTGGAGAATTGCGGGCCAACCTCAGAAAAGTAGGATTGAGGGTGTCCTCCAAATTGGCGCCAAATTTCGAACGAGCCACGGATACTGAAGGAGCGAGGAGACTGGTGGATAGTAAGAAGGAGTTCGATGCGATTGTGATAGGCTCTGGGATTGGAGGGTTAGTCGCAGCGACGCAGCTAGCAGTGAAGGGTGCGAAAGTTTTGGTTCTGGAGAAATACGTGATTCCTGGAGGAAGCTCCGGGTTTTACCAGAGGGATGGTTATACTTTTGATGTTGGCTCTTCGGTCATGTTTGGTTTCAGTGACAAGGTCAGCTTTACTTGTTTTCCATTTTCGTTCTGCTGACTTTAACACTACGAATTTCTTTGTGAATGGCTGAACGTCACATTGGGGAAATGTGAATTCGCTCCTAATGAGGGACTTGCTGCTGCTTTGGTCGCCAGTTTGCCATGCACGATAAATATAATCCTATTTATCAATAAATAGCTTATTTTTTGGCAGATTATGAACAATACTTTGTACCCGTACCACCATTCCATGATTAACAAGTGATATTGAACAAGACCCCTGAATCCTTTTTTTTTTGGTTTGGAGGGGATGAACCTAACGTAAAATTACACCATATTACCGAAAAAATTCATGTACTTATATGGGGAAAGATATTTCCTTTTTGAAGCATCTCACGAGATGTTTGAGGAAAGCATGGTGTTGTGATCTATCAAGCTTAAAATAACTTCAGTTTGCTAACATTTCTAAGAATACCTGAGCCAAGAACCGCCGTGGGCTAAAATATTCAAGCAGTGTTGTTGGATAATTTGTAAACTCTCTTCCTGCTTTAATTGGTATTCTTTCAAGGCTAATCACAGTCATGCACCTCAAACTTGGGCAGGGTAATCTCAATTTAATAACACAAGCATTGGCAGCAGTTGGTTGTCAGATGCAGGTGATACCGGATCCAACAACTGTCCATTTCCATCTACCCAATAACCTTTCCGTTCGGGTGCACAGAGAATATGATAAATTCGTTGAAGAACTCGTTAGTTACTTTCCCCACGAAAAGGACGGTATAATCAAGTTCTACGGTGAATGCTGGAAGGTTTGTCTTTATTGAAGTGACTGCAACTTCCTCAAGGCATTTCTGTCTCTACTTGTACTTGATAACTTAAGATATTATATGCATGGTGGCTAGATTTTCAATTCCCTTAATTCACTGGAACTGAAGTCACTCGAGGAGCCACTCTACCTTTTTGGACAATTTTTTCAAAAGCCGCTTGAATGCCTAACTCTAGGTAACTCAATTAACTGTTGCAAGACATGTGATTTTGTCCCCACCACCTCCTGTTAATATTTTCTGTCGGTTTGTCCATCAACCTTTCTGATGATGTTATTAGTTAGCAGCGTATTATTTGCCCCAAAATGCTGGAGACATTGCTCGAAAGTACATTCAAGATCCACAATTATTGTCTTTCATAGATGCAGAGGTAATGCAACTTGATCCCGTCAACAGTTCATTTAATTTATTTTACTGGCACATTATTGATATAGGTATCATCCATGCAAATTCTGTTTACAGTGTTTCATTGTGAGCACAGTCAATGCGTTGCAGACACCAATGATCAATGCTAGCATGGTAAACTGTTCAAATACCTGTCTGCATTTGCAAGGAATTCTTTCTTTGTACTTCTTGTAGCTTCTCGTATCATATTTCTTCATTGCTTACTAGATAGCAATATGTGAAACTGACTAGAATTTGGATAAGCATCTATAGCTTCTTGTCCTTGTAGCACTTCTGGAAGTACAGATAAATTCAAACATTACTGTCAAGAAATAGGGATAATTTCATTGTTTTCCTCCTCCTTTCATGCCCCTCCTCCATTGCTTATATTTTTTGGCTGCCAGGTTCTTTGTGACCGACATTTTGGTGGAATTAACTACCCTGTTGGGGGTGTTGGTGGGATTGCAAAATCATTAGCAGAAGGTCTGGTTAAACAGGGTAGTGAGCTACGTTACAAGGCAAACGTCACTGGCATTATAGTGGATCAGGGCAAAGCGGTAAGTGAGGAAAAAAGAAGAAGTAAAGAACCAACAAAGATATTTTCAGAAAGGATGTGCTTTGTTTTTGGAAATTATGCTTTGTCTTTTGCAGGTAGGTGTGAAGCTTTCAGATGGCAAGGAGTTCTTTGCCAAAACCATAATATCAAATGCTACTAGATGGGATACCTTTGGTTGGTTTAGTTCAAATTTTGTTCAGTCATTGTCTGCTAATATTTTCTATCTTGCCGTTTCTTGTGTTGCTGTGGTTTGTTTGTTTACTGATATTAATTACAACCGGTGACTTGTAGGAAAATTACTAAAGGGTGAAGCCATTCCAAAAGAAGAACAGAACTTCCAGAAAGTTTACGTCAAAGCTCCTTCTTTTCTTTCAATTCACATGGGAGTTAAAGCTGAGGTTTTGCCACCAGATACGGATTGCCACCATTTTGTGCTTGAGGTAATCTGAAATGCCATCAACTCAACTGGTTGATACTCTTAGTTTTGGACTGAGAATAATCCACTTTACGTCTTCTGTTATTTCCTTCTCTAGAGTGACTGGGCCAGATTGCAGGAGCCATATGGAAGTATATTCTTAAGTATACCAACTGTTCTTGATTCATCATTGGCTCCTGAGGGCCGGCATATTCTTCATATATTCACAACATCTTCAATAGAGGACTGGGAGGTAGGCACTACGGAATACTGGCAGATTAAACCTGGAAACTTGCTTCTCATATGATATTTAAAAACACCTGATTTTTCCTACCCTTGTCTTTCTTTTTTTCTTAACTAATTAACATAAACATCAATTTGGAATTTCAAGAGGTTAGTTATTTCTACACCAGGGAATTTCAAGATCAGAATATGAGGCAAAGAAGCAGCTTGTAGCAGATCGAATTATAAGCAGACTACAGAATAAATTGTTTCCAGGTCTCGGATCATCCATAGATTTTATGGAGGTGCAAGCTATGATCTCATATTTCTTAACAAATCTTGCTGCTATTCTGCTTTTTTAAGCAAACCAGAGACCTTTTTCATTCATATGGCTGCTTGCTTTACTATGTGTGGCGGGCAATTTTAGTTTAAATTTTATCTCATTTTGGTGATACATTTACGTTGGGTTTATAGATCTTTTTATGTATAATATGAAACCAGCCAGATATGATGCATCTAACTATGGTCTCTGGTAAATACTCTGTAAACCATTTTGGAACCCCTCTCACTCGTTTTTTAGGCGAGACACACATGATTCTTTCTGCTAGCTTAATTGTTTGGATCATCAATTAGATTGATGAGAGAATTGTTGAAGTCATTGTTTTAGAATTTCCTGTAGTTTTTGGCTTTTGACCATTTATGATTATATGTTTGGTTCTAAAATTTAAAGTCACTGTAGGTGGGGACACCAAAGACACACCGGAGATACCTGGCCCGTGACAAGGGAACCTATGGACCAATGCCACGCAGCATTCCAAAGGGGTTATTGGGAATGCCATTTAATACCACAGTAGGTTCACTTAAACAAATTAACTAGCAGTTTCAGTTTTAAAACATTATTTATGCTTATCGAGCTCACTAATTAAATCCCCCTATATGATGATGAAATGTACAGGGCGTAGATGGTCTTTACTGTGTTGGTGATAGCTGCTTCCCTGGACAAGGCGTTATTGCAGTTGCCTTTTCAGGAGTTATGTGTGCTCACCGAGTGGCTGCGGATATTGGTGAGCTATCGCTATCCTTTGAATGCATAAAGGGCTTGACATTAGCTTGAAACGTTTCGATAATCTTCTATGTTTGAATATTAGTTAAGGCTTATACTTCAATTTGAATCTTTGCAAGCATTATACATTGCGTTTCATGGCTGAAATGCTACTGGGACTGGTGGATGTCTTAAAAATAACTTGCATTTTTCTACCTCTTTCGTTTCACAGGGCTGGAGAAGAAGTCAGCAGTGTTGGATGCCATGCATCTTCGGTTGCTTGGTTGGTTAAGAACATTGGCATGAAACATGACAAAGGAACAGTTTTAGATACAGGATCATCATTATTATGTAGAACGAGCTTGCTTTAGTGACAGCATGCTCTTCTGCGAATATAGGCACAAAAGTTAACTAGAGAAACCTCCTGAGCTTTCTCAGGATAAAGAAATTTAAAGGAAATGTTTTAAAATAATTTATCTGTAACAGGAAAACAATGATATCAAGTGATTGAGAGTTTTTTTTTGTTTTTTTTGGGGGACAAAAGAGTATTGAGTTTGTGTGTGTCTATAGTTTGGGTCCTTATTTTTGAATCAGCAAGCAACCTGTCCCTGACGGCAACTGAAAAACATTGGAATTCTATCTGCAGGCAGACTAGGGAGAATTTATGCCCAATTTTCTCTTACATAACTTGTATTGATTTTTCTCCTGCTCTTGTTTACATTTTCTTTTCTTTTCTTTTCTTTTTTTAATGTTTGCTGGGGGTCTGGGATTGGATTGTTTCGTGTAAATGGTTCCGCTCCAGTTTTTTTTTTTTTTTTAAAATTATTGATGACTGTCATCCATATTGCATATAAGTGGACCAAGGAATGTTGATTCTGACTAGTATGTTTATGAGCCGATCCTGATTGATAAAGCTCGCTCACTTTTGAGTTTTGACCGCCCAAAGTCTGTTAGAGTTAAGATCTCAATTCGGGTAAAAAGAATCTGGCTAGCAGTTGGGCCAGTGTAATTTGGTGCTCTGGAATCTGATGGTCGATCAATGTTGTTAACATTTCCAGAACCAGACACTTACCCCGACTTCTATTTTAAAAAAAAGAAAGACGTAATGGTTTTATAAGAGTGCTGACTTTCGGTCGTTCAATTTTTAGTTGAAAAAGGGAGAGGGCGAGGAGAAGAAAATGAGAGAAAGCCTAAGGAGGAGATCTAAATTTGAGAAGGGAATCTTTCAAGAATCCTCTATGAATGATTTGGTACGACAAACAAATCATCTAACTCCCACGTTTCTCTTTCAACGCAGCAAGGAGTTGTTCACTCCTCTGTGATAACGACCTTATTTTGAAGGTTCACATATGGTGGTGGGTTGCTGCCCTCGCATTTACAGCCAGCCGTTAAAGAATTTTGGGTTGTTAAACGCCATTGTCATTATTCATGTAACACTACAAAATCGCAATGTTCGACTCAATTTGTTTAACGTATTTAGGGGGCACTGCATAAAATTTACGCGGAACGATCATTTAAGCTGAATTGAACTAACACCAGTCATTTAAAGTTGAAAAATACCAAAGGTCTCTGATTGCCTGAGCTGCGTAATCTTCAGAATTGGAAAATAATAAAAATCTCTGGAATCATCGATCTACTGATATTTCAAGATATCATCGAGCAGGCCTGTTAGCGCTTCAAAATTCTCATGAACTACAGCACTGCAAATTATAAAAGAGATTAATAGAAATCTCTCTCGCCCAAACTTAGCACTTTGTCATGTTCCTTCATTCAATATTGACTCGTTCAAGGAGAGTGGAAGCGCTCAGGCCTCTTTATAGTTGCATGGACGGTTTCAACTTCTGAGCTCCAAATTCACTGAAGTTTCATCCGTCGCAAAGAAAGGTAAGCCAAGAAGCGATAACCAAAAACCATGGCTATCAGAGCAGCCACCTCCGTCCAACCACTGTCAATTCTCATCCCGTTTACGCTTGGTGTTATATGCTCATATTGCACCTTCAGTAGAAGTTTATATGTGTGGTAGTTGAATGACATGTATCGAATCCAAGATATAAATATAGGGACTCTCTGCAAAATTTAAAGAGCACGTGTTAGTTACTTCTATTCCACATTTTAGAGTGCTGAGATCATCTACTTCAATTTCTTGACCATCATATGTATTGGTGGCACTATAAGAGAAATTACGTGGCTGCAACTTGAAGAACAATTATTGTTCTTACCTTCACAAAGAATCCTCCAGCCAGCATGAAGGTCATCACAGTAACTGAAGCCAAAGTTGTTGCTCTCTTCAAGTCCATTAGTGTAGCACCAATGGCAAGTCCAAGTCCCTGCTTCAAATACATCAGTTCTTACAATGATACACTTTATATGTTCGGTTTATCATATAAAATCTTGGTAGAAATGAATACCTGAGCCGCCACGATGCAGAGGAAAACAGTGAGAATGCTGAGGAGAAAGGGAGCTGCACTCACTCTCAAGCCAGCCATGAAATAAACAACAAGGAGGAAAAGCACCGGTAATATCAAATCCAATGGAAGGTCACTCGTGGTCCTAGCTAAGAAGTATGCACTTAGTCTATACATATCAGCTGCACGTTCCTTATTCAGCATGGCTCTCTCTTGAGGAAAGGTGAATATTGCAGTGAACACCGGAAAGAATCCCCAAAACACAGCAATAAAGAAAAGCAGCCCCGCCTGCAATCCACAAAGGTTTAGGTTTATAACTTGGAAGGTGGAATTTATTGCTCCATGTCAAGTCTGAGAACTAATGAAAGTTTACTTTACCTGATCCTGAAGACCCTTTGGTGTGCTGGCATCCGATTGCCACCAAAGTAATCCTAAGATGATTGCAGTGGACAGAACTTGGGTGATTCTCAACCAGCTAAAATAGTCATGTCTCCGCTCTTTGATTCCCCTCCAGAATAGTATGGAATATTGCTCACACCAGCTCGCACCCCATTGTCTTTTAGGAGAAGAAACCTTGGTCTTCACTTCTTCATCAAGGGGGATAGGATCCATTAGCTTTTTCTTCTCTGTTTCTGGAAGTCGAGTCTCATAGGCCTCCACCAAATACTGCATGAGATTCATCTATAGTCAGTTTTTTTTTTTTTTTTTTGCCCTCTAGTGATATTGAAGCTAATGAAAAGTTACCTCATGTACGAGTGCAGGTGATGGTTTCCCATTCCGGGTTTCAGTTGCTGCATTTCCCATCTGTACTTTATCCTCTAACTCTGATGGTACAGATACATCATTTATGTTTCCATTGGCAAGGTCCAGCAAAAATTCTGCCGGGTTCATGGCAATAAGAGGTGAGCATCCTATAGATTGGAAGTAAGGCATTGCTTCTGATGCTTTTCCAAAGTAAAGCAAGCTCCCTTTTCCCAGAAGGATCAACTTATCGAATTTGTGGAACAGTCTGCTAGATGGCTGGTGAATTGTTGTCACTACTGTTTTGCCAGCCTGCCATATTATGATTTGAAGCTTAGTGATAAAGGCAGAGTCATTTGGTGAATCTTTTGTAATGAACGAAAGGCTCGGAGCAAGCACGTACCTCTGCTATGTTTTGTAGCATCTGAACAGTTCTCAAGGCTGTCGTAGAATCCAAACCAGAAGTTGGCTCGTCCAGAAACAAAAGAGAAGGGTTGATTATGATCTCATTGCCAATACAAACTCTCTTCCTTTCTCCACCAGATACTCCACGGACAAAAGAACCGCCTATCATAGTGTCTTGGCACCTTTTTCCATAAAAACAATTTATAATGATTGACTTTGATATGATTATCTGACCTGTGGTCACAATGATATTGGTCTTTAATTTTCACGGATGTTAAGAAATTACCTCTCCAACCCAAGCTCATGAATGACATCTAAAGCTCGTTTTTCCTTTTGCTCCTTCGTGGTTGTCTTTGGCAGTCTCAAGAGTGCTGCGTACGTCAGTGTTTCCTTCACAGTGAGGTGAGGAAACAGAACATCATCTTGAGTCACGAATCCAATCCTGCGGGTCACTAGTATGTGAGCATGATAGTGTACTGTTTGGGATAAAACTAGTCCCGATGGCAGGGCCTTTATCTTTTTATAAATCAATGAGCTTGTTCTTAATTCTCAATTTTAATTTTTTCCAGTTTCCAAGTACCTGCTCTTTAAGAACTTGGAATATGGTTGCCCATTGTAAGTGACGGAGCCACTTACAGTGGGCTGACTTAGCCTGCCTCCAAGAAGATTCAGGAGAGTCGTCTTTCCGCTTCCTGAAGGACCCATCAAAGCCAGAACTTCTCCTGGATTGACGCAACCAGTGATCCCATTCAATATCTCCTTCTCCTCCTTCGTTGTCATGCCTCTGATCACCACCTTGTAACCGACTTCCCTGAACTGCAAATAACAGCACAGTAATTCAACTTCGTTAATTAACGAGAGCGTAAAAACTGAGCTCAAAAAACCACCAAGACAACTTGGAAAAAAAGGAAGAAGAAGAAGAAAAATAGTCATCTAACTATCCATATATACAGCATACCCTTCTTCTCAGCAAAACCATGTCTAACAGCCTCACTCTCATGGCTAAAGCCTCAAAACCAGCAGAGTTTCATTCACCCATGGGCCCTATATGTCTTTCAAGTGTGTGAGAAATTTACGTGGACATGCCCGCATCTCTGTTCTAGGCACACCCACAAGCAATTTAAAATTTTTTTCAACACCAAAGCTAGGCATATACACATATATATACATACACACAAATATGTGTAGTGCACTAATTTTGGTTGATGGATGGTCAAGCAAGAAAGAAGGGGGCGGTGGTCTTGTACGTCAATGTCCTACGAAACGAGACTCCGTACAAGACTGAACCTGGCCATGCTATATTGCTAAGCAAGCCATGTATGTTCTATTTGGCGACGTTGATCGCTAAATGAAGCCTCATCTTTGCCTGCCCAAATACATAATGCAGCACCACATCAATTAATAGTTGCATGCTGCTATTCAATGTTTCAACACTGGCAGACGTTAAGCTACGTTCATCTATATCTAACATTTGAATATAGGCGCATGCAGACGGGGAATAATCAATATTAAAGGAGACGAACCAGTAAGTCACTTAACACACGTATAAAAATGTCCTTACCTGGAGACAAATGGGCAGAGTGGGTTCTGTTTGAAGTTTTGGTTTATCGGCTCCGGCTTCAATATCCTCCGCTGCAATATCCATAGCTAGGTGACCAACCAAACTTTTCTCGTGTAGCATAATATAAATGAAGCAGATGAAAGAAGCTCCTCCTTCACCACTAATTATTTATGAACTAAGCAGTGTTTAACATTGACAGAACTTTTTGTAATTTCAACAAAAATGGAGACATATATATGTGTGATGTTTGAAAGACTTGTTGAGGGGGACGACGTGGACCAGGTCATGGAGATTGGACAAGGCCGTAAAAAAGTCAAACACAGATTTAATGAAGGGACCAGCCATGAAGGCTAGGTGGTCTCCCATAAAATAGGAGGCGAAGTGGCGAACAAACACAAGAGTAGTGCAACTAGTAGAATCGTGAGGACCCAGAAGTGCGACCTATTCGTCGTTTAGGACCATGTCCTCATCATAAATGGGGTCATGTCCCCCACGCGACCGTGAACCGGTGAGAAGAGGGATTCTCCTCGGAATGTCATTTCATAAATGAGTCAACAACAGTAACGTAAATTTAATACGGCGAAGTTTTGTTGAGTTTTCTGCCATGTCGTATAGGACCTTGATGCATGATCGGAAAGTGACATAATAAAAATTAATCCTAATAAGGGCGAAGAACTATGAGCAGGGGATGTGATTTATTTTGGGGACATGTATACAAGATATTATAAAGGAGAAATGTAATGTTAAAATAAACATAAACTGTGACATAAATGAGCTCTGCTGTTCAAATGATGATGGATTCTCAGATCGATCGACATATAAACTCGCCTTTTAATTTATTTCTGGCCACCACCTTTTTTTTTAATTAAATGTAAATATCATATATATGATCACCAGACCATTATTCCTTATTTCTTAGTATAATATACGTAGTACTCTTGATATATGATGACCTCAGTTTGTTCCTTGTCCGATAATGAGCTCATAATTAGCCGCAAGTCATCTCGGGGAATTAGAAAGTCAAACATTTTCAATCACCCGCTTGCAGCATGGGTTGTCCAAATGAGTCAAGTAAGGGTCCATGGACTTAATTATGGGGGGTCCAAAGAATCAATTAAGTCTTGATTTTTACAATTTGGCAATTTGCAGATACTATAGATAGTTGGTTAGAAATAATATTAATATAGAATATAAATTCCATAATAAATAATCACTATTCACAATGTATTTTAAATTAATGTTGATGATTATACTAATTCCTAAAATATAAGATGGCAAAGTAGGGTTGCTGGATCAGGACTTACAACCCTACTGACACCAAACAACTTTTTAAAGATTTTCAGATTGCGAATTTAAACCATCAAAATAATTGTAAGAATGTGAAATAAATGTTAGTCCCCTTATTTCTAAAAATGAAAGCAAAAAATGAATATCACAGAGCAATAATCATAACTATACAAATACAACAGATAGTGCAGATAGATGGAAAACGAAGCTAATTATGAATTAATGATATATTTTGTATAAAAGGCAAAAAAAATTAGAAGCAGTAAAGGGGAGGGAGACGAAGGAAGCAAGGTGGGTGAGAAAGAAGTACTGTGTTGCGACTTTCGGAGGCGGGAAGGAGGAAGAGTCACTCATCGTTAGGATTTGGACCGTTAATCACGGGCTGTTGGCTGCAACTTGGTGAGCCCTGGACCCGATTGGGACCTAACTGGGGCAACCTCTCATTTTGCTTTGGCGATCGGCACTCATCACAGTCACGGACACGTACCACTAGCGACTGTACTTTCTAGCGCCTCCTAATAAAAACAAATTACGCTACGCAACGCACTCCCTTATTTAATTTGCCGCTTTGCCTTCTTTTGCATATTACCCAGACACCCTCCTCACCTCCACTAATCCCGATCATATCACCCCAGAACTGGAAATCTATCTCCCAGATATAATAGTAATTTCAGACTCCATTTCTGTTAGCCGTATAGCAGCCTTAAATGAAGGTCAATAATAAGGTGTCCTCGTCCATGCAATGTTGTGTATATATAACTAGAACAAAACCACATGAATGCGACTAAATTAATATATGGATGAATTACGCACCCACGCACATGTGATGAGAAAGGGAAAGGAACGTACGGATATCGTCGTCGCTGAAGGGTTTGGAGTCGGCGATTTCGTCGGGAGGAAGGGTGAAACCGGTGAAGGAGAAAGAAAGGCCCAGGCTGGCACTCGAAGCTCGGCTAAGAGCCGCGCCGCTGCTCACCTCGTCCAGCTCAAACTTCAGCTGAGCGCTCCTCGACTTCCTTATGTGCGTGTTCTTCCCTCCTCCGCTTCTCCCCGGCGATGCCGCCGTCATCCGACGACTTGACCTCCTCGACGGAGTGGCTCCGGCGCCCCCGGCTCCTGCCTGCTCCACCACCAACCCCATCGATTCACTTGAAGATTGCGCCTTCAGAGACTCCACCAGCTGGTCCGATCTCGTTCTTGCCAGCCCCCCGGACGTATTTGCTTTCTCCATCATCACCCACTCTCACCTGTCACCACCAAATCCAAAATCTCTTTATCCATTCAATCTACACTCCAGAATGCCAATATATGTCACGCACAGACACTAGCTCAGACACACTTTCTGGTGTCTCTCTGAGTGTGACTATAACATTCCAGCATAAAGATTAATCGTTTACATATACATACCCGAAAATAAATATGTTTGTTTCATTGTTATTTTCCCTCCATATGAGATGGAGAGGGAAGAGGAGGGAAGAATATGAATGCTGCTCTGTTAGTCTATGTATATAAAATTCGGGGAGAGGATAAGGATGAAAGGACTAGCAGAAGAAGAGAGCTGGAGAACCAAAAATGTACTTCAGGAATCAGGAGTACTGAAAGAAGATAGATGGCCATACATAATGAAATAACTGTTAGATCAGTGAAAAAGGAGATGCGCAAAATCAAAAAGAGAAACTTTGAAGTATTTTGCGAGAAAGATCATTGAGAATTCATGGATCTTACCGTTTCAGTGCCAAAGTAGAAGAGAAGACCTCGAGAGAGAAAAGCTTGTGATATATATGTTTGTAGAGGCCAGCGCGCAGCTGAAATGATCTTGCCCCATCCTGTGGAGCATCCCGCCCCCTTATAAAGGGGCAATTAATTCCGGACGCCCACCAAGTTACCATATTACCCTTATGCTTCCTCACAAATATAATTTCTCTATATATAATTGCATCTTTAATATTTGTGATGAGAAATGGACTACTGATCTGACACATCACGCGCACATCAAACTTATGGGGATGGGAGTCCGTCCCCAATATTCTTCATGACATCAATATATATGAGTAAATATGTATATATGCATGATGTCTTTATGATGAATATGTGTTCGTATTTATCTCAAACATGATCTAAACTGTTGGCAGCCAATTTAATTAGTTTATATAGATTTTAATTCGTTTTGTTATATTTATTTTAAACGAGAATATAACTTTTTATATTAGCAGAGTGAAATGATTATGATTATATCATTTCCTGCTTTGAAAAAAAAAAACAACAGAAGAAAATAGAATAGGATCTCAATTAAGATGCAGCCTCCAGAGAAGAAAATAAGCGTCTTAGGGAGTGTTTGGATAAAAACAAAAATATGGTTTCAGAAGTGCTTTTACGGATTACGAAGTAAATATGTGGAGGAGGTTACCTCGTTTTGCGAAAAAGTGCTTCTGAAACCTCGGTTTTGGAGCATCCAAACAGAGCTTTAGTCTGACTTGTGGTGTCCTGAGGGTGGTTCAGAGAAGAACGAATACAGTGATACAAGCAATTCTCATACAAGAGGGGGCCATCATGGCCGTACACGTGGCAGCAGCCTAACAAGACGCTAATTTTGCATGCAAGTAGTGAGGATTTAGGACGTTGAAGGTTACTGTTATTCTATAGTATACTAGAGAGTTGGAGCTTGAGGTGGTGGAGATGGAGAAGCAAACTTTTGGTGTTAATGAAGAGGCTTAACCTTATGCGGGGGCGGCTTGTGGCTCATGTGCCGGCTAATGAAGTGGCCATATAATGCAGACAAATTAAAGGCCACTTGAAGGGCCCTGCATGTTTGGGGGAGAAAGAGGCCTTTGCCTTTCAAATTCGAGATTACCTATCCACCAGGGAATAGCTTTTTTATCAACTTTGGAGTTTTGCATGCAATCAGATGTGCACGTTTTGGTTCTGGATCAGAGCTCTCTCCCGCGTCTGCTTCCTGTTAACAATTCTATGAGCCTTGCATGACGATATCTTGCCCTCAGCTTCTTCCTCTCGATCGTCATTATGCCTTTTATCGCCATTTTAAATGATGCTGATTTGATTTCAATTCACTTGCCCCCCTTCGTACGCGCCCATCAGTTCGCGAAATTTCGCAGAAGCTTGCTTCAAAGCTTCAGCCCCATACACATCCAACATATACTTGTGTCGTTATTTTCTTGTACGTAGTACGAGCTCTAGCTTGGGGCAATTCGAGTATCAAAGCTGGTACGCTAGTGAGTGTGTGTGTGTGAATATGTAGACATTAATTCTCAAACTTTCCGTAACAAAGTACTCCACAAATTTGATGGACAAATATATCAATATATAGAGATCATTTATAGCGGTCTATATATATAATTAAATGCGCCTCGTAAAAAGATTATTTCTGGCCTATATAGGAATACGAATGCGACACGCAGCATCCATCCCCGGATTTCAGATTTCTCTTTCGAGAGATGTCTAACCAAATTAAATTGACTCCTAAGTTTTATTGCCATTTGGTAATTATTTTTCTTCGAATTCCTCCAAACAAATGGGCGCGCACTAATGCGCAGAACATGTATATATGTATAAAAAAACAAATTTACTCTTTCACGGCCTAAAATTTGAGGGCGACTCTTTACCGTTAAAGACAACTGACACCCATATTTTTAATTACTACTACTAGTGTGTGATAGCTACAAATTACCGTTTGAGCCAACTAATTAAAAACCATATTAGACAAATACTATCTCTGGTTCTTGATATAAGAACTAGTTGACTAATTTGAATAGATTAAAAAATAAGCTAAGTTAATTATTTATAATAAATAGGAGTTTTCTTTTCTAAAATATCCTTATTGACCAAGTGTATTGACTAAAACTATTATTATTACAAGGACTATATTGAGGGAAAAAAAGGATAACTATGAGAGATAAAGTGGATTAGGATCTTATATTTAAGATTAAAATAAAAGTCAAACAAGTTCTTATATAAAGGATCAAAGGTAGTGTATGGTTAAGGCTTAATATAATATTTAGTCCTCAGGATTATCTTCATTTTGGTTTTGGTCCTTCAAATTTCAAGTCATAAGTTTTGCTTCAACTAGTAAATGGTCCAAATTTTTACTAAGTTACGGGGATCAATGTTTTAAATGAAAATAAACTCGAGGGGATAAAATCTATGGTCTGAAATTTAAAGAACCAAAATCAAAATAAAAACAAATTTGATAGAACAAAAATTATATTAACCTAGTAGTTAATCACTTCTCATTGGTTCTGTTGAGATAGTTATATATATAGAGAGAGAGATGAGAGAAAATTTTCATTAGCAGAAAGGGAATAGGAGAAAGTGATCGATCACTAGTGTAGATTGATACAATACCTTATTGTGCAAATGAAATGTGGCTCGCATGTTATAATATTATTAGGAGTTAATATGTTTTTTGGTATTTTAAGTTTGCACAAATTTTAATTTTAATTCTTTAAATTTTAAATCATAAATTTTAATTTTTCAAGAGATAAAATAGTCTAAATTTTTATTAAATTGTAAAAATTAATATTTTAGACAGAATAACACTTGATGGACTAAAAAATTTTAGAATTTGAGAAATTAAAATAAACTTAAAAAAATAAAAATTAAATGAAACCCAGGAGATTGTGGTTTGATGAGCTGAGAACGAGGGTGGGAAGCAAGGGCAATAAAGTAAACTGAGAAGGGAAAGAGATGAGTGGCGGACGGGAGAGTGGGTGCCAAAAGGAGATGTTTGGTGGTTCTGACGAAAAAGAAGCTCTCTGACCCTTAACTGTCTTTTGCTGTGCTGGCGCCTCATGGTTGGCCACCCTCTCTCCGCCACATCTCGCCACGTGTTACCGCCCTTGTCCCACCATCCCACCCAGAAAAAAAATAAAAAATCCCACTCTTAATTCTCACTGAGGGCGCAGTTCAATTATTAATTAATAATGATGATGTAATGATCAGGGAGGGAAGCGAAAGCAAATCACGAATGAACGAACGAACGCGGGGCGAAATCTGAATGCGAGCAAATGGGAGTGGGCGGTGCCCTCAGTGGGCGGGAAGCTCACATGACAAGGACATGATGGCGACAGACACAGTTGTCTCGCTTTGGTCCACTCAGTGACAGTGCTTTTTTCCAATTACCCAAATTTCTCCCTAATTTCGAATTAACTAATCATTTTTCCTTTCATTATCTGTGCATGCTAAAAAAGAAAGGAAAGTGCGCCCATGGCCATAAGCGGAGCATATCCTTCCTTGCCCGCCACGTGTGCCGTCCTAAATCCACCGACGACACCTCGGATCCTCCTCGTACACGTGGCCACCGCAGGGCCGCGTCTTCTCCGACGGCCTTCCACGTGGACCCCTCGCCTTCACGTTTTTGGATCCTTTCTTTGCTTTTGTTTCATTTCCAACCTAACGGAAATGGACAGTAGAATTTTTCAAAGTATGCGCTGTTGCTGATTAATCACGCCAATTTAGCCCCTTCTACATAACATATGTGTTTTCGCTATCCATGGACCAAACAAGTTTTTCAAAAGCAAATTTATAATTTATTATTAATAATAAAATAAGAATATATCGACACTCCTTGATTGTTTTAAATAACATGAATATGGTACAGAGAAAACGAAATATGGAATGAGGAATAGATAAAGATGAGAAAGAAGGAAATAGAAAGGGAGGGGTGAAGGAAAAGAGAATCCAGCTGCTGGACCATCACAGAACACACAAAAACAGAGCACATGCCTACAAAAAGGCAGGAGCCATCAATCATCCAAAAAGGCATATCTCAACCTCTATCCCTTATCCTCCATCCCACTTGGCTGGGATCGGTCCATCATCACGTCGCAACAATACTTCTTGGTCTAGCTTTATTAACCTTTGCAGTCTTTTTTGGGTAATTATTCTCAGTTTATTACTTTATGTAAAATAATCTTTACCATCTGTTTTGACGCGTGTTGTTCTGTCACTGTGCATATTAATCACCCTCTATGCCAAATAAATACTGTTCTATTTTAAACTAATTGAATCATATGATGTGATGTGACAGCGGATTGTGATGAATATAGAAAAATAGAAAAAAAATGGATAAAATTGTCAAATTACATTCAATCTGTCTGCCATCTGCCCATCTATCAGTCTTTTACAAAATTTCAAAACCCAAACTAATCACCAGTCAATCAATTACATTGATAAAGATTGTAGGATGTGACGTTAATAACAAATTATGGATAACGCGGACTAGCTTCATCTTAATTACTACCTTCGGTCTTTAATATAAGACTCTATTTGACTTTTATTCTGGTCATAAATATAAAATCCTAATCCACTTTGTTTCTCATATTTATACATTTTTTTCAAAGTAGCCCTTCTAGCAATGATAGTTCTAGTTCATACACTTGATTAGCAAGGATATTTTAAGAAAGACAACACCTATTTAGGGCAAATAACTAACTCAACTTACTTTCTTAATTTTCTCAAATTAGTTAATTGGCTCTTATAATTAAGATCGGAGGTAGTACATTCTATGAAATGTTTTTTTTTTCCTGGCCTGAAAATTCTATGAAATGCATGAGATACACTTTAATTAACTACGTTCATATGCTTGGACCATAAAACGATGAAGATGAAACCGACATGAGGAGATCAAGCTTTTCTCTTGGAAGAAGGGAAGGATGATAGGGCAACATTAGCTCCAATCAATCGGGGAAATTAAAAAGATGGCGTGTGTTGGTTAAAGTGTCATGTGCCTGAGCGATGCAAAAAGATAAAGAGAATAGGTATTCCGGTTGGATCAAAAAGGCCAACGATATGCATATGAAAGATATATGAAGCGCCAATTTGGCTGCTTACACGTTGCTGGTTCATAATCTTCTTCAGTCTCCAGGTTTGAGGTTAAGCAGATGCACATCGTGATTCATGAGCACTTTTGTGTGTTCTCTCTCTTACTCTTGCACGTGAGGAATAAATCCATTACGGTTGTTATCACCTTCACTGGTGTCTGCAATACACAGTTAATTCGTTAACTGACCGAGCCTTCCATAAATGGTTGTTCTAACCAACCCCTTTAATTAATGATATTATACAGCTATTCCATATAGACCATTGGTTTTATGGACCATGTCGTCTTTCTTCGCCGACTGAAATACACGGACCTGCTTTAACAGGTCACACATAGCCAGTGTTGCTTCAAAGTTGACTCCTGTTTCGTATTAATAATTCAACGCTTACCCAGTAGCTCCTCGTTAAAAAAATCACTCAGGCAGTCAACTATTGTGAATAATGTGAAGTATGTTAAATTTAATACTACTCCGTCCTTAATATAAAATCTAATTTATAGTAAAAATTGATGTTATAAAGAGGTATGTAGTGATTAACAAATGAAATGAATTGATACAACAGAGTAGGCTACATGCGCTACGAACTTGATAAATGCAATATTCCTCATGTTATATATCCATGATAGATGCCAACAACTAACACATTGTACTTATCAAACTCACAGCAGCGGCATCACAAGCAAGACCAAGGATTAATTAGAAATCATTAGGAAAAGAAGAAAAAGAAGATGATTAAAGCGTATGCAAGGTACCCCAAGAATATGAAATATTATTAACAGACAAGTGGAATCAATACAACAGGATACATAGGCTACAGAGGCTGCTTAGTTTGTGAGCCTGACTGAGAGAATGGTAAAAATACATATTGACAGTTCTTATATTCATATATGTTTGACAATTAACACCACCCCACCCGATCACCTCATCAAAAGGGGGCAAACAGCTACAAATTCAGAGGTAAAACCGTCATCTAATGCGCTAGAAACGTATTAACCGGAACATTGTTTTGTTTTTGTTTTTTGTTTTTTGTTTTTTTTTCCCCAAATGACAAGAAAAATATGCTACTTAGCAGATTACCCACCCACCTTCTCCCCAGTTTATACAAGGGCCTGCTCTTATATAATCTGCCCCGGGGAAGAGAGGATGCAAGCTGAGAGATATCTATCAAGTCATCACATGGCTGATTAATGCTCGACGACACCACAGTCTTGCATCATTGCAACAAACTCATTATAATCAATGCGCCCATCCTGAAAACAGAACAAATAAATCTGAAGTTATATATAGAAATGATAACATCCAGGGTGACCTTGCGACGGGGGAGTGGCAAAGGAACAAATTACATTATCCTGGTCAACTTCGGCGATTATATCATCTAACTGAACATCTTGCAGACCAAAGTGTTGACACGCTTGCTGGAGCTCGTCTCGCGTAATGTACCCACTGTTATCTTTGTCAAAATAGGAGAAGGCAGTATATAGACGGTCCTCCTGTTGGACCTTGTTTTCTTGAATCATAGCTGCTACGAATTCACCGTAGTCTATTGTACCGCTATTATCAAAGTCTACCTGAAGTTTAAAGAAAGAAGCAGCATTAATTATCATAGATCGAATTCATAGCCAATCTATTGGTTTGAACACAAACAGTGCATCCATATCGTCCGGCTGGTTAAACTCAAGATCCAAGCTGCCAAGTTGACATCACTCTCAATTAGGAATATAATTTCACTGGAAGATGACTTCTCTCTGAAATGTTCAAAACGAAGCAAGAAATGTTTTCTCCCATGTCTGGCTTTACTCATCTTTGTTAGACAACAGGCGTGCTTAAATACAGATGAGATGGTAATTTGCATTTCACGCCAACGCTTACCGATTGCATTATCCGATTAATTTCAGAATCCTTCATGGAAACACCCACTCTCTCCAAACCGACTTTCATTTCCTCAAAAGTGATCTGTCCGCTATTATCTGCGTCTATCATCTTGAACATTTCTTTCAACCCAGCGATTTCATCCTCCGACAGAGTTTCAGCAATTATCTGTTGTCAGAGAATATTTCCGCAAACAAATAACAACTAACAGCAGTCAGAATAATCTCCAAGGGACTTGATATGGAAGCATTATTCTACCAATTATGTTAAACAACTAAGCAAGCATTATTAGTACAGCCGCTAAGAAGACAATTCAAAGCACATCCTAGCTCTGTGAAGTGATACCGCCAGGGTTGCTAATAGCTGTCATTCACTGAACAAAGCACCTGTCTCTTACTTCGTCCCAAATTGAAAAATTCAAATGTTTACCCCCCTACTTTCAGTGTCTGCTTTATTCTTCAAACGATAAATGCTTTAAGAAATAAGGCAATAGGCAAATATGATCCATTTTTGGAGACAGTTTTTGGAGAACTTCTCTAGAAAAGCATAGCTCAATCTGAAAATCTCATTGTGTCTTGAGTTCTCATTATTCTGGAATTTCTTATAAGTGCAAATAATATTATATTCCACACATGCAGATTGAACAGCATCATAGCAAATGTACAAGATTATTTACAAGATTTCCATGTGGCATCGGATAAGTATATTCTTAGATAGCTAGCAGGTACTTACTCGGATCGCGAGCTTTTTGAGCTTGGTCCTGGCAGAAAATTGCTTCAAACGAGTTAAAACAACAGAATCAAGTGGTTTTTCAAGAGCAAAACCTTCAGTCTGGAACCAAGGATGACCTGCACGTGATTGTAAGAAGCTAGACTTAGTGCCCTTATTTATTCAAAGCTGAAGATGCATATGTTTCAAAAATAACAGAAATATGGTAGTTATTGAGAATAATCAGATAAGAATCGCAACGGTGCAAACAACTCTGAATATTCTTCTGTTTAAAAGTAGAAGACCTCTTCATTTATACTACCTCAGATTTTAATTATAAGACCTTATTTGTAGACTATAAATGAAATCTTATAATTAAAATCGGAGGTAGTAATATGCACATAAGAGCAGCTTGAAACTGAGTAAGTTACTAACAAGATGATTTGGTGTTGTAAATTTATTATTGTCTACATTGCATAATCCTGTATAACCAGAAAAATTATATCACATGAAAGATCAAACTGATCTGAAATCAAAGAAAAGAATGTAAACTATCATCACAAGCTGCACTTTAGATGAAACCATATATCGACACAAAGGCGCGGTTACTCACAAAGAACTTCACGTGCCGATAGTCGCTTCTTAGGGTCTCTTACAAGCATTTTCCGAAGAAGATCCTTTGCACTTGCAGAGATGCTGGGCCATGGTTCAGAGACAAGGTCAAGTTCTCCTTTTAAAACTTGGTCAAATATGCCTAGCTCCGTTTCTGATCCAAAATAAGGAACATCAGAAATTGATTTGTGATTAATACACCCTAACAAACGGCAAACTCGCATTGCAATGAAGTTAAGATTGCAGAGTAGGTGGCGTAGGGCTCTCACCGTCCCAAAATGGGGGAACTCCACTTAACAAGATATAAATGATCACCCCTGCACTCCAGACATCGCATTCCTGACCATAGAACTTCCGCAAAACTTCAGGGGCCACATAATAGGGGCTCCCAACCACATCAGTGAATGTTTCACCTGAAAGTTCAATATGTTTCTCAATCTGAAGTAGAAAATATTCAATTCAACATAAGTGCACCGAACAACTATAAAAACTGTGATTTTCTGTCGCATTTGGGGGAGAATAAGGACATTTGAAATGATTAGTTTGAGCGGGGGTGAGAATAGATAACCAAGAGTGCTAATGGCCCCACGCAAGAAAAAAAAGTCATGAGTAACCATATTTAATCATTTCTGTTTGCAGCCAATGGCGTCTTCTTTTAATTGATTTAGTGAAGATTAAAACAGGGAAGATTTTAAGGGTGTGTTTGGTATGAGGGATTTGGAAGGGAGGGGAGGGGAGGGGAGGGGAGGGGAGGGGATTTAATCATTTTCTCTTGTTTGGCAACACACAAATTTTAGGAGGGGAGGGAAAATTTTTTAAAATTTCCCCTCCCCTCCCCTCCTCAACCTCCCCTCCAAAATTGGGAGGATTTGGAGGGAAAAGGCAATATTTTGTCATATTATGACCATTATGTTCATATTTTGTCATGTTGTGACCATTATGTTTATATTTTGTCATGTTGTGACTATTATGCCCACGCCTTAAATAAAATAAGAGCAAAATTGTCCATATTAAAATATTTTTCCCTCCCCTCCCCTCTTTTTTTATAAATCCAAACAAGGTGATATTAAAATCCTTCCACTCCCCTCCCCTCCCCTCCCCTCCATTAAAATCCCTCCCCTCCCCTTCCTCTCATTGAGCCAAACATACCCTAAATGTGGGCAACGGCAAAGGCCAATGAAGTGAACTAGTTGTCCTCACTTGTCTTCATTAGCAGTAGATGAAAATAATTTTAAAAAAAATCGATATGATTAGGTCAATAACGATGCGAATCCCTAATCAGCTTCAAGGGCAACATAGAAATAAATCAAGAATAATCAACTATTAAAGTGAATAATGATCATGAACATACCTGGTCTGAAGAACACCGAGAGCCCGAAATCTATTGTCTTCAGCTGTGACTCCTCCTCTTGGCCGACGAACAGAAAGTTCTCTGGCTTCAAGTCCCGATGCATGACCCCCATAGTATGGAATGCCTCCACGACACCGACGATTACTCTTGCAAGCTCGGCCGCCTTTTTCTCAGTGTAGTGCCCTCTCTGTATGATCCTGTCAAAAAGCTCTCCACCAGCACAGAGTTCCATGATGACATGAACAGCCACAGCATCCTCATAAGCATCAATTATCTGAATCACATTGGGATGACCGGCCAAGTGGTGCATTATCTGAATCTCCCTTCTGACATCGTCTATATCCTCTTGTGTGTTCAATTTTCTCTTGAGAATGGATTTACAAGCAAACTCTTTTCCAGTGGACTTCTCCAGGCAGTAGTATGTTGTCCCAAACTGCCCTTGTCCAAGCTTCCGCCCCAGACTATAAAAGTCCTTTATATTCTCAGTTTTCCTCCCTAGCACCGTTTCTATTCGAAGTCCCATGCTCGATACCCTTTTAACATGAGTAGGTTTCGTAGTTTCACCAGCATTAGCGGTATTGCTAGAGGAAGCTTCGTTGACCACCACCTCCGGCTTAACAGGCTTTTCAGCTTCCCCAGCATCAGCAGTCTTATTAGGAGGAGGGTCATTGACCACCTCCGGCTGAGCAGGCATGTAATCTTCCCCAGCATCAGCAGTACTACAGGTAGGGTCATTGACCTCAGGTTTAGCAGGCCTTTCGGCTTCTGGTGGTGATGGTTTTTCATCACTGGGAATTTTCATCAATTCAGGTGGTGTACTTTGAACTTGCTTTGGAGCGTCAGAATCTCTAGATGAATCAGGCCCAGCATTTTCCGTGCTTTTATTGTCCTTGTCGGCGTTAGGTGCCGGGAGCCTGCCCTCCGGCGGCGGGTTTTTCTTGAAAACGGACGTGATCGATTGCAAGAACCCATTCCCACCAACGTTAGGTCCCACACAGACGTTGCCCATCAAATTATATCCTTAGCGGCGTTCTCCACGGCCTTTTGTGAATCCCAATGCGCAGATTGATCTCCGATGATTCCATTGACGTTAAAATCGGGGGCTTAGAATGAACAATTCCGTCCAAGAAAACATCATCGATTCTGGATATCCTGATTGCAACTGAACAATATGAATGTTCGCATTCAGTCGAGCTCCAGGATCCGCACAATGTATGAATCGATCAGCAATTATGTCAAAACGGAATCAATGAGAAGGATAATCGTTGACGTAAAATCTGAATATTTGGAGAAGAATGGAAAATTTTCTATTAATAATAATCGAGGAAAGGAAAACATTGTCACGACTGGCATGCCAAAAAAATCAGCATTTTATACATAAAATAAATCTGCACGTAAAATTTTCATTTCTAAATTGGGTCTAGTTATATTAAAAAAAAAAAAAACTGTTTCCACGCACAACTCAATATCACATATTTAATTTTTTTAATATTAAGTTTGCTTGCTTCAAAATACCTTAAATAATCTATATACTCCTCTGGTCCTTAATATAGGACCCAATTCTTGAGTTGATTTTGGTCCTAAATATAAGACCCATTTCTTATATTTATCAATTTTCTCTAAATTACCCTTATAGATATTCTCTCAACCACAATCAAATAGAAGAGGGAGAGGGGGTATTAAGAAATATAATTATGGTGTTTTAGGAAAAATGTGTCACTTTCTTTCTTATTAACTAACTTACCTAACTTTCTTAATATAATCAAATTAGTTAAATGGGTCTTATATTAAGGACCGGAGGAGTATAATACATGAATTTTAACCATTCAAATTGTTGATTGACAAAAAATGTAACTCAAGCTTGGCACGATACTATGCATGCAACACATGCAGTACAAGAGTCACAACGTACGTGACATTGTGTTACTAATTCTTCGCATGTGATCACTTGCTTTTTTCTGCCATAACACGCCTCAAATGTATACATAATATAATTTTATTTTATATCTAAATTAATTATGAATATGCTTTACGAACTGTTCCATGCATGGGCCCATCAATCCATTTCTAATTAAACGTTAAACTCTTGATTCAAATTTTTGTCTCTACTGTTCGTCCTTTGTTCTTCTTAATTATTATTATATCCTCTCGCTCACTCGTTATTATAACATCTTATATTTGTGCCTGGTACACTGTGAATATGCAGATAGAGGGCGTGATTCACTTCAAAATGAAAAAAGATTTCTGAATAGGTTTGATGATGGCTCGATATGAAGAAAACTGGCGAAACTGAGTGTAAACGCATTTGTTCATACGATAGATGTTCGGGGTGCTACATTTATACGAACACGTCATCGATAAAAATGACCTCAGGTTAAAAAATGGCAAAAAAATATGAGAAAGCCAAAATGGGATTTGAACTGTTCAAATCATCAATTCATTTGTCTGAAGCCTTTCTGTGGTTTTGACTTTTTGTTACTCATTCTAATTAAATATCGATATATATGCCTTTCGCAGCATGTGGATTCCCCCCGTAATAGGTTTATAAAATATTTTGACTTACTTCCCATAATACATTTTAAATTAGATTAATTATATTAGCATGCATCGTGTTTAATTAGCTTTTTTACCGTCTTTTTTTTTGTCAACCTTTTTACCGTGTCAGTTTTGAGAATGCAGGAACTGAATCTACTGGTTTTTCAAATAATACCATATCAATGCTTCTGTTCGCGTAGCAGTTTATTCTGAAAGATAACAGTTTCTTCCGTTAATTATCTCGGAATTCATCAACTTAATGGATATTTCACTGAACAATCAAGCAAAGCTAGCTTGATTACTTGTTTCAGTGAAATTTATTGAGTGATTAATAAGCAAATATTATCATTATATAAATTATACGGTTTAAGTTGAATATCTAGAGTTTAACCAAAACCTCCACGGTTGAATTTCTCAAAAAGAGAAGTGGACTAATCAATCATCCATAATAATAATAATAAAGAACAACGCTTTGAATGGTCACGCATTAATTAATTACGTTAATTAGAATATGCAAGCATAATATAATGTCGTAATGAGGCCTGAAGAGGAAAATTAAATGTCCGCGAAGGATGACTTTGACCGGGGACTTTGACTCGGGAATGAACACCAATTCTCAAAAGTCCACATTGGGCCGCCGGCGAATTTTACAAAAGGTGTCAATTTCCCCTCTTTTCAGAAAGTCCAACAGCTCCAAAAAAAAAACTCAGACTATATACACCTTAAAAAAGACGAAATCAGAGTAGACCATGAGTGCCTGTCTTTTTTTGTCAACTAACACGTAGACTTATTAATTACTTGCTCAAAAAGTCTCACCCTCCCCACTCCCTTGCCTCTAGATATATATAAAACACGAATCAGGATCTTCAAATTCAAGAAAAGCATCATATATCACAAAACACAAGACGATGAATTCGCAGTCTGAAGCAATCAGAATGAAGTTGCAGGGTCCGAGGCCTGGACCTCTCATGGCGAACAAGAGCTCCAGGAAGATGAAGAAGAAGCAATGTTCCTCGCCGGTGGTCATTTATTTGAGATCTCCCAAGGTGTTTCATGTAAAGCCTGAAGAATTTATGAGTCTGGTGCAGCAGTTAACTGGGAATCCGAAACCACCATCTTCCACACCTTCTCTTCATTCTCGCGGAACGCTACATCGTCCAGAATCGGAGAAGGACGCCGGCGACGAGATCGGCCGGTTAGAGCATTTCATGTGTACTTCTAGGGCTGGCCCTACTACTCATGCCCATTCTACTGACTTTATGCACTTTGTGGATTTTGTGTGAACTCTCCACATCCTTCCTTGTCTATTTATGCTACTTTTGTATCAAAGCAAACCAGGATCATATACGCACATGGATTGCTTTTCAGTTTGACTTGGATGGAAATCAAATTATAATTTTAAAAATGATTAATTTTATGATATATAAAATAAGTATTTGTAAGAGTTTGTCTCGATTTGTAAAAAAGTGTTTTTATAAAGCATTTTAAGACGTATCCAAACATCTTTTTACATACACCCACATATAATGCCTGCATGTGATCAATATATAACCCTTTTTTGGGTGCACAATTTTATTAAGCGAAGGCTAACTGAGAATGCTGGAAACTTGAACCTCTACTCGTTGAAAATGATCAAACTATTCATGTGCGCAGGTTTATAATTTTCGATTTTCATTGCAAACAAAGGCTTAGTTAATTTGTTGCCTCTGGATAGGGATCGCATTAGAAAAGCTCGGAGTGTTTCTGTATGGAAAAAGTTGCGTTTTGCAAGGGCGGCTTTCCTGAAAAGATTCAGATTGGATGTGAGGAGCATGAAATTTGGATCTTTCATATATATATATATGTTAAAATTGAATAATCCATATTTAACATGAGTTTATTTTTATATTTTTAATAGTTTAATATTTTTTAAATTACTTCTTAATTATTATTTTTTACAAATAACTTTTTATTTTAAAATTATTAGTTAAAAAATTAAATTTTAATCAATAAAATAGTATTTGAATCATGCATATTTCATTATTAGTTAAATGGTTTTGGTCATTATTTTTCATTCAGTTTTTACACACGTGAAATGCAAGTTGCAAATGAATTGGACCGGAATCAAACATGATCATCGTCGTTAAAGTGTTTGATTACTTTAAATTTAAATTGATAATACGCTTTAATTTAGTTAAGAGCCATGCAACCATGCGAATCATAGTTTCCCCACAATCCTTGAACTGCTTGAGAATATTGGAAAAGAATTTTCCGCACGGGCTTTTGTCGAACAATAGCTACTAGTCCCCACCCAACCCAAGCCCACCCCAAAAAACAAAAAACAAAAAGTTGAAAATGCAGGGAAAAGGAAAATTATCTCTGTGAGATATATATATATATATTTCTTAATTAATTATTTATTGAATTTTAAAAATAAACATCATACTGTACACCGAAAAAAAACATCCTACTGGGACTCAATGATGCCTCGTTAATTTTTAAGATTACATAAGATTTGAGTTTGAACGACGATCAAGTTAATTCTAACCATGAAGTTTTAACCAAAATAATTATTTTTCCCAAAAAAAAAAACCGACTCGCTCTCGCATAAAAACGAGATCAATTTGGGGCATAAATACAATTATTTTGGAAACTCCTAAATACAGGAGTCTTACGAACGGTCATAAACGCCGTCGCGCTCACGGCGTCAGAAAGAGGAGGGAAATCAAATTGCTTTTAAACACAATTCATTTTCGCCGCTAATTTTCTTTCATGTGGTCTGTCATCTCAGTTCATTCAGTTCACTCCCGCTTCTCTCCCTCAAACTCTGGCCAGAGTCTGCCCTAAAATCGTTTTAGGGCTAAACTACTAGTAATTCAAAATCCGGGACTTTATTCAATCTCAGGTCAAGGGCATCTTGTGTTTTGCCCAAAAATGGAGGTAAGACGCGATCGGTCTTTCGATTCTTTAGCTTCTGAATCGCTTGCCGTCTTTTTATATACACCTTGGAAAAATCTCGGTCGCGATCCTGCCTTTTTTTTTTCTCGCTCCCATTACCACCCTTAGAATCGCGGCTTCGTCGACTTAAATCGGATATGCCAATGTTTGCAATATTCATTCTATGCTTGTGGAGATTTTGATTTTGATAATTTAAAATCTATCTTGCATCTCACTAGACCCACTGCAATTTATCTTAGGACGTGCTTTGATTGGTAAGAAAGCTGCAATCGTGGTTTTCGAAGCCAAGGCATGGCAAAAGTTGTTGCACCAAGTTCGTTACTTCACCGCTCTCATCTAATTGGCTCAGGGCCCCGAAATAGTGACACAATGATGAAAAGAAAGACGCCTTCAGAACTGAGGGTAAATCTCTTATTTTGTTTACAAATTAAAGCGTTCAATTACGTGATTCTGACATATATGCTGGACTGACTAGTTTCCAGCATCTTTTCATTGATATTGACCATTCTTAATAAACTGTTGAGCCAGCAATTCTCATGTCTATAATCATTCGTATGTTGTTGGCAGGGAGAGCAGTTGAAGCGGGCTAGTGCTGCGACTGTGGACCTTACAGATGAATCTCCATTGCCTTTGAGCAGTACTTCAAAGTAAGCTTCTTCTGCTTCTCTTTGAATTTTCTGTTTCATATTTTGTTAACAGCTTGCTTGATTTATGTTTGCAACACCAGTGATGTGGATAATGGGCTTAAAAGGCCAGGGCTGTCAAGGAACCCAAAATTCATTGATACACGTGTTGATGATGTATTTCCTGCCAAAAAGTCCAGGTTTAGAATGACTTCTGGAAAAGAAAACGCCAAGGTTATTACATTTTCACAATACATGTGACTTACACTGAGTTTTTTCTGTTAACATCCTTGTTGGATGGCAAATCTCTGACTGCTAATGTGTTTTGAATTGAACTAAGTAATCTTGTCGCTATGTTTAGGAAAATACATCTACGGAGAAAACTAGCACCCTGAAGAATCCCTATATTCTTACTAATTTGGCTGCCACAAAACAGCAAGGGATATCATGGTTTGCCTTGTTGCCTATGTGTTCTCTTTAGTTCAAATTTATAATTTCCCTGTGTTGATTGTCTTTGCAATTGCTTTCAGCTTAGAGAATACTGTTGCTTCTAGTGAAGCAAACAAAGATAGTACATTGCAGTCTTGTCATACAATTGAAAAGTGCAGCCAAGGAAAGTTCCTCACTGTAACTGAGCTTTCATCATCTGCTGATAGATCTTCAGGCTGGGCTGCTATAGATATGGTATAGATTGGCGGATCTCTTTTCTTTTTACGTACTTATATTTTGGATGCCATTTGTAATTATGTTTTCAATTATAGGGTAATGCATTAAGAGGACTAGCTGCCCCGGAACTGAATGTGAGCTGTGGTTTAGCTGCTAATTCATCTAAAAGACTTGGAGATACTGCATCAACCACTGTGGGCAATTTTATTAATGAGTGCCATGTACCTGGCCATAAGTCTCCTCTGGATCTTACACTCAAAACTAGCATGCGTATTGTATCTTCTTCTGTGAATTGGTGAGTACGTATGATGGACTGACTACCTTTGAGAATGAAGAGGAATGACGTGCAATTTTTCACTTAGTTAATGCAGCATTCATTGATATGATTTATCTGAATACTATATTGCATGCTTACTTTGTTGGTCTCAGCTGTCCTTGCTGTTCTTGACTGTTATCCTGTATAATTTTTTTTTTTGTTGATTTCTAAACTTCAGGACTCAGAGGTCATTTATGCGCCGAACCATGCCTCAATTCACCTTCAAACATGGCACTTTCAAGGGTCAAAATATGGGTGGTCATTCACCTAATTCTGATGCCTTTGAAGTTTTGCATTCATGGATGTATCCTCAATCCACCCTGCCACTTTCCGTCATATCAGTGTTGAGCTCATCAACTGCTGATGGAGGTTGCCAAGCAGCTTTAAACCTTTTCCATTTTCAGTCTCTTCCTTGTTTTCTTCTGCTTTTAAGTTGGATGTTTCCCTTTTGTGCAGTAGAATTGGAGTTTTTAAATAAACGGCAAATAGATTGGGAAGAATCTTTCCGGAACCTCTATTACATGCTTCGTAATAACACATGTGGCATCTTTTATGGTGATTGCATATCCTTCCTAGTTCCGCTGCCATACTTATTTGATATTTTGAATTTAAATTTGAATGGAAACCAAGTATTAATCTGCCTGTATTCCCTCCATCTTCTAGTTTGCACTTCTCAGTTTGTGGCGATGTTCACTGGCAGTGATGGCTCTGATAAAACTGCCACTGATAAATCCACTTCCTCTTGCAATGCTTATATCTCTCAATCAACCAGAGGCTTGAGATCATTATTAAGAGAACATGTAAGAATATACTTACAAATTCCTCACTTTGATGTGTGCTTTGTACTTGTATGTCACTGTTCACTTAGCATTCTCTCTGTTCAGTATACTGTTTCTTTCATAGTTTGTTATTTCCTGTACTGTGTATGTAGCGAAGGGTAATTTGCCTTTGATAGAATACTTTTAGGCAGATCTCATTGAAATTGACTATTAGGTTTTGTGTTGCATAGCGGGTCATTGAACTGGGAAGGGCAGTAGGGAAAAAGTAGGGGGTGTGGACTAGGGATCAAACCCAACATTAGTCTTACCCTGTTTGATAAACTAGCATAATATAACTATCAGCTCATTAATGTTGCTTATCTGTATGAAAGTAAACAAAATCTATTTTGTTATCCTCATTTGATTGCTTTCTTTTTCTTCTTCTCTTTTTTTTTTTTTGGAGGGGGGGGGGGAGATCCTCATTTAATGGCTAAACTTCTGAATATTGTGACTTAAAAGAAGATTGTATATGCGAATTTAATTTTTTAATTTTCGGTGCAAGGTATCTTCTCTTTCTCTTTGGATTGACTAGAAGCTAGAAATGAAGGACCACATTTTGTTAAATTAAAGATTCTCCTATTTTCATTCTTATAGTTGCTATTGAAATGTACCCTCAATATTTATTTAGCGATCATGTTTATACTTATTTTTAACGATATCCCTGTTAACTAGGATGTCTGTTTCTCTATGCCTCTCTGCCATTCTAAAGTGGAGCAGATTGCTACTGAAGACCTGGTTGAACTCTCAGAAATAGAAAAGCATAATCTGGGGCAGGTTTGTCCCTTGCTTTGACCTCTTTTTTTTAACCCCCAGTTGTAGCTATAACTAGAAAATAGTGTTTTTTTATGAATCTCTTGATAAGTCTAACTGGCTCCACAAATTTCCTACTGGCTTCAATTATTGACTGTCTGATGATTATGTATGGCATTTTCATTCTTGTATCTGTCTTGTGCTCCCAAATCCCAATACAGGTCTATTAGTTAACTACACCATACATACTTTTTATATTGAGTTGATTGTTGCTTTCTGTGGACAAATTGCAGACTCGACGGATGAGATCCTTCTCTGATGTTGATAATACCCCACAATCTTTGTTGGTTTTCAGTGGCAACATAAATGTACACGGTTTATATGACCTTTTACTAAATTACAGGTGACTATTTAACTGATTAATGGTAACTTTCTTTGAATGTTTCTGTCCAGGTTTTCCATATCATGTTATTAGGTTATACCAATTTGATGTTTACTCAATTTCTAGCTTGTTGCTGACTACTTCTTTTTGTCTGCAGATCTTTCTTTACCTCACTATCTGGTATGGATGTCCCTGTATTATGTTCTCCCGTGCCGTTTCAAAATGCTGCCGTTTCTTCTCCTGATGTACGTGATACCTTTGTGTTTCCCTCTAATTATTGTCATACTCTAATTTTGCTCTTGTTTTAGTATCTAGTTAATGTTTCAAGCTAATCCTTCTACTTACATCGCTTGAGAAAGAACAGGTATTACACTTCATTTATGGAATGTATTATGGTTAATTTGGGAGTAGGCAACAACTACCATCCTGCAACCCACGACAAATCTTCAAATGTACTTGCCAGTAGTTGCTTAATCTTTTCAACACGTATTCTGGGCTAGTGTTGATAAGATTTATCAGTAATTCAGTATCCTCCAAATAACCACTTATCCCTTCCCTTGAAAATTGAATGTTTGCTGTAATCTTGCTCAAGTAAATTTGCTATGCTAGCACCACCTTAGAGAAGTCTGCTTGATTGACGTGGATTGGTTATTTTTGTTGCTATGAAACTAGAGATGATTGGATCATAATGACACTCTTTTGTAGATTAAATGCATGGAGATGAGAAGAGCTGAACAAATTGCTGCCTCCTATGATGAATCATATAGGAAGGATGCTGAAGTAGCCCAAGGTTCACCAGATGGCCTTTGTTGTAGTATTGAAATCAAAAACACGATTCTTCCACCGTGGATTATTTCTGGTATTTGTTCACTGATGAGTTCTGAAGGAAGAAAGTTTGAGGCAAGGTATTGATAGCTTCTGCATGATGATACCTGTTACTTTGTTTGAATTGTTTGGTAAGGATCAAATTCATGCGGTACCATAATGTGGTTCCTATGCGTGGAATGAATCTTGTATAAATTCATCAGGCAGAATGACAAGATTTACATGATCTGGGACGTGAGGTTGTCCCTCCTCATTTCCTAGCTTAGCTGCTTCGATCTCTGTTCGGGCTTCATGGTTTGTGTCAAGCTGCCAATCATTCTGAGCCATCAGGAGTCCCAAAATAAGCTGAATATTTCATGATTATGAACTATATCTTGAGTGATGTGATTGATTTGTGAAACATGCTATTTAATCAAGTAAATAGATGCGTCAGATTTTGTTAATTAGCTCTTAAATGATGTTTTCTTTTTTGTTTCTTGCAGTTTTGTGACAGAACCGAGCTCAATTGGCTTGAATGTTGCTTTCAATTCAACTTTTGAGAAATCAGAATCTAAAGCTGCAAGTGATGGAAGCTTGCAAAGCTGCAATGGTACATTTGGTATTCCTGGAGCCATCGTCATCTCTGGCATGCGGTCATGTTCGCTAAAGGGTCTAAAGTACTCTGATGATTCTTATATAGCTTCCCTATCGCCTTATGATCATATATCCTTTAGAAGTAACTCTGGTTTCCATCACATTGCTGACTAATTATTTCAATCCTTACAGTTTCCTCCCTGGTGTTAAAGAATTCCTGTCTTCTAGAATCCATCTTGGAAGAACAGGTTGTAACAAGAATTTGTATAATGCCAAAATTGTAATTTTTATAAGCATATCCTTATTTGGTGGTGATCTGCTTAAACCCTAGGAGTATATTGCACATGTAATTTCTATTTGGATTTGAATCATGTCAGAGTGTTAAATGTTTTCCCCCCAATTTTCATTTTTTTTCCTATTCTGAATAATACTTCTTTGATTCTTAATATAAGACTTATTGAATTAATTTAATTAGATTAAGGAAGTTAGGTAAGTTAGTTAATTATAAAAAATATTATATGTTTTTTTTAAATATTATAATTATCTTTTTTAATTATTTTTTTTCTTTTTCTTCTATTTGATTATGGTTGAGGGAGGTTTATAGGAATAATTTAGAAAAAATTAATAACTATGAAAAATAGGTTTTATATTTAGAATTAAAATTAACTTAATAATTATATCTTATATTAAAGATCAGACGAGTAAATACTAAATATGGATGCATGGATTATATTGCCGTCAGAATCGCTGATGATAAGAATGCTACTGCACGGGCCTTATACTTCATAAATCATCACTGTATACACCGAGGTGGAGATGTAGCCACTGCAAAGGATTCAAGCTGAGGATGCATGCATGCCACCAAAATTTAGATACTTAACATGCATTCTCATGATATGCAAATTTGGAATCCATGCTTCATGTTTTGAACACTCAAAAAACAAATTCTTTTAATTCTTATGGTTAAATTTATTGTGATTTCTAATTCGATTCTTAAAATTATTAATCAAATCTTTAAATTTTTTTAGCTATTGCTTTTTCTTTGATTTTGCTATGATTATAATGTAGTATATTAACATTTTAAATTTGTATGCCCCATGTAAAAATAAAATAAAATAAAAGTAACTCATGATGTACAAACCCTATCCATCAGAGATAAAATGCTACGGAATTAGACGTGACTAGAAGTTTGATAGTGCAGCGATAAAAGTCTAATAATAGGGAGTGTAAATTACTCAAACAATAAAATTTTATAACAAATCTTGAACTACAGCAGATTGCCAAAAATCAGTGATCAGATCACCAAGAATATGATAATTTCGTAACATACAAAATTGGAAGTACAAATGAATAGCAAAAGAAAAATGTTAATTTGCATCGTATCTGAACTTTGGATGAGTAAAATTGAGTGTTGCTTCTTGCCTCCCTCTAGAAAGAGAACTTAAAAGCTCCCACTTTAGAATCAGTGACAGAATCCCAGAAGGAAAGTTTCTTCTGCTGAATCTGTTTCTGTTCCTCTTTCCGGGTCAGCTCATCAATTATTCCAGGAAAAGAATCCTCGATAGCATTTCTGAACTTATCATACAAATTCACTCGATCTCTTGTTCCAGATACTAGCACGCTCGCATTCGGCCTTTTGAGAAAATCCAAGACATTAAGCAAGTTTCCCCTGCAACAAATACCATCAATTAGTTCTGTCAAACAGAATTTCAATCCTGCATCGTTTGAGATTACAAAGGTGAAACCAAATTAAACATTAAACATTAGTTTTCATGAGTTTTAATCATTTCTCAAGTTGTTTATAAGCATGACACTAGACAGTGAAAAGAAATTGCAATATGCCAACCATATCAAAAGAGATATAATACGCACAACAGCACAGGCTTGAATGTGAAATTTCCATGTTTGCTTCAGCCATAAAGTACCAAATTCACTAAGCCACCGAAACGCATCTTAAACCAATAACTAATACAATGTACAAAAGACAAAAGTCAATGCGGGCAGGAACAGAACTATTACTACTTATCAGTAGTCAATGGAATGATCAAAGGTGGAACACCATATTACTACAGGAGGTGAGCTTAGAAACCTAATCGAATCAGCCAAGACGCTCCTGCATACAATTTTAATTAAAGCACAACTTGTTCGAAGAAATCATCTTACAAGGATGTGAGATACAAATTAGTTTGCGTTGATTAATAAGAAAGCTACAGAAAGCAGTACAGAATCTTACCTACTGACAAAATTTTGCGTTATAGCTATGGACTCCTCCAAATTGATCACCAAATGCCACCATCCATTAGGCACAAAGACAACCTCCCCCGCTTTACAGACGCATTCAATAGGTTTCTTTTTCCAACTTTTTGTCGCGCCATAAAAGTTCATGAACCACTCAATTATTGAAACAGGAGATGCAACCTCTGCACCATCAGGGCTAGGAAGAACTCCAGGTGGAATCACATCAGGAGGAAATAGTATCCACTTCTTGGAGCCCTTGATCACAGCATTCCAAGCCGAAGTTGAATTTGGATCAACGTGGAAAGATGATCCTGATCCAGCTGGCCCAACAATAATCCACCTGTAGTCTGGTCTCTCTCTGCCCAAGACACTAAACAAGTCCTCCTGGAAGTAAGCCGGAACGTCAAATTGGGAATCCAAATTTGGAACTTTTTCAGCAAACTTTGGATCAAACAGGTACAATGGTCTTTCTTCTCTCACGTGATCCGAATATTCAAAATAGTCTTCAAGCCTCATCTCTACTGGCCCAACTGAAAACTTAACATCACCACACAACTGCACCAAATAATCTCTATCCCATTTTTTCAGTGCATCCCAGTTATCAAGACATCCTTCCAACAATACCGGCCTATTAGGCTCCTCAAAATTCTTGACGAATTCTTCAACCGAAATGCCCCTTTTTCGAACTATATTATCTCTTACCAGCCATTCTGGTTTCATTTCAAGGTTAGCACAGAGCCAACTTTGAAAAAGATAATCAGAATAGAAGTCTCTCACTTTGAAATTCTGAATGGCACTATTTGATGCATCAAATGAAGGGTAGTAAGCACCAATATAAGTAGACTTCCAAGATCCATTGTACCGGAAGCCACCACTAAGATTTTCCAATACAAGATTCCTCCAAAGGGGTTCATGACTGGTGAAAACATAAAAAGACTTACTAACAGTTGCTAAAACCCCCAAGTCGTTCCCACTTAACAACCCCAGAATTTCAAGAACAAGCTCATCTGTCAGAGCGTGCAGATTACCTAAACCTGTATCTCTGCAGTTGATAGAACCTGGGTTGAGATAAAGATTGCCCAAGGGTTGAACCCAATAAGTGTGTGATGGAGCATAGGTTTTGAGCCTGAAACCTTCAGTATCTTCTATCGCTTCGTCTCGGTCTAGCAATTCATTGTTATGGGAAATGCAATTTTGCTTATGGAAAGCGGATTGGCTTTTGAGTTTGCACCTGTTTCTGTTCTTCTTCTTGATCCTTCTTGTACTGGACATGAAGCTCTTGAAGCTACGCATTGTGGCAGTTGAGAGCGTTGCAGTCGTGCCAAAAACCTAAGAAAGTTGATGGTGATTACGAAAGCGCTTTTGCATCCTACTCGATCCGTTCCGACTTATAACCAAAACGAACACGCTTTTCAAAATGTTTTGTTGCAATGGCACTTGCTGTACATTCTTTCCTTATTTTTTTTTAAAAATAAAAAAATTAATCTCAGTATAAAATATAAAATTCATTTAAAAAAGCTATATTTTTTAAATCTTCGTCAATCTTTTTTTGGACATAATATGATTTAAATATTAGAAAGATGAGTATTGTTTTCTATAAACTTTTGCTTTTAAAAAATATAATTATTTAAAAAAGTTGGAAAACTTACTGAATTTGGCCTCCATTGGTTCGGTAAAGAGAAAAAGATTTTATTTCTTAATAAGTTAAATCTCTCCTCGGGTATTTTATAGGAATTTTAAACTTAAAAAAATAATATATTGATTGCGTTGAAATTTTAAACTTTGCGTATACTTCATCTCTCAAAGCCTCGGAGTCAAGTCTTTTAAGTTTTAATTAGTTTGAAAAAAAATGTAACAGGAATAAAAGAATAGTAAAATAATATTACCTCCAGTTCTAATTATAAGAGCTAGTTAACTGATTTGAAGAGATTAAGAAAAACATTTAAGTTAGTTATTTATAATAAATAAGTGTTGTCTTTCCTAAAATATTTTTACTAATTAAGTATTACTTCCGGTCCTAATTATAAAAGCCAGTTGACTAATTTGAGGAGATTAAAGAAGTAAGTTGATTTAATTATTTGTCCTAAATAGGTGTTGTCTTTTCTAAAATATCCTTACTAATCAAATGTATTGACTAAAACTATCATTGTTAGAAGGACTACTTTGGGAAAAAAATATAAATATGAGCGACAAAGTGGATTAGGATCTTATATTTAGGATCAAAATAAAAGTCAAACAAGGTCTTATATTAAGAACCGGAGGTAGTATATTGATCAGAACTATTATTGTTAGAATAACTATCTTGAAAAAATATATATAAATATAAGAGACAAAGTGGATTAGTGTCTTATATTTACGACCAAAATCAAAATCAAGCAAGATCTTATATTAAGGATCGGAGCTAGTAATACTCACTCATCATTACTTTTTAATTATCTGTTTAAATTGAATTTGAGTTCCATTTTTGACCTTTTATCTTGCATGCCCATTTGTAGAATCGTAGCCTGTCTTTAATACCTCTCCCGCGAGCTCCACACGTTCCCCAACCGTGTCCATAATAAGTGAAAACCAAAATTACGAGACATGGTTAAAGAAATTACTCATGATAAATTCATTCAAACACGCAAAGGTGATAATATTCTAGATATTGCTGGTAAATAAAAAAAGAAAAGAAAAGATAATATTCTAGATATTGTGTTAAAGTAAATAAAGCTTGTTTAATTTTAGTAACAGAGATAATATTATTAACGAAGGCTCAACAAGTGAATCACGGGCGCCTGAAGAGTTACGAAACTTGCACAGAAATATTATGTACGCCATGTACAGGATTGGAGAGAGGACTGCCGTGTACGGGTTATTCGAGCAAAGCATGCTCATTGCATTTTTACAGAACAACCAACAAATTACATTCAATTTCATGCAAAGAATATTAAAGAAAGAATAAATGAACAATGCATAAAACACCACACTTCCCACGAAAAAGAAAGCCAAAAAAGAAAAAAGAAATATCTCGTCGCAGTAGTGTGATTGAAATTGAGTTGGTGCTTCACATTTTGAGCTCTGCCCTGAAAGCTGATACAGGGATTCAGGAACTAAACTCCGAGTTGTGTGCTCGAAAGACATCGCCATTGCCTTACACGAGGCCCATTATCCAGAAGCGTTTGCAAGCCGACGCCGTTGGCTGATTGCCCGAACGTATGCCTGGAGTCACAAAACATTTTGGATAATTTGGTCAACAATCACTCACAAAGCATACCGTATAACAATTGCTTATCCTCTGGACCCACTAAATCAGACAAGAAAGACATGGACACAGTACAATTGCTATTTGGATAAAATGCCTAAGCTCGAGACAACAGTCCCAGAAAGCAATCCATAATTCTTGTATGCGACTTCAAAATTTCCAGCAGAGGGCTTTCAAACATCTTCAGTTTTATGACTTCTTTATCTTGCTTTTGTGATCCCAAGTTTTACCCCTAAATTTTATTCATCGCAAAATAATCCCTCCAATTTTACCCCTTCTTAACAGAGTATTACTGTCTACTTACTTGCATTGGCGTGCTTTCTTCCTCCAGGAAAAAGCAGCTGTGATTGTCTGAACAGAAAAAAGAAAGAAAAATAAGATAATATATTAAGCGTGAACATAGAAATCTTCACTTGTGAGTCGTAGGCATATAAGCAACATATTTGTTGAGCAAGCAAGTTTTTAGCAATGCAAACAATGAAACAGCATGCATTTCTAGATGATTCCGTGGTAGCGGGGAGTTTTTCCTTCCTTCCTTCCTTCCTTCCTTTCTTTTTTTTTTTTTTAAAGAAAAAATAGGGGATCATGGACGGCAAACAGTAATAGATGATTTCTTTCACAGAGAGAAGACAGCCAAGCATGAATGATATCTGCTGTTGAATTTAGACTAAAACTTTTCATCCAGTCACTTGATAAATTAGCTTCAAAGGCATCTCAAGAATTTTGGAAATCATGACTTGGTTTCTCAGAAACTTAAAGCAACAAATTTTCAACCAAATGATAAACAGTATCATGAATCACAACATGAGACAGCAGATATACCAGAAGCGCACGCATTGAATTCATGAAACCATTGTTTTATTTACCTTAATAATTGACGAAAATCTGCCAGCAGATGGCCTTTTCACAGCCATTTTTCTTTGGGGTGACATCTCTTTGCACAAATGTTGAGCTATTTCCCTCAATAACACAATCTGTGCTTTATCAGTACTCATTGAAACGATTGCCTGCTTCATCGATTCCCTATCAGCCTCAAGTGCCTGAAGCCTCATGTATAGCTTTTTAATGTCGGGGTCTTCATATCCAAAAACATTATCTACCCTAGGAGTGGTTGAATAATCTTCATAAACACCAGACACAGGTTTAGCCTCTTTAAAACCATTAGTTGAGGGCCCATTATGAATAGAGTCAATGGTATAAACTCTGTCACTGGTGTCATCCCCAGCTTCTGATGCATCATCTACCTTTTTCATGTTGGATGGATCCTCTGGCAGTGAGATATGATCTATCTTCCTAAAGGAAGTACTAAGTTTAGGAGAATCCACAAAAGATTCAGGTCTCATCTCTCTACCCATTCCCGCATACGTACCAGAGTCACCAGACAATTTCCTTGAATGTTTACTTGGGCGGGGAGACTGTCCGACTATCACCTTCTCTAGAATATTTTTTCCTGAAATATCCCCATCCACCTGGCTATAAGTGGGATTTCTTTCCATTTGAGATATCCTACTTTCCAAATTCTTCAATCGATCACGAGGGGTTTCACCAAATGCATATTTCTCAACATCTACATCGTCAGCATCCTTCGTACCATGCATTTCATTTACATTACACTTCAATGGAGGGTATTCATGGATAGAAGGTTCATATTCAGGGTCAAAATCTTCCATATACAGACTCCTACCATCTGCTTCAGACTCAGTTAGCCCATAGCTCATCATCCTATGCTTATAAGCCTGCACCTCACAAGTCAGAGACTCGATTGCTTGTTCTCTTTTATACAACAAATCCTCAAATGCTAGAACTTCCTCCCGATCATGCAGCATCTTCTCCTCCACAAAAGACTTGAACTGCCGGGCTTCCATTTGAATCTCTGCCTTCTCCCTCTGCAGCCTTAATATCATTGACATGGCCTCATTTGCGGCTGTTGACGAAGCATTTCTCTCCTCCTCCAACTCAGCATATAAATCTTGTATAGTTTTTTGTTGTCTGCTAACTATCTCGCGCAATGCAGCACATTCATTCTCAATTTGGACCCGTGCAACTGAAAAGTAATTCAAGGCCGGTAGAAACAATTGGTTGCCCCGTTCAAACTCATCATGCTTCCGTTTAACGGAACGAATCCAAGCCCCCGGAGATTCAGCTACCAAAGAACATCTACACCCACAGTCGCAGCATTTTACCGATTGGCTGGAAATTGGAACTGCGTCGGAATCCATTTCAAATTAACATCCAAACGCGAACAATTTGTAAATCAATAATAAGAGAACAAATTATCGCAATGCCCTTCCTCCATGCCAAACGCGCCTTTGTTCTATTGGTCCCCCTCAGATCAAACAATCAACCCCGAACCTACGCCAAAGAAAAGAAAGACGCCTGCTCGTTAACAAATTTACGGGGAATAATTTTCAACACCAGCTCTAAAAATCATTTACGATTTTGATTCAACTTTCACGACAAATGCCCAAATCCCAGATAAAACAATTTCCATGATAAAAGGATTTCCGAAGAAATTAGTTGTTCCAGAACAAATGTAGGAAAAAGATTAATTTCATTTGAAAGTAAGAAAAAGAGGTCGAAATTTCACCTGAAAAAAATAGCTTTGAGGAATCAAGAGGAGCCGGCGAAGGCGAAGAGAACACAACCGCAAACACCTGAACCTCAATGGATTATCACACTTGTCCCCGCGAATGCACGAGCGGGAACGGTGTTTGGAGGGAAGGAAAATTGAAGGGTCAGGGGAAGTAAAAAGAAGAGGGGGAGAGAAAATGATCCCCAAGAAAATCCTTTTTATCTATTTGTGACTGTAATTCTCATTTTTATAATTTTAGGTTTGTTAATTATTATTATTCGCCTCGGTTTAAGTTTCAAGATTTCAAAGACATGTTTTGTGCTCTTGGTCCCCTTCTCTTCCCGGCGCGCAGAGAGAGAGAGAGGGGGGGGGGGAGGGAGAAATGTACGGTCGACGAGTGAGGTTTGGTGCAGCCATCGTCTGACTCTGACCTCCTCCCCGGTTGCTTCGTTGGAGTTTACCACTATTTGTTTCTGTCACTTTTTTTCTTTCCCTTTTTTCTCGTTTTTTCCACTACCCCCTTTTTAATTAATTTTTTCATCCCACATTATTTTCTATTTTTCCTCTCCTATTTTTTCAAATCCTTTTGAATTAGTATTCAAATTACAAGTTCGTCCTCAACGCCGTGTTCTGCATTGAAATACACTAAAATAAATATATGCATTTTTTAAACAGTTAGCGCGCTTTTCATCATTCCAGTTTTATTGGATGTCCCGAGGGAACATTTGTGCTTTTTATCGGCATATTGTAATACTAAAAATAGACCATAATTAAATTCAACATTTTTATTGAGATTTGTATTTAAAATTATGAAAATTTTATTTGTAATATTATCTGATCAAACCAGAAATTACTTTTTTTAGCCAGCATCAAAGCAGAAATTATTGATGGATAGGTGTAAGATAAAATAGTCTGATAAATTTATCGTAGCCGTAAAAGAAGCATATCATACAAACATATTTTTTTAGTACATGTAAACCCCCGGAGCATATACACTAATTATTTTTTCACCATGTCAGGCAAAAAAAAAAAATCATTTGTTCATTATGGTCCAATAGTCTAATTTAAGTATTATATAAACAAACTCTTACAGGACTCTGGACACTATCTGACTAATGATGCCAATGTTTGAAAATTTGTTTGTTTTTCCGGTTTTTGGTCTCAGCGGGATCTCACCGGCCACCGCGACCCAAAAAAAAAAGATGTCCGATATTTTGGCGCGGACATCCTAATCCTTGTCAACTTATTTTGGGATTTTTATTTTGTGGAAGAATTTATTTTATTTTGGATTTTGCCTCTTGAAACGCATGTATGGTTATTGCTTTCCGATATTGTTTCTTGAAATACGTGGATCATTCTAACTGAGAGGGTAAAGTATTATAGTTTTATTTTTAGGATGCATGTGGCATTTTGATCTTATGTACTATATACTTAATATAATAGTTTGTTTGTCTTTTAATATAATTCTAAATATAAAATTCCTAATCAACTTTGTTTCTCATATTATCTATTTTTTTAGAACAGTTATTATAGTAGTTATGTATGTTAAAGATTATACTCCTTCGGTTCTTAATATAAAACCCATTTAACTCATTTGATTAAATTAAAGAAGTTAGGTAAGTTAGTTAATTATAAAAAATGTGACACGTTTTTTCTAAAATACTATAATCATCTTTCTTAATATCATTTCTCCCTCTTCTACTTGATTATGGTTAAGAGAGTATTCATAGGGGTAATTAAGAGAAAATTGATAAATATAAAAAATAAATCTTATATTTCGGACCAAAACCAACTTAACAATTGGGTCCTATATTAAGAACCGAAACAGTATCAAATAACAAGTCTAACTAATATATATGATTAGCAAAGGTATTATAGACGCATATTTATTACAAATAATTAATTTAACAAATTTTCTTAATCTATTCAGATTAGTTAATCAGCTTTTATATTTATTACATCTCAATATTATTTTTTAAGTTAAGGTGCTAGATACATTATAAATAAAATTAGGATATTATATATGCCTAGAAAATAAAATCAGTATATTAGCTGCACTTTTACCCTGATTGAAAATTGAAATATTCGTAAAATGTTGGTCTTTGAGACATATGTTTGGCTAGAAAACGTTATTCATTACAATATAATTCGACTGTTTGAGGCAATTTCCATTTCTGATTTGATTAATTTAAGAAATAATCATGTCTTTTTCACCAATTAAGTTTCCTTTTTTCAGATGCTCGCTGAGATTATATTAAACCTTGGTTCTATAATGAATGCGCACAGTGAAAAAACTTTATTTCCATTGAACTTTTGGATTCAGACTGTTTTATCGAAAAAATTAAGTAAACATTTTTCAAAAGTTGAAACTCGTTCATATAAAATCAGTCAATACGTATCGTGAGAGATAAATATTACTACCTCCAGTCCTAATTATAAGAGCTACTTGACTAATTTGAAGAGATTAAGAAAAGAAGTTAATTTAGTTATTTGTAATAAATATGTGTTGTCTTTCCTAAAATATCCTTGCTAATCAAGTGTATTAGTTAGAACTACAATTGTTAGAAGGACTATTTTAAAAAAAAGTGTATAAATATGAAAGACATAGTGAATTGAGGTCTTATATTTAAAACAAAAATAAAAATCAAATAAGGTCTTATATTAAGAATCGGAGGTAGTATAAACAAATGCTAATACTAATATAAGTTTTTTTTTGCCAGCTAATACTAGTATAAGTTAAATTTTATAAAATATTGTTATATTTTTTATTTTCTTTTATATTTTTTATTTCTCTAGTACTACCTCCGGTCTTTAATATAAAACTCTGTTTGACTTTTATTTTGATCTAAATATAAGACCCCAATCCACTTTGTCTCTGATATTTATGCATTTTTTCCAAAGTAACCCTTCTAATAATGATAGTTCTAGTCAATACACTTGATTAATAGAGATATTTTAGGAAAGACAACACTTATTTAAGACAAACAACTAACTCAACTTAATTTTTTAATCTCCTCAAATTAATCAACTAGCTTTTATAATTAGGATCAGAAGTAGTATATCATATTGGTTATGGCTAATTTATTAAGTCACTAGTCACTACGTTGGGGGAAAAAAGTCACTACTCACTACAATGGATATGAATACTTGAACTGATAAAATACCTAAAAAAATCTCAATTCAAATGTAAATGAATAACAAATTTCTGAAAATTGGAATGTTATTCGCATGATTGCTCATCTATACTAGTTCTGGTTCCAGGGGCATTCTCGTCTACTGCATCTCAACGTATACTTCCATTTCAAAATCTCGATGCGCCCTAACGTTTTAGTAATAGTATAGCTGTCAACTTCTCCCGCAAGAAAAAACCCTATCTCACTCACGAAATATTTCATCTGTGATCCGGGACAACGTCTCTCTCAATATCCTGAAGCCCTGATTTGATCCTTCCAGCCTACGGAAATCATCAAGCTCTCAGCCATTTTACTTTTTCACTCTTTTATTTTCTTGTTTCCTTTTATATAATTCCACACTAACATCTCTCTCAACTTCGCCTTTCTTGGTGTCTTCTTCCCTGAATATGGATGCAGGATCATGGCCACAGACTTCTTCCGGCAAGGCCAAGGCTCGATCCCCTCTCCAGGATCAATTAACCCACAGAAAAAACTCGAGAGAAAATGTAAGGTCTAACATTTTTTTGTTTCCCACCCCCACATTCTTTTCCAGTTCGTTACACCATATTCATTCACTATTTCTAAATCTTCCCGCCCCTTCTTGTGTTGACGCAAAAGAGCAAAAAGCTATCGCAATTATTCAAGGCGCACCTGGCAATCCGTTAGAGGGAAATAATTTATTAGTTGTAAATCAATGGCTTTATCTTTATATGCGGCAGGCTTTGGATTAGATGATTGTGGGATCTTTATTTGGATACCGGCCAATGTGGATATTTAGATTCAATGTATTTCTCGAGTTTATTGCCCTGGGTCCGAATACGATGCAAAATTGACGGAATTTTCGTTATGGTCTTTTAATTTCATTGTATTACATGAGTATGCCGACTCTTGTTCCTGTAGCTTTCTCCTCTTTGTTTAATTTGCCGACTTCCTTGTCAACTAAGCAGACGTTTAGGCATACTCAGACTTGATCTGATTTTTTCTTTTCTGTGATTAGTTGGACAGGTTCATTCCTAATAGGTCAGCCATGGATTTCGATTTCGCTCATTACATGCTCACTGAAGGAAGGAAGGGCAAAGAGAACCCAGTTGTAAGCTCACCATCACGAGAAGCCTATCAGAAGCAATTGGCTGAGGCACTCAACATGAACAGGACTCGAATCTTGGCCTTCAAGAACAAGCCGCCAACACCTGTTGAACTCATCCCCGACCACATTCTTAACCCACCTCTTCACTCGAAATCTACTAAACCCAAACGACATATTCCTCAGGTATTTAAATTGCCTCAAGTTATCTATGCTCGAACTTTCACAAATGTGTTGCGGTTTCGTCTGACTAGGACTACGAATTTTATGTGTTGTTGCTTTCTAAGCTGTTTGTGAATGTGTTTTCAGAGTTCTGAGAGGACACTGGATGCTCCTGACATCGTAGACGACTTCTATTTGAATCTACTAGACTGGGGGAGTAGCAATATCCTTTCCATTGCCCTTGGAAATACGGTATACCTTTGGAATGCTTCAGATAGCTCAACCTCAGAACTGGTCACAGTTGACGAGGAAGATGGTCCTGTCACAAGTGTTAGCTGGGCCCCTGATGGACGCCATATAGCCATTGGTTTGAACAGTTCCCATGTCCAACTATGGGATTCTACTTCTAATAGGCTGGTAAATTATTTGATCATTTTTTGTAGTCTTTGAAGGATAAATAGTTAATTGCCTTTATTATGATTCTGATCTAATCCTCTGTTGTCTAAAATTATACAAAATGCAGCTAAGAACACTGAAGGGGGGACACCGAGGCCGAGTTGGTTCACTGGCTTGGAACAATCATATTCTCACAACAGGAGGAATGGACGGCAGAATTATCAACAATGATGTCAGAATAAGATCTCACATTGTTGAAACTTACAGAGGACACCAACAAGAGGTGTGTGGACTGAAGTGGTCAAGCTCTGGACAGCAATTAGCCAGTGGAGGCAACGATAATCTTGTTCACATTTGGGACAGTTCTATGACATCTTCGAGTTCACCTACACATTGGCTTCACAGGCTCGAGGATCATAGAGCCGCCGTTAAGGCCCTGGCTTGGTGTCCATTTCAGGGAAATCTACTTGCAACTGGTGGAGGTGGGGGTGACCAGTGCATCAAGTTCTGGAACACTCATACAGGGGCGTGCATAAACTCTGTAAACACAGGTTCGCAGGTTTGTGCTTTATTATGGAACAAGAATGAGCGTGAGTTGCTTAGCTCGCACGGTTTCACCCAGAACCAGCTCATCCTTTGGAAGTATCCTTCTATGGTGAAGATGGCAGAGCTCACTGGTCATACCTCCAGAGTACTCTACATGACTCAAAGTCCTGATGGTTGTACAGTGGCTTCTGCAGCTGGGGATGAGACACTGAGATTTTGGAATGTGTTTGGAACCCCGGAATTGTCTAAACCTAAACCAAGGGCTAATCCTGAGCCCTTTGCTCATATAAACCGAATCCGCTGAAAATCACAAGTGAAATTACTTTGAGCTTGTCCGTCCCGGGTATCTGTATATTTTGACAGCAATTTTTCCGTGTCTTTGAACTAGCGGCGGATAGGGAGGAGGTGACTGGGAAGGGGGAACCCAAGTTTTTTTTTTTTTTAGTACTATATAGGTGTTATGCTGTCCAAAATTTTTGCAAACTTCTATCATATATATACATTCAATCTCAACTCCACTCAATTAAAGTTTGGCTCCTATAGTGCAGGCAGGCAACTACAAACTCTATAGTTTGAACTGCATATTTAAACAGATATGTTAGTGTTTATATATAATTGTCTGTATAGCAATAGTCAGGGTAAATTTGAATGATAAATGGCATACTATGGAATTTTCTCCTTCTTTTGTTGTTCTTTCCCTGTCTTAAGTAGTCCATTATATCCACCACCTCGTGTCATGTTGTTGACAAATATTGACCAGCTAGACGCCGTCTGAGACTGACAATGATAACCTCGTAATCATTCTCAACAAGAGATGTCTGAGAACCCCTCCTTACGTGGGTCTTGGAGGCTCCTAAACTAATTTCGGATGGATCCTCAGTAACTCATAAGTCATAACCCCCTGCCTGTAATAGCCCAGCTGATGCCTCGACATTAAGCTGGGCATTTGACTTCTCGGATGTTGCCCCTCCCTCTGTCGGCAACCTTGTACCCCTGTACTTGGTGATGTTTCTTGAGGCAAGCCCCCCTCGTTTAATGTGGAGAGCGTGGGCCTATCCCTTCTTCCTTGCAACTAAATTTTGGGTTCTCTGGAAACCTCTCGCAGTAGAGGCAATGGATTGAGGCAATGAATATAATATCCTATCAATAGAGGAGCCTGTGCTTTCTAATGTGGGTTAATCAGCAAGTGATTAGAAGTAAAATTAAGATATACAGTGAATTCTCATAGATATATATATAAAAAAAAAAGTGGGTGGTTTGTAAGTTATCCTGAGTTAGAAATAAAAGAATTGTCTCTTAAAAATGTCACTAGTTAACCACAAGGTCTAGTACAGTTAGCATTTAACTAGGTTTCTTAAATATCTAGTTAGGGATTCGATCCCTGGTAGTGTCTATGGAGAGAGTCTCATGACCAGCACTCTAGCCTCTTTAGGAAGTCTATGGTGTGAAAAGATTAGTCACTGCTACTGGTGGCAAATACCTTAAGCTCAAAAAAAAAAAAAACAAAACAAAAAGAAGAGGTTCCCAGTAATTCTTTCAAATTCTTGTCTATTTTTGAATCCCTTGTCAAACAAAATTTCCAACAATTGCTACTTCAAATAAAATTAGGCAAGCGGGCAATTAAATGTGTTTTGCTGACTGTAGTGGATTTTTTTTCTTTTTATATATAAGTTTGGTTATGGTTTGAGCACTCTATTAGATGTATATATATTGTCGTTGTCACGCACATCTAGTTTGGTTTTAAGACTTTAATGACCCTGTTATTCATATGGAGACGAGTAACCCAAAAAAATATATTCACCCAATGTAAGCGGAACCAACCAAACACAAGTACATGGTTATTGCTTCTCCTGCACATGGCTGAGATTTTGATTTCTTACTCCCCTCAAGGTCTGCTCAACATAAAGGGTTAGAGATGTCGAAAAGAATTTTGACATATTGCTATTATTTTTACTTAGTATTAATTGGAATCTAATGAACACGGCCCTTTTTAAAAGTCAAGTTCCGTGTGGAAAAAGTATTATAATTCTTCTCAAAAACCAAGAATGAAGTGGTACTATCACCTCCAATTTTATTTATAAGATCTTATTTATGTTCCTTCAAAGTAAGAGAGTTTCTTTCTGCTTTGGGTTTGTTAAAGCCTCTTACCAACAGATTTACAGTCTTTATAAACTTGAATCAATCCTCCGGCTCATATCTCCTCCCCAGGAAGTAATCAGGGGCTAAACATGAACACAGACAAAAAGTAATTTTTTTCTAACTTCCTGTCTTATCACTGGCTCTAGAAAAAGAGCTTGGAAACGTTTTAAGCCTTCCCCAAGTTTGTCCTGAGAATATTTTTACCAGGGTCCATTGTAAAGATAGGTTGCAATGAGATAAGCCCATTCCCATGAAAGTTTGTACTTCAATTGGTACACACTACACAGACATGATCCTGGATTTTTTTTTTCTTTTTTCTTTTTTTGTGGTCATGGATCAGCTAGGAAATTTCAAGCTGCATATTATCCTGAAATGGACCCCAAAGGTCCTGGGACTTGTACTGGCCTATCGTCTGCGTCTTGGAGCTTAACCCAATTATTGTAACTTTTACTATCATCCCGTACAAAGTAGCAAGAGGATGCCCCCTACCTCTAGTCTGTGGCAAGCTAGCTAGCTAGCTCACATCACACCAGGCACCAGCACAGTCCTTTGTTGCGTCAGTGAGGGATCTCCGTCATGATTGCTCTCTGAGAACACACATGCTTCTTCTGAACTGGCTCCCTTGCATGTGGGAACCCATCATGGTTTCAGAAGTGTCATAAACTCGCATGTACTATCTCTTCCTCACTGTCGGAGATAATGATACACAACATTGACAATTCCAGAAACTAGGTTTCGAATAAATTAAGGAAAAGGAAAAAAGGACTCTTTATTATGTTGAGTTTTTATCGATCTGTGTTTTTCGTCTCAAAATACGGTTTTAAACGATGCAATTAACTGGCATAAGAGTTATAAATTTTATTTCGATATGTTAAAATCAGATCCTCCCAGTGCTCCTTAATCTGATCTATAATGCACTCGTAAGCAATACTTTACCCAAAATAAAAGGAAAAATAAAGGAAGAGCTCCGTATTATCTGTCAAGTTAAAGATAATAAGCTTCAATTTTTGACTACCGACTCACTAAGTTTGATGTGCTTGAATGATAAAATGACTTTTAAATGATGTTAGGCTTATGTCAATAAGAAAGTCTGCCAGCTCCACTTTTAGAGAGATCTTTTACTTTTATGCTGCCCCAGCCAAGAAGACTTTGAATTGAGAAATCAGATGTCCTACGGATCAAAATTGAGCTCAAGGTATACGTATAAACTTGATCTGAGATAGATTTCCTACAGCAAGTTTTTTTATGGCCCGTGTTTCAAGAATAGTGTGTTTTGAGATAGATTGTTTCTGCAGGTTTGAAATGGCTGAAAACTTGAAAGACAGTGAAAACACGATGATCATACCAGAAGCCCACACATGTTTGAAGAACTTTTGTTAGTTTGTAGGCAATTAGAACCCTAGGAACTATATAGTGGACGCTAGGGTTTGTCCACCAGATTGTTAAGGTGTCCAAATCAATCTAAAGCTATTCCAAATAAAGAAATGAGGGTAAGAGAAGTCTGTTCTCCTTAGGGCAAAAAGGGATAGTCGTCACCAGGATTTCTTTGTTGATTAGAAGTCTTGGAATTAGTCAAGAACGTGTTTGAAGCATATGCATTGAACCTGTGTATGTGTCGCAGTATTGGTCTTTGAAAGAGTGATACAGAACTTATTGGACCCAGAAAAAGATGGATGGCTCCCCGCTAAATAGCTTCTTACGTTATCTTCTGGAGAAGATAAGAACCAAACTTTATATAAAATTAATATATTGCCGTCTAATTATAGTACAGGAAGATAATTACATATATTATATTATATGAATAAATATTAGTCACCTAAGCTGATTCGAGTCATGCCACATGGGGATCCTGGTTTGAGACCCACAAAATCCTCACGAAAAGATATTGATGTTGAGATTAACGTACAATAATTTTGCTGAAAAATAATAATAGTCAATTCGTCAAATCATGAACTAATAAAGTCTGCATTTGTATAGTCGTTTTGGTGAGGATATCTTTTCATGTCTCAATCTCTTATGACACATTAGGGTCATTGTGTGAATTTCATATCTAATGCGCCATTCTCTCTCCTACAAAAAAAATTCTTCGTGATGGAAAAATTTGGACTCAATTATTAGGCTAATCTGACTTTTTAAAAAATATATTGCCCTTAGTTCTTAATATAAGAATTAGTTGACTAATTTGAGTAGATTAAAAAATTTATCAAGTTAATTATTTATAATAAATAAGTGTTGTTTTTTCTGGAATATCTTTACTAGTCATATATATTACTTAGAACTATTATTTGATGAAATCTTTAACATATACAACTATTATGAGGACTATTTTAGAAGAAATGGATAAATATAAAAACGTGAATTATGGTCTTATATTTATGACCAAATTAAAAATTAAATTAGTTTTTATATTAAAAACTAGAGGTTGTACTATGTTATCATCTTATGTGCAAAAGACTTCCTTAGCTATATATGATTGGCCACTATTCTCATATATATGATGGAGGATTTGACTTAGCTGCTTTGCTAATTAAATGGATCTTAGTTTTATCAAATAGATGGCAAGTTCTTCCTGTGCACATATAGAATATATACGTATACATATCAGAGAAATCTCGTCTCGCACGCATGTGAAACGCATATATAGCTGATATTTTTGCACTGGAGTTTCTTTGAAATAATGATTAATAACCAAAGCAAATGGTGAGGCAGATATATATCATGGTCTATGCAATCCACTAAAAAGACAAAGACTAAACATATTGTCAGTGCCCGGTGGGCTATACTACTAATTAAAAAATTCAGATCATAAAGCAAGTCACTCATTATATTCAATTTCAACCTGTGCTGGAAAACTTCAGGAAAAAGGGAGAAAAGAAAGAAGGAATTAGGGAACTAATTAAAAGCCATGATTGAACTGAAGTTAATGGCGTTATTCGTCATCTTCATGTATGCACTCAATGTGCTTCAAGTGTATCCTGTGATCAACCAGAAAAGCTGAATGGCCCAGAAGGTTTCCCGCAATAGTCAGGCCATTATGATGCGCCAGATCACTCTTCAATCATCACCCACTTGTTTTAATCTTGTTGGTTTAGCGTCTAAGCACGATCATTAGCTGACTTTTAAGCTTTATCATAAAAGTTTAAGAAATTAATTAAAAACAAATTTAAAAACGTTATCCTCAGTTAGATAAGTAAAGGAGGGTAGGTCTATTTCTATTAATTAATCAAACACCAGCGAGATTATCTTTTCTGTCGGCCTCTTCATAGAATGAAGAAATTATTAAATCTATCCCCTATAACTGGTAAATTTGCTTCGTCTCTACTTAACTTTATGGTTATGCCTTTTCTCATTTGCCTCAGAATTTGATCAAACGAACCTCTGGTGGATAAGCATATTTCTCAGAAAGAGTATATGGGTGTAGCGTGAATTTTCGAGTGCTAGATGATGAATGCTCATGTTCTGTGATTCTATCAGTTCCAACTAATCAGATGATACTGATAGTTCATGTACTAATTAAGGCTTGAAGGTTCTCTTAAATGGAAACATGACTCTGTTTGAAGTTGACTTTTAATCATTATTGGATCACCCATTATTTATCAAACAACTTGATATGTGATTACAATTGTCTCAATATTTGTAGTGGATTTGAAGATAATTCGCATCGCGCTGAATAATTCATAGCTTTGAAATGTGACTATAACATCACATTGATGCATTAGTAAGTGAATACTACTAAAAGCTCGCAGCTATTCGCTCCTTGAAAAGAGTTCCAAGTAACGATATATCACTATATATAGATAGCATCAAAGTGTTATTAACCCTAACATATATGTATTAGCATTAGGTTAATTTGAGTCTGTATGTACGTAGAATACATCCGTAGTCTGTGTACACACAGAATACATCAGGAATTAACTAGTAAAAATTTTAGCCATGCATGCTAATTAATTAACAATAGCTAGGTCGAGTGATAAGAGGTTCAAATTATTGTAACTGAAACTTATATAACTCATATTGTGAGAGCTTATTTTTCAGCCGAGAGGCTTATCCTTACTTAAAATCTTGGATTAATTAACAGATAGTGCCAAAATTGGATAGTTTATGTGGAATCCATATACTAATTACACCAACACTACTCAAGTCGTTGATATACACAAAAAAGGATGCATATGAGAAGAAAAACAATTTAGATATAAAACTTTTGGTCCAATTTGATACGGAGTATTAAAAATAAGGGGTAAGGATTGAGATTGAGATTAAGATTGAGAAAATCTATTAAAAAAGTGTTTAACATGAGAGATTGATTGTTACATGGGATTGGGCAAACCCATGTATGTGGAATTGGACACTGGGAGAGGTGGTATTTCCCAATCTCACCTTTATGGGTTTTTCTAATCCCATGTAATAATCAATTGCTCATGCTAAATATTTTTTTTAACAATTTTTCTCAATTGCAATCCTAATTCCTACTCTTTATTTTCAATGCTTCATACTAAATGGACCTTTAAGCGTGGCCGTACATATGTGGGGAGACAAGACTGTGATTTCACACACGTCTGGTGGCTTTGGATATTCCACTTGTTAATTAAAGATGACATAAGCAACAACAAATGAAAACTGAGAGAAAAGAGTAAAGATATATATATATATATATATATATATATAGATGCATAGCTTTCAACATATATCATATATGCGCACTTGAAGCCAACACATATCTCTACAGTTAAGCCCACAATAAATTTACCAATAACTAAAGGCATGCAATTTCCCTCATTAATTTCCTACCACAAACTATGGACCAAGCAGATGAAAATTAATCAGATTATTCTAACCAGAATTTTCAAGCAAGAATCGTTTCAGGATTTGCATGACCTCTCCTGCAACTTGTGAGTATGGATCTTGCGTGAAAAACCCATGTTCTCTTCCTTCAAACTCAATGTAATCGATCTTTTTCCCTAGCTCCTTCAATCTTCTTGCATAGTCCTGTGCTCTATCTTTCAGCAATTCATTGCTTCCAACTATCACCATTATAGGATCAAGCATCACTTGTTCGAGGTTAGGACTTGCAGGTCCGAATGGGTTTGCCATTGGGTAGTCTCTATTCTCTCCGACTGGAACTGACAGTCTCCAAAATCTGCACACAAATATTAATGATCTCAGTGCTCTTTTCGTAATGAACTTGATTTGATTAAAAAATTATTGATATATTTAATGGAATTCCTTTGTTGTAAAGCATTATTAGTAGTGTTTGGATAAGGCGGCACAGTTCTGCAAAATCATTTGAAACATAGAAATTAAGAGAGATCGCAATTTGCTATTATTGGATTCGGTGTATCGTCTGAAAAAAGATTGATTACTTCACTAATAGTTAATAAAAATGAAGTTTCTGATCATGGTGATTTTCCTTTTTCGGCAGATCACATACATATATAGACATTCAATCTTCTATTTAATGGCGGATTCAATTTTCGTTTATGTATTACATGTACTGTACCCACTACTTTGTTTCTTTGAGTGAACACTGAAGGCTGATGTTAGAATCTTCCGTCCAGATTCCCCACCCCTTAAGTTTAACTTGCACTGTCTTTATCTTTTTATTTTCTAATAATACCATTCGGTAATATGTAAGAACGAGGATCCGAAGAATGCTTAGTTATGTTCCTTTGAGTGAAACTAATAGTGATTAGCATCAATCAGTACACACACACATAAAGTTCAGCTTTTATTTATGTTCCCATTCAAAAGGGCAAAAATTACGACGAGGTAATGGTTTTGAAAGCGATGAAAAGCCAAAAATTGAAAACAATAGTAAAAATACAAATTTGTGACAACTACGTTTCTCTGGCCTCCACAATTTGATGAACGTGCTCAAGTGATGTGGCATGTGAGGGTGACAGGTAAAGATGACTCCAAGAGGAAGTAGCCAAATTCAAATGTTATCGCTTTTATTCTGTAGCTAGAATCCGCATACTTGAATTGTAATCGTAACACTTTCGGACTATTGACTTTGTCTTTATCTCCATATATACGTTTTCTCTTTTCTCAGATTTCACGAATGTTTTGCTTTTAATATGTAAATGTAAATGAGCTTTTTAAAAAAAAGAATGAATAGGATTATAGTCACCAGTTCCCATCAAGTTTTTACTCGAGGTGAGTAATATTGACATTTTATGAATTATTCATTACCTGTCGAGTAAGTCCAAGGTCAACATTTTTTCCCGGGCACTCTCCTCGGACTTGGTTCTGACTTCCCCACCAAAAAAGGGCGCCAACAGCACGTAACCTCGTACCCTAACTGGATCCATTTCACGGGATCCGGATCCCAGCCGAACCCCCAAATGGTGTGCGATGTTCCCGCCAGATGAGTCACCCATTATAAACACTCGGTTAAAGTCAACGTCGCCATTCAACCATGCATCTCCAGCGCCATCCACCACGTCCTTACTCAAACCCTGCCTCTGTACCCACCTCACGGCCTCCACCGCATCGTCCACTGCTGCCGGGAGCCGGTGTTCCGGTGCGAGGCGGTAGTCAGGCGCCACAACGACGGCCTGGAGCGCCGAAGCCATGCGAACGCAACAATTGTGCAGGTGGGGCCAGGCGCGCGAGCCGAAACAGAATCCTCCGCCGTGGATGAAAATTATGAGAGGAAGCTTCCGGGAGGAGGATCTGGGTTTGAAGAGACGAAGATAGAGATTGAATCTTTTGTGGAAGAGACAATCTTTGAAGAGTACAGAGTTGTCTTCTACGAGTGAAACATTGAAATCCATGTCATCGGATCGGAAAATGGAACCGTCACTGTAAAGTTGGAGGAAACCTAGGCAGTCCTCTACTGCGTGAGGAAGAGAACCCATGGTTCTTGTGTTTAAAGTTATATGGTAAATAGGTTTGCTTTGGCTGTTGCAACTGGGCGTGTAGGAACAAGGCATTTCTGGGAAAGGATATATATACACCAAGCACATGGTAGTATGGACAGATAACGGACAGTGATGAGGACAATTCAGTAATTTTAGTTTTAAATTATTGAATATTGAATGTGCTGGGGGGATCATGCATGCTTATCCTTAATTTTTATCATCTTTGAAATAAATAAAAAAACACTTTTTCCCATGCAATAGATAGAATGGAATTTTTCAAGAAATGATATTTATAATATGTGAATAGTATGGAATTTTTCAAGAAATGATATTTATAATATGTGAATAGTACATTGAAATTGAATTGACTTATATGTTAAATATTGATATTGATATTGACATTGAATATTGAACGCCGTATGTAACACTGTGGCTAGCTACAGTTGATGGCGCGGCTTTGATATTAGTTTGATCTGAGGCCTGAGTTAAAAATTTTAGAAATTTCGGGATATATTAACATATTGTTGTCTTTTTAAATGCTTACATACAAAAGGATTGCTTTTAATGTGTCGACATAACAGATACGATATAGAAGATGGGAAATAATTCTCGTGATTATTTTATTTCAATCAACACTTTATAATGAGAACCTTGTATACCTTTTTGTTGCTTTAAGATATGAAGATCTTTAAAAAAGTTTTTCATATCCAGCACCTACAAATTTTATTCTTAGGAATCTTATAGGGTTGAATATACCATTTGCCTTTTAAAAATTTCACATCACAGATGAGACATTCTAAACAAATTTAGATATAAAGTATGTTCGTATAGCAGATTAAATACATCTTAATTACCATGGTAAAGCTTTGTGCGTGCAACATAGTGGAAAGAGCATTTTTCCTTTATTGATGGCGACTTTAGAACAAAACTGGACTTACCCTTCACTGGAAAGAGTCTCCATGCTTGTCCAGAAAGGCGTTATCATTGTGGCTTCTGCTAGGTGAGGATGCTACTGAATTAATGGGAAATTGAAACTAGATCAGACTTGACTCTAAAAAAATGGTAGTGATTAAGCTTTTGACCTGTGGGAGCTTGGACCCATATGTAGGTCTGTTTTAAATGGTGGTGCTACTACTGATAGTGGTGGTGGAGGTGCCCACAGCAGCCATGAAAATGGGATTATCTCAATTATTTACAATATATTTTCATTTTTTAATGTTTTTTTCAAAAGGTAGTCACTCATATTTTAAGCCAATTACATGCACTCAAATGATTTATGCACACACTACACATGTATTATCTCTTTCAGCTGATTTGGTAAACACAAATTACTACTTGTTCTAGCCTCACAAATAAGCAAAGTCGTGTCAAGTTCATGGTAGGCTTACTGTAGGTTAATTGAGAATACATTTGTATCAGACTACCTCTGATGATTAATAAAAGAACTAATTAACTAATTTGGAGATATTAATTAATAAAACTATTAAATTACTTAATTATAACATATGTTATATGATTTCTCTGAAATTCTTATATGTATTACTAGATTTTTTCTTCATCTCCCCAAATTGATTAACTGTGTCTCATTAAGTATAGAGATAGTACATCCCAATGGAATATTTATCTTTTAGTATCTTCATGTATGTACATAAAGTTTTTCCTAAAGTACTGTTTGGTATGAGAGAAATAGAGGGAAAGAGAGGGGGAAAAATTTTAATGAGCTATATTTAAAAAATTAGAAAAGTGGGGTTTTGAAATTTTAATAAAGAAAAAACGTGATACAAAAGAGTAATAAAAATTAATTAAAAACTTTTAATCTCACTTTTTTAATTTTTTAAATCAAGCTTATTAAAATTTTCTTTTTCATTTTCTCCTCTTGTTTTTTTTTTAATATCAAATGGACCCTAAGAATTTTCCGCTAGTCTTAATTATATGCTCACTTTTTTCGTTGCCGGAATATTAAAAACAAAAGTGACTTTATTAACTTTGAAAATTCTAAAGCCATTAACACTGCTAACAATGCCACAACGAAAAGTCTTTTGCGTACCAATAAGCATATGATAAGTGGATTTATTCCTCCAGCTAAAGCAACGATCCCAATTACCCATTATAATTATAAGAGACAACGACAGTAATCTGTCGACAGTGTCTTTTTCCCGCCTTTTTCCTTCACGCAGTTAGCCTACAAAGAATCCGAAAACTCGTTTTTCCTTTTATTTTGTTTTTTTTTTTGGAGGTTAGTTAAACCTCTTTTCATTGGCTTCTATGATTGAGACTGATGTTGTACCTCTTGTACAGTCTCAATATAATTAAGGCAGAGCCATTTTTTGTAAGATATAATATGTTAAGAGAATTAAGTGTAATTTTTAACAGAGTATTGAATATAATTTAATTGATCATCAAGAGTCAGTGTAATTTATTGATAAACTTTTAATTGAATGGTTATCAATGATGTGACTGAGAAAGGATTATCTTCGCAATTAAAAAACAAGCATGCAAACTTTTTCCTTCAGATCAGTATCATCAAAAAATGTATGAACTGCCAAAAATAATACTCTTCCGTTCCTTAATATAGGACTCAATTGTTGAGTTGGTTTTGGTCCTAAATATAAGACCCATTTCTCATATTTATCAATTTTCTCTAAATTACCCCTATGAATACTTCCTCAATCATAATCAAGTAGAAGAGGAAGAGGGGGTATTAAGAAAGATGATTATGGTATTTTAAAAAAAACGTGTCATATTTCTTATAATTAACTAACTTACCTAACTTCCTTAATATAATCAAATTAGTTAAATGAGTCTTATATTAAGGACAGGAGAAGTAAACAATAGCCATGATAGCTTTGTTTTTTGAGAGATGTCGCATGTACAATAAGTCTCGGGTTCAACAATAAAACATACTTAAGTTTAACGCTTTTAAAATTCTTAATAAATCTATTCTTCAGCGTAATCCTTCCTTAATCCTAACAATTTTTTTAAAATGTAATCATCATTTTTTGGCCACGAAATAAAATATACATCAAGCATCAAAGAGTGAGTGGAGAACCTGCGTGGCCCAATTATCCGAATTAGATGCCAATACGTTTCTTCGCTCGCTCGATCGATCTCCAGACTCAACTGCGGGAATATTCCACTAGAGATAGGCGCACGATTTTGCTAACAGTAGCCCAAGCGGACAGCCAAATCCAAACTAACAATATAGAGCTCGTCGCTCCTTTTGAGCATATCTAATGGGGATCTCCACATGAAACTGGATATGTTCTTCAAGAATCACATTAAGAATCCAACTCGCCTGATTCTATTCATTTTTGTCTTCCTTCTATTCCCATGGTCGCCTTTTTAGACCGGAACAAGTTTGCCTTTTGGACACAAAACGATGTAGACAAAAGAGAATCCCCGCTGGAATCATGCCCAGATCAGATCATGAATTGCCCATTCCAAATTACAATGATACTAGTCAAAACAACAGGACATTTTGAGTCGCACTAGGAATAGGAGCAGTATGCAGCTTACTAGTATATAAATATAACTGCGTGCACCATCATTAACAGTTTTGTCCTTTTCTTTCTTCTTCACAAGGGTTTGCCGGTGATAGAGGATGAACACTGAAAGGGACTCCTAAGCTATTATAGTGGTCCGGTGAACATAGCTGAAATTGGGTGAAGGATTGGAGTAGCCACTGGCCATATCTAAAGAAAGGTTCATAATGGACAAAGGAGATGAATCTCTCTCGTTGAATACATCTAGCCACGCATGCTCTGTGATGGACATGGGCTCGTGTCACTGTCATGCAATAATCATGAAAAAGGTTAGCGGATTGCTAGACCACATAGTTCACGTTTCCGTAATTACTAGTCTGATTTGTATCTGGCGCGGCAGCTATTATTCAGAATAATGGTCGCGAAATCAAGTTACTTTATTTTCACCCAATCCATGCAGGGCACTGAATTTGAAGTAAATCTCATAGTCCCGAACAGAAATACTCAACAAGGTTTTGCTTCAGTGTTTTACACACTGGCCAAAAGAAGCAGCATATTTCCCAGGTTCTCAGCATTTTCAGAGGCAAGGGAGACACTCTAAGAAGAGGCAATGAGAAGACGACGATAGTGGGGAATGAATCCTACTGAAACTAGGAATCAGCAGTTAAAAAACTAACTGAATTCTCATTCTTCCTTGGGTACTCATTATCACAGGAAGTTAACAAAAAAATCCTACTAGACCAAGTTAAGACTTACGAAAAATTTTTAACCTGCACCTTAATCTAATCATTGAGGCATGTTGAAACCCCGAGAAGCTACATTAACTCTTCATGCTAAGGACGTAAGACCTAACTATAACCCCTGCCCCATTGAAGGACTGCAGAAGTTCAGTCATAGCAGCCGCAGTATAGAAACTTACAATCAAATTGCATAGGTCGACTGTAACTTCCAGTGCTCCTTAGATTGCTTCAACATCAGAACTCTCTCATCAGCTAGCCTCTCCTTCCAATATTCTCTGCACCTGGAAAATTTTTGGAGCTAGATGTTGGTAATATTTGCACAAAACACAAAGCGTGCTGGCAACCATTCGCAAGCAGTTATTACCTTGTTTTTAAGAGAAGATCTAGCTCTAACATGTGCACTGCCTTAGAATATACTCCGACCTGCATAAGGAAGAACAGAAGATTATAAACTTTAAAATCAAACGTCATTTTTTAGAACTTTGAGCGGATGCTAAAATAAATGTTTACATTCTAGCAAAATTATAGCCATAAAAGACTATGAAAGGTTATCCAGAAAATCAGTCAAGTGCAGAGCATGCTCATCTAGAGAGAGAATTTATCATAAGTGACTTGATGCTAGAATGGTGCTTTACCTTGTTAGCACTTTTGTCAATGATACTTAGTAAATCTTGTTATTAAACCCCAGAAAGCTTTTTTTTTTTTTTGTTGGGAAAAAAATAACAATTTTTCAAGCTGAAGCTTTGCAAATTTAACGAGGCAATGAAAAGAGTTAGCTTTTTCCCCCCTCCATTTCGAAGGAAAAACAATGGTACTTTTTTAATACAAAATACACACCTTTCTGCATATAGGACACTTTGACTCTGGGCCTGCAGCTTTAAGACCTTGGAAAATCATCAAAGAAGCAGCCGAGCAAGCACAAGACTTGCAGAAGAGATGACCGCATCTCAGTGCATATGGATTGAAAACAAAATCCTAAAATTATCATAATCAACGCTTGTAAGATAGACTGACAGTGACGCATAAAATGTCCCTTTTTCTTACTTGAGAATTCAATAGAACCTTACCAGGCAAATTGCACAGGTCAGATCATACTCGAGCCTTGTAGAATCTGGAAGAACCAATGTCATTGCAGCTTCAGTCACGTTAAGATTACATGAAAAGTGACCATAAACACCATTCAGTTCCCTAGCATCAGACTGATTAGAATTTATATAAAAAGCACCCAATTCAATTAGCCAAGGAGAGTGTAACAGTTCAATGTGTTCTGCATGCATCCTGGATTTGAAATTTCCCCCGTTCACAGAGCTATGTACCTAGAGTAGAATACGAGAGAAGGGTGGCGAACGTGAGGACATTAGAACCATGTAATGAAAATGTAAGGAAAACTAATACAATTAAGTGGCTACCGTCTCATCTATTGCGTACTTTATCATATTTCTTAAGTATTTTTCTCAGGGCAATAGCGTTCATTGCAATGTACTCAATTAAAACCCTCCCTTCTTGTGCCAAGGCTTGATTATCATTTTTAAAGCATTTACGCAAGCTCACAACATATCTCTGAATTCCTGTTGCAACATGAAGATGAAGGAGACGCCTGACTCGTGAATTGAAATATTTTGCTATATCTGATGCTTCCTTTATCAATTCGGAGAAGAACATTTGATCACACACTGCAAGTTGTTGAGTAAAAAATAACGTTATCGTTAAGTAGTAAATGACTTTTTAATTGGAATGGAAAATAACCAGTTAGTGCTGAAAGGAATTAATGATTCAAAATCAGAAGCGACCATAAAAAGGTCAAAGTCTCAAGAGGCATCGGTGACAAATTCTTAGCTAACACAAGCTCCAATCAAATTGAAAAGCATAAGGAGCATACTCAAACATAAAGTAGATCGGGAAAAACACAAAATTTCACGTAGTAGCAACACCAAGCCACCAAACAACTTATTCATGCAATCAATTGGAAAACGCCGAGGATTCAAACACATTGTCATAAACAGGGGAAAGACATAAATTGAAGGTGACATAAGACTCCAAAGTTAAAGAAATTAGGGATTGAGTAAGTAAATTTTGGATTAAAGGTTATTGGAAATCTTCCATGAGAATCTTCGACCGCTAAATCAGAGAGTTTTTCTTCCCATCCCATCTTCAATCAGGATTACTCGAATTAATTCCTTGCTTCATCTCTATGTTCTTTAACTACCACCAATCATTTTTGAATTCCACATCTCCAGCATATTATTTTTCCTAGATTAATAGCGCTATTGAAATCAAACACAGGTATGAACGAAAGCACTAACACGGGCATGCTTGACATTGGCATTGCTGGCTTTTAGGAAGCTCGGAATAGGCAGAACTATTCAATCGTGTACAACTCTGGCAGCTCTTAAGCACTTTCTTTAGCCTCTTATATTCAATATGGACGCATTTCTTGTCCAACATCCACTCCCGCTCTTCCTGCAAGTACTCTGTAAATGCCTCTCCGAATTTCATTCTTCGTTTTCGTCGATTTCCCAACCCTAAAGAAACCCTGCACAGAGGGGGAAAAAATCAGTTCAAGGACAGAAAAATTCCCACATTTATATATGACTGAACATGACTAATTTTACATTATACTTTCCCCAGAGGGGGGAGCGCGGGAATTGCGTGTTTATGCGTAAGGCGTAGGACTTCCGTTTGACTGATGTGAAGGAAAAAAAGGCGGGAGGAGAAAGTAGCATACGTGCTGAAGAATCAGGATGGTCACCGATAGATGGTTAAGTACACGCCTGAAGCAACCGTGTCGGGAAAAACAAATGGCGGTTAGTTTTGTTTGATTATACGGATACCTGAAGAAATGAGGGCTCCAGACAGTGGTCCCAGCATGAGATGGTGGGAAACAAGGAATCACCCAAGGGGAGATTACTTTCTTTCGGCCAGATTACGAGGAACAGAATTTTTTAAATTAATGTTTGCATTTTTTTTTGGGGACGTACAGTGTTTACATTTACACATATTAGAAAAGATTTTCATTTTAATGCAGATTATTAACAAAGATATCTTAAAAAAATAATATATACTCATTATAAATAATTAATTTAATTAATTTTTTGACTTTACTAAATTATGTGATCTCTTTAAAATATGTATTCCTATATTATTTTTTTTAACTAGATTGTATATCAATTTATAAGTTAAAAAATTAATTTGATAACAAATAAAAATATAAAAGGCAAAATAGATTAATTACAACACAATAATTTAATTAAAAATCACATGAAATTATGACAAGTGAATATAGATCTAATTGGAACCCAGAAAATTATAACAACATGACAAAAACTACACCAGTCTGGAGAAAACATAGATGGCTGCACATTAATTTTCCCTGAACTTTTTTTTTTTTGGACGGAAAATTTTCCCTGAATTTGAAATCTAAACTTCCGGGCCATGGAGAGCAGCAAAACGGGATGAAGAAAAAAAGTGATTGTTATGCGAGAAACGTACTTCAGTTTTCACTTTTCACCATCACGACGAAGGGAATACATATACAACTGGTGTTGGTCTTTTATTTATGCCGCGATATCGGGACTGGCAATCGCGTATAGCTTCTTTTGCTCAGTCTCAAAGCGTTTGTCCTCAAACGTGGCAGTTGCAATTGCCAATTTTGAGCTGTCTTTGCTCTCATTCGACACGTCCTGCTTAGGGGAAGAGTGAATATGGAATCTCATCGCCTCGCAATTATCTACTCTCCCATCACCTTTTCACAAGCATTCAACAGCTTATCGCGGCTATTTGGATTTGTATGACGTGCATGCGAAGTTTCTAATTCCACAGGGAGCTCAATTTCGCTTAAATCCAGAGTAGAACGAGTTTATCAAAAACCACTGATCCAGTAAAGTATTGGCATTGAGAAGAAATGGGGCAAGACTTAGCTCCCCCTCTCCTGGAATCTCTGCTTCCTGGAACAGGTTCGAAGCTTCTAACACTGGGAAACATCATAGTCTCCGTTGTTGGCACTGGGGTGCTGGGTTTGCCCTTCGCTTTTCGAATCGCTGGCTGGCTTGCTGGCTCACTCGGAGTTACGATGGTCGGCTTAACCACCTACTATTGCATGCTTCTTCTTGTTAGTAATCTCCACTTATCTCTCTCTCTGTTTTTCTTAAAAAAATGGTTGAGCATGGACATAAATTTATGACAAAAAAACTGTTTCGCCTACTTCAATTTCAAACTGGACGATTCCGTTACCAAAAGAGAAAAAGGACTGTGTCACTGTAAGAACCTGTATTAAAATCGGGGGATGAGACTTTTATTTAATACTTTGCTGTTTTGACAATCCTTCAAACAGGTTCTGTGCAGACAGAAGCTTGCATCAGAAGGATCATTAGCGGAAGCAAAAACGTATGGGGACTTGGGTTATAGAACCTTAGGAATCACAGGTCGCCATCTAACAGAAACATTAATTTTGTTTTCACAATGCGGAGGAGCAATAGCATATATATTGTTCATTGGGCAAGACCTCCAGTCTGTATTCCAAGACAATGGATTCACTTTCACGTCCCACGCATTCTTTTTAGTACCAATTGAAGTTGGATTGTCATCGATAAGGAGCTTATCCGCTTTAGCACCTTCAAGCATTTTTGCTGATGTTTGCAATGTTCTGGCAATGGGAATTGTTGTAAAGGAAGATATAGGACAGACAATGACGGGTAAATTTTCATTTGAACAAAGGACGACAATTACATCAGACATTAAGAAGTTGCCATTTGCAGGAGGCATGGCAGTTTTTTGCTTTGAGGGGTTCGCGCTGACTCTGGCCTTAGAGAGTTCTATGCAGGATAGAGCTGAATTCCCCAGATTACTGGCCCTGGCTTTTTGTGGGGTAACATTCTTGTACGTTCTTTTCGGGTTCTGTGGTTACATGGCATATGGCGATGAAACTAGAGATATTGTGACCCTCAATCTCCAAAGAACTTGGACATCTAGCACAGTAAAGGTAATGTATCTTCTTTATTTTGTGCTTGCATGTCCCTGCTTAACATTGGCTGATTAAGAATTCACAGAATTTCAAGTCAGAATTAGAAAGCGTAGGAGAAAGCCAGCCTGCGTGTATGTTGCCTTCGGCTTACCTTTTATTTTTTCTTATAATTTGGTGGCAGGTAGGATTATGCTTAGGACTGGTGTTCACATTCCCTATCATGGTTCACCCAGTTAATGAGATCGTGGAAGGATGGCTCAAAAGGTTCAAATGGTTTAAGTATTTACACGCTGACGATAACGATTCAACAAGATTGGGAAGAATTGGGACGTACGTCAACCGCGCAATTTTGGTTACCGGGTTGGTCGTCATGGCTTCGCGCGTGCCAGCGTTTGGTGAATTTGCCTCACTGGTAGGAAGTAGTGTAAGTGTATTGATCTCCTTTGTTTTGCCAGCCACATTTCACCTGAAATTATTTGGCTCTTCCCTCCATATGTGGCAAAAGGCCTTGGATTTTGTTTTAGTGTTCGTTGGTTCAGTTTTTGCGGTATATGGCACCTACAGCGCCATAGTTGGAGTTTGAATGTGTATATAACCTGCTCAGTTGAAGACTTTCTTTTTCAAGAAGCATAAAGAATGTTTATAATTTTTATTTGCTTACAAGGATTGAGGTGGAAATATAAAGTTTGAAAGAATCAAATCAATTTGAAAAAAATTTGTGAATTATTCTTTTTGGCACTACTTACAACCATTTAATATCTTCAACTCAGATGAAGACTATTCTTTTGTTGACTTGCCAATATTTGTGTTGGATAAAGAGAAAATACGAAACAAAGCCTAGCTCAATTTTTACTGATAATTGTATTCCCAAAAAAATATTTTTAAATTATCATTTTGGAAGGAATGAATAAATGAGTTGTGTCAGCTAGAGACATGCCTAACATAAAATTTTCAATCTATAATCTAATCAAATTGAAAGAAATTTACAAATTATTCTATTTTGTACTACTGTATAACTATATAATATCTTTAACTTAGATAGAGATTATTCTTCTATTGACTCGTGAATATTTGTGTTGGATAAAAAGAAAATATGAAACAAAACAACATGACCTATTGTAGAATTTTCCATCTATAATCAAAGCAAATTAAAAGAAATTTGTAATTTATTTATTTATTTATTTTTTGTGCTACCGTACAATTATCGACTAGTCAAAATTCATAAAATTGAAATCTCGCGCCAGGTAGGGGTCGAACCTACGACTTTCTGCTTAGGAAACAGACGCTCTATCCACTGAGCTACAGGCGCCTTGTCATCAACGGTTTACCGTTGATAATTACTGAACTAGGGATTTTAATTCCCGCCTAATTTTCAATCCAAAATTCGAATGGCGAGTTTTGCAGAACTGGCTTCACTTTCTTTATCCTGCCTGAGGTCGGACTGACTCGCAAAGGAAAAGGACAATGTCGAAGGATCCAATTTCCAGCTTCTGCAGCACCTTAGCTTCCTTCTGCAACCACCTTCAATCCAGCTGCGATGCCCTCAAAGAGTCCCTCGATCGCCGACCCATTCCTCTTGGTGTCTTTCTCTGTCTTAGTCATGTTTGGTTGTTACGGAAAGTTGAAAGCAGTTAGTTTCGATAAGAATTTTCCTCTAATGTGTGACAGATTCTGCATCGTCGACCTTCGTACAATGCCTTAATCGCCGCATCTCGAGCGCAAGCAGCGACCTGGAGCTGCTTGATTCCATGTCTTTCGGCACTGTGTCTTTCGAGGAGCTCTTAGGTCACTGCAATGAACTATACAAGAAGAATCAAAGCGATCTATTTGAACTCGAAGAAAGTCTCAGAGGCTACGGCTATAATCCCAGTACTAAATTTACGTTTTCTAACTCCCATGTGAAAGTAGTTGCACTAATTGTAGTTATTCGTAGAAGTAATGCGAGACAGCTCGATATTTCCCTGGTTATTTATGATTTATGATCTGACACAAGCTTTTACGACACATTTTGATCATCTCACCTTTTTGTTTTGGTGTACGGGGGGCTTCAGTTCCTGATATCGATGATGAAGACGAAATTCATGATATATCGAGATCGAATGAGCTTTCAGGTTCCGAAGATGGCCTGCATAACTTGTCTTCAATCTCTGGAAATCTCTCTCGAGAGGATTGTAGATTCAAGAGTTTGGGAGAAGATGCTCTGCATCCTTTTGAACATTTTGTTGTTGTTGTTGTCCACCCCCATTTTACTGCATAAAATTCATAAATTTTAGTCGCTAGATGCGGAAGGCGCATTATGGAGATTTCAAAAGAAATGAGCTAATATGCTTTCGTGTTTTTTTTTATCGAAGTTGATGTGGAAGGGGAAAATTAGGCTTTTCCGTGGATGAAACACTGTGATTACCAATAATGGATGTTCACAATGAACGTTATTTGCATTTTATTGTTAAAGTATGATTCATTTTTGAACTTTTCGTCCATCCATTTTTGTATACATAATTTCATTTAGAAATTCTATGTCGAAGTCCTGAAAATATTACAGATAAAGTGATGCTACCATTAGTTTTGGTTGGTGTACTATGATGCTCGTTTGTGTTCCTTAATTCACTTCAGACTTGATGAATCTCTGAGCTTAAAAAAGCTTGGACTGTCAGATGCATGTTTAGCTACCTTAGCATGTGAAGGTTAGTACAAAGTAAATACCTCATGCTTCATAGGCTATAAGAATTTTAAACTTATAATCCATTGATTTTTTTTCCTCGTTAAATTTTTCCTTCTCGTGACATTTTTGGCTGTATGTTTTGCCTTTATGGTAAACCTTATGCAGCTAACTATCCTTGAGACTAAACAAATTATTTGTATGTCACTAACACTGATCCCATTTTCAATCACTTACCCTTCTTGCCTCCTCTCATGCAGCTAATGGAACTTCAAAAGAAGTAAAGATGTAAGTTAAATGTGTGGATGTCATTCGCCCTAAGTGGGATTTTTTGCATTTTTGTCGACATTTCTACATTGTTTTCATTTCCTAGGCTCAGTATGACCGAAGGACAAGAACTTAAGAGTGTGTCATCCGAAGAAAGGATGTGCTTGTCCCACGGTAATTGAAGCTATCTTTCTGCTGATTTTATCAGCTCTAGTCTGTGAAGATTTATTATTTATTTTCAAAAAAAAAAAATTCAGAGGCCAAGACGAGGAACAAAGAGTCAGCTGAAGCTCCATGTCCCGAGTTAAAGATAATGAAGAACGAATTTGAAAGTCTACCTGGCTATATGAAGGGTCTAGCATCGTGGGAGGTATGTGGACCTTCGTGATTTTCTCCATGTTTAAGTCATGTTTACTTGGGATGCTAGTTCTTCACAATCATATCGATAGCGGATGTCAAGTGACGATTTTGTTTACATAAAATCAGAGCCCCATGTCTCGTTAATGCCAGTAAGTCTATATGCTACATAAATGTTATGAGTAGGCTGAACTTAACATTGTTACTCACGCAAAACCACAACTTAATTGTCCAAGGATATTCATCAGCTCTATTGGAAATGCTCTTGCTTCAAATTTTACATGCGGAAAATTGTCTATATTATACTAAGGTTATGCATTGTCTAATATAGCATATTAAATTTGGGGGCAATAGACTTCACAATTTTACGCGTTTGGAAGCTGTTGTCCTATCTGATAATAGTCTATTTGTTCCTTGTGCAATTTGACCTTTCAGGATCTACTTGCGGCTGTTGATAAGATCAATTCAAGCCTAAACAAGAAGACCAAAGGATGCAGCTTCTTCCGTCAAGATGAAATCCCTTCTTTTAATTTAGGTACCCATATTCTTCTAAAATCGTTCTTTCGTATTGTTTCTATGATTTAATGTGTGTGTGTGTGTGTTCATATATTCATATAGAGTATAAAATCTATACAAAACCACATATTTCGTAACTTATGAACAATGCAACTCTGTTGGCAAAAAAAAAAAAAAAACAGAACAATGCAACTCGTTTCGAGCTTTGAGTAAGACACGTAAGTCACGTTTTAGTTATTGCATGATGACACTTCAATGCATATTGGTATTAGATGAAATTTAATTTGCGGTTTGTCTTTTATTCCCATTTTAAGCATTTCCTTTTGACCATTTTAAAAGGTCCATTTCACCTGAAATTGGGAACTAATATGCTAAACTCATCTGCCTCCCTGCAAGCCGAAGAAACACTAGCTTGCGCTAGACGAGCAGCCTTCTTACTTGGAATCAGTTTAAGCTAGTAATATTTTTATTGATAGTATCTTACAGAAATAGATATATCTTCCTCTTTATGTTTTGGGTTTTCAGGGCCTAAAGCAAGATCATATTTGCTGCTTTTAGTTCGCATGAACCGTTTGATTGTGGAGACGATTGATGGTGTGTTATCATACAGAGTGTTGTAGAATAAGATCAAATGGAGAACCCTATATGGTGCACCAAATAGAATAAGTTGTTCTTTTGGGTTTGGATATACCAGCATTTCTTTTGGCTGTGTTATCATCCAGTGTAATTTTCTTCTACTTCTGTGTGGGAGTTGGATATACAGTGCCCACACCACCCTGAATTTTTTTTTAAAAAGTCCTACTGTACATTCCGATGAGTGTATTACTTTTTTTTTTTCGGGTCATCTTTAGTTTAAATTTAACAATTCAAATTATTAGTGTAATAAGTGTCTGGTTCGTTTTGTGAACATATTTTGTGCAAAAGGGGAGAAAAAAACGCTTTGCTGTTACCCTAGTGTCTAATTCCAATTTTCTTTCATGGGAACCTTCCCTGTGGGAAAGCAACTCTCTCCTTCATGAGAGGCAAACAGTACCCATGAGATGGGTCAGCTGGCTGTTATAATGGCCGCGTGGCAAATCATTTGCGGAATTGACCGTGTTGTTTGTTTTTTTTTTTTGTGCAGTTAATACCTTAATTCTGATGAAGATGAAAATCAAACCATGATTTTAAAAATGATTTTAAGGTATACAAAGTAAATATGTGGAGAAGTTTATCTGGATTTATAAAAAAATTTTCTGAAAAGTATTTTTATGTGATGTCAAACACTCCCGAATTCTCAAAACCCAATTCTCATAATATTTGTTGTTGTGCAAAAACACTTGAAATGGTCTATCATTAGTAAATGACACTAGGCTGACTTTGGCCCATTTGATTGTTTTTACAATGTGGAAATACCCACCGGGAAAAAAGTGGAAATCTTCTGTTTGGGTTTGATTATTCCAGGTCCGTATCATTTTAATTTTATCAAATGTCTTCGAAGGGACATTTGATTTATACTAGGTGGGCCAAGGATTTTGGGCTATTTAAATCAAATTTTTTCTTCCATTTCAAAATTTCTTAATAAGACAATAGTACCATTTGCTAATCTGAAACGGTAGGGGGCTCCCCTATCTGACTATCCCTGCTCTTGTACTTTTGTAATGGACTTGGTCGGGAGGACTCTAAAATAGTTCTTTATTATTATTTTTTGACTGAAAACTGTATACTATATTAACGAAAACAACAGATTACAATGCAAAAATGCTGAAAAACAAAGAAAAGCGAAGCTCGATGATATTCAACAGATTTGTTTTGACTGAAAACCGTGTACCATCTTGGTGTGATGTATCCTCTAATCTATTACTCTTTTGATCTTTAATATGGGACTTAATTGTTAAGTTAATTTTAATTCTAAATATAAGATTTATTTTTCATATTTATCAATTTTTTTCTAAATTATTCTTATGAATATTTCTTCAATCATAATCAAGAAAATAAGGAAAGGAGAATATTAAGAAAGATAATTATAGTGTTTTAGGAAAAATATACTTCTCTGGTTCTAAATATAAGACATCTTTTGTAGTGTAATTGGTCTTATATTTAGGATTAGAATAGTATCATATTTTTTATAATTAACCAACTTACTCAACTTTTTTTAAGGAAAAATATACTTCTTCGGTTCTAAATATAAAACCTTTTTTGTAGTGTAATTAGTCTTATATTTAGTATCAGAGTAGTATTATAGTTATTATAATTAACTAACTTATCTAATTTTCTTAATCTAATCAAATTAGTTAAATAGATTTTATATTAAAAACCGAAGAGTATTATATTTTATCTTAGACAAAAAGAAATAATTCCAATGTTCTTACTGATATTCAATTAAATGGGAGTGTATTACGACACCCAACAATCAAGCTAATACCTTTTGGGCTATTAGATCGAATCCGATTTAAACTTGGTTATGTCTATACCATATATCTTATCATATTATTTTTCTTAATAATTCTCTTAGAAAGGATCATATTATAATATCATGACTTCAACTTCTAAGTTTTTAAATTTTAAAATGAATTTTTTACCTTATGGAAAAATTACGGATTCCAATTAATTTAAAAGGAACCCATTTTGAATAATGATGATTATATGTTTTTAGCTGACAGATAGAATTATTTTTCATATGTTTAATATTAATATATTATTTTAAAGTTATTTTCAGGTTGGGCAAAACCCAGCCCAGCTCGATGTGTTGGCTGAGCATCGAGCTAGGGATGAAACCTAAACGAAGCCGCGCACATCGCTAAATCTCAATTAGACCTGATAATCATGGCTCTACTAAATCATGACCGCATGTTGAGCCATAAAATCAAACCCGAGGGCCATCTGCTATATATACGCGAAATGTGCCGATTTGAAACGAAGCTAAAGCTATATCCATTGAAATGCGAACGATTCAGCCCAACTTTGGACCTCTTTCTGTCACTTTATTTCGCATCACATGGAAGTATCTCGATCTTCAGCTTCATTACTTGCACCAACGGTCTAAAATTGAGATAAGGGCCTGAACTGAGTCAAAGCTTTCAAAAGATCATCGCAACCGTCCGTGACTCATATAAGAGGGATCATGTCAGTGATGGGTGAAGAGCTCCGGACACAGATTGACATGAATTTAGCTACAACTTTTCACTTGCGCAACATTCTTCTAGACACATTTTCCATCTGTTAGTGTTGTGGGCATTAGTACATGCTATGCTGTTACAGATGTTCAACTATGCTGATTGATGTCAGAATTAAATGGCACTCAGCAAGCTGTAATGGTCCGAGACCATAGCATGACATTATTAGAACACACGAAGACAGTGCGGGAACGGAGCTCTCATATGGGTCTTCAGGAATCAAGCACAAGCTCGCATGCAAGTTTTAACTCTGTAGATGCAATTATCCAGGCAAAAGAATTTTATGGAGGGGTAAAAGAAAGGAAGGAATAAGCAAGCATGAAGAATCCCAGACACCACAGAAGTAGCAAACTCAGACCTGCTGGCTCATAAGTATTTCTACTGCGACGTTAAGATCCCCATCCGCAGCTGCCAGGGCGACTTCCACCTGTGTCTGAAAGCAACCCAAGACCAAGACATTAAAAATCACAACCAAGCTGCAAGTCACAAATCCAAATTCGATGCATGCACTTTGGATACCATCTCTTATGATGGCTGCTAATTTATCAACATCTTAGATACCGAATAATACCTCATCAGTCCCCCAACTCATTAAAGAAGCAATAATATTTATGTTCAAAGGTTAATCGCTTATATAAGAGATCAAAAAAGTGCAGGTGTCATGAGCCGGAGAATCAGAATTCAGAATAGCAAGGTATAAACTATTTCATCCACATTTCTTCATGCTCAGGAAAAAAATTACTCTTAGCATTACCCTATCAAAGCCCATTGATACAAGCTTTTTTATCTCCTCATCAGAAGCTACCGCACCCTGCATTTAGATCAATTAAAAGTAACAAAACATTAAAAATCCAGATGAACCAGAAGAAAACAAGAAAATTACAGAATATACAGAAACCTGGTCCTGTGGTACACCGACAGCTGCTGTTGCTACATTATTCGAACCTGCCTGCCTAAATGGAAAATGAAAATATAAAAGTGGTCATCATTCATAGCTTGAACTATGGCTCTGAATAATCACAAGAATATGTTGCTGTGCAGTTAGGCTTTTAATGTCATAATACCTAAGTATTTGGTATAGGCTTGGATTTTTCTTTTTTAACCCAGTGGAAGTGGACAGAAAAGAATGCATGCTGAATATATCAAAAAATTGGTATCTTGCTTACATTTAAACAACCAGTTGCCAAACAGGACAATTTGGTAAAAACTGCAAAGCAGAACTCTATCACCGCTACAGGTAAAAAAATTCCTCACTCAGCATGGAAGTGAAGAGGATAACCTGATAAGATCGTGTACATCTATGACATCACTTAATCAAATAAATACCACAACAATCTCATATTTTAACGCTCACTAATAATCTATGCAACAAACCGAAAGCATTTGGGTTCCAAGAAATGCTTCATCCACATTAAGAGAAAAACAAAATTGTGATTCAATTACAGAAATTTATTATAAGAAAACAGTGCAAGTTGTCAAATATGCACAAAACCATTTTTCTCATACCTTCCATCTGATATTTGTTGAGCAGTACCGAGAGTTGATAAGTCTAATGGGTGGCCCAAATTGTTATTGTCCAGGAGTCTAGCTTGCAGATTTGAATCTGAACTAACAGCAGAAGCCTGTTGACCTTGACCAGAACCAAGGGTCCTTCCCCTCCCAGGGAACCTGTAATCTTGTACTGGCTGCTAAAATTACATGGTATAATCAGATAGATAGAAGACCTCCATGAATGACAGAAACTTGAACAACTGAACAATGACTTGCATAGAAGAAAAGTAAAATTTGATCTTCCAAGTCTCCACTTCAATAGGACATAAACCCAATTTGATCTTACATATGTATGAACTAATGATGTTAACGTTGAATCTCACACATGTAAATCAGATTAAAAGCTAGCAAGTTTTTCAGTTTTCAGCAAAAGATTATTCCAATTATTGCATTCTTCCCACATCAAATAATTTAAAAGCTTGCCAGCTGCATAAATATGAAGAGGCAGCATACTGAATAAATAAACATGTCAGAAGAGGAAACAACTGAGTAACGAAATGAATTGAAAAAGAGAACATGACGTAAGCCAAAATATCAAATGCAACAAAAGGCCTGCGAATAAGGATTCCCTATGATGAAAGAGCACTATGCACATGAATAAATTAAACATCCATTGCACGTCGTTCACTTGACAAGCAGAGAGACCAACTGAGTAACACTAACTAACAAATTAAAAAATCATCACAATTCAAAACAGAAAATGATCGCATCAAGAGGTCTATGTAGAAGCTCAATTTACAGTCTCACACAATATATGTGCTTTGTGTTTTTAAATATTAAGCAAGAGAAAAAACCATGATTGCACTCACAAACAAACAAAATTTTGAGAGTTTACCAAAGGGTAGCCTAAAGAGATGAGATGACTGCCATACCTGAGTGGAAACTTCTCTTTGTGGCATCACCGATGACAGGTTTCCCCATAAATTTCCAGAAAAAAATCCACTACTGCATGAAAAAACTGTATCAGTAAACATCCAGAGTTGCTGGCAAGGTTTGGTTTGAAAACTACATAGTACCTAGATGTTGAATTTTCACTTGATTGCGTAGGGATGTAACCTGAAGAGTTTCCACCAGTGCAAACAATAAATTTAGGCCGCCTCACACATGATGACTGAAAGTCACAAGGACACATATGATTGATTAAGGTAAGGTCCACACTCAATAATTGTTTACAAGCATGAAGTGATATGCAATAGCTGGCCATTATTTCACTTCACAATTAAAAGAAGTCACCAACATATGA